GATGCTTATCGTGCACTGGAAAAATCGAAGAGCCTTTAGCTGAGGCGAATATAGAGGTTCATCCGGTTTAGGTATAACAAGGTGGGAATTTCTTGAATGATAATTAAGTCCTGTTACACCAAAGAGGTGTAGAGAGTTTTAGTGAATTTTGTCTCATGGAATTGACGCTCCCCATTTTCACCAAAACTCTCAACTATATATTATTCTCCGTTATGGACCAAACAGACAAAACAAAAAAACAGGCAAACCCTCATTCTTCAAAGACATTATATATTTTCATCCAAAAACGTCGTGAGCAATTGTCGTTTGTATTTACATGTGGGCCAATTAACTTTGGGTCTCAACTGGCACGTGGACCAAAATTCCCGTGCCGAAAAAACGCGTGGACGTAAATTACTGGAAAAAACAGGTAAGCGGACAAAGAATCGTTGACGAAATGTTCCATAACCCCACCGCGGTGGATGACGTCAAATACCCGACTTTTCGAAGGGCGAGATCTCGGTTAATATTGAACGTAGAAAGTTGCAGTTTCGACGGTTCTTATTATTTTTAGTTAATCTACAAGAACAAACATCAAAACACAATTCTGTGACTAGCGCAACTAACCCATTGTGGCACTACCTCAAGTTGTTGCATGATATGGGCATTCCCAATTAATTGCGTTAGCACTGCAAACAGCCAATCAAGTTGTGGTAGTACCAAATCATACGGGATAGTAACCTAATTTATTGAGGGTACTACCGCAATTCGTCGGAAATTTCCATGTCATCCAACAATTTCTACATTTCCTTTTCCGGGTAAAATTTTTAAAAAATTTAAATCGACAGAGATTGGACAAACTCTGTAATATTTGAATCAAGGCGTGGTATTTTAGCTAAATTTTAATGAACAGGTACAATTTTTGAACGTAAAAAATAATTTTCCGGCAGAGGAACGGGAAGAAAGGGAAGGAGTGTTGGGGGGGGGGGGCACTTTAAAAATTCTGGAGTATCGCCACTAAATTGATCGAAATGGAACAAAATCTAGAATGCTCAAACCCAAGTTCAATTCAGCTGAAATTTAGGGGAAAATTCTGGGTCCTATTAAGGTTATTCCGGGAAAGAAATAATTTCATTAGAAAATAAATTTTAATTTTCTCTCTGCCGCAAATGCAGGTAAAAATTGTGGAACATTGCACGACATTTCACCTCCCTAAAAATAACCAATAAACAGTTTCTATAGCAAATACGATCAAATTTCAAAGAGATATTCTTAAATAAGTTGAAACGTCAATAGCTCCCGATTTTTGCAAATATCACAAATTTTACTGTTATAGAGTAATCAGTCACAGGAAGTGTGTGTTCAGAGTGTGTTAATGTAATTTAAATTGATCGAATTTTGGAGGAAACTCGATTTCGAAAAGGGCGGCACTGCTGTCGTCGGTGGCTTTGGCTAAGGGGTTCGACGGATAAGAAGTTTCCAATTTAGACAAAAGTTTCGTTCGTAACGAGAAATTATTCTTCCTGTCATTTGCAGAGCACTGCTAAGGTGTAATGCCCTTTGTCAGTCCACCATCATTGTTACCAGATTGTGCTGAAAAATCAGCAGTTCCCTCCATCTAATTCCATATGAAAAATCCAAATTTTATCACACAATCTGGGAATCTTGAAGTCCATACTTCGACCAGTGCGCGGACGTCAGTGAGTGTAATCGATCCGTTTTGCGATTCAAATCCGCGCCAGGAAAACTCTGCCGTGCTGAGGAGAAACGCCGTAAGAGCATTCGAATGTTGTCAAAACTCTTTCGATAAGCATGTATTTTTCAAGGAGTTATGAATATTTTTTTGGGGGAATTCTCCGACACTTTTTATACGATTGCAAAAAAAAATATCGGTAATTGGAAGAAAAATATTAACTGACTCCTCAAAAATTCTGTGTTGTATAAAAGGAAATTTTGCACCGTCTGGAGGCTCTTACGGCAATCATCCTTAGCACGAAAAAACAGTTGGATCGCGTTTAGCAGAAAGGAACACTGAAAAATACATCTCGGTGTATTTACTAAGAAAAGGATAAAATTACCAAGAATTCAGGGTTCTATTTGATCCCAGTTTTTTCTTGGAAAAATCACCATTTATGGAATTAGTAAACTTTCTCGGTAATTTTACTGGGCCTTGGTAAAAACGCCAATATTTTTTATCAACTGTGGTAGAATTACCGAGATAAAATGGCAAAGTTACCGGGAATTGATTACCAATAAAAGTTGTATTCTTACCTGAAAGAAACAGGAAAAATACCGGTTTCTAGGTAAGCTTACCAGTCTGTCTTGGTAAAATTACCAATAATTGGTAAAAAAGCCGAGAATTTTTTTTCAGTGAACCAAGCCACATCAGCCACTGCCAAATTTAACGGGGCAATTTAATTTTTTACTAGAGAGCGTTCGTGCGGATTCCTTTGAAAATTTCGAGGAATTTGCTTCGTTCTCTGCAGAAAATTCACTGAAATTTGCATAAAAATTCACACAACCGTTTTCTTGTAAAACATGATATTGCTCTATTGAATTTGGCAATGGTTGATGCATGTGGCTTGGTTCCTTTCTGCTCGACGCGGTCCAGTTTTCGAAGGCGAAGGATGGAAAGTTTGATTGACTTTAAAATTATTCTTTTCACCTATGATGTGCGACTTGAAAAGGGAAGAATCAAACTCGTAAATAATTGAACAGTTACCCTCGTGTTTGGGTGCGTGTTACATTATGCTCGTAAAGTGAGTTTGCAAGTCATGATTTTCACCCAACTCCCAACACTTTTTACAGTTTTAGCGATTGTTCATTCCTCGGTCTCTGTTTGTTAAGGTGATTCGATGGACACCATATTTTGTGTCAGAACGGCATGCGATATATCGCATCAATTGGTTCCATTTCTTCAGCTACTCATCATTTTTCTCGAATTTTGAGATCGCAATTCTGTTGTCAGGAGACTGAAGCACTCACTCACCAATTTTGACAAAGAAATTTAACGTAATAAAGGCGTGGTTTTTTATAGAGAGAGAGTGCAGTTTTGATATCAGTATCGAATGCGATTTTTTCTCTCTGAAAAAAACTACGCCTTTATTACGTTGAATTTCTTTGTTAAAATTGGTAAGTTAGTGCTTGAGTCTCCTGACAACAGAATTGCAATCTCAAAATTGGAGAAAAATGACGAGTAGCTGAAAAAATGGAACCAATTGATGCGACATATCGCATGCCGTTCTGACACAAAATATGGCGTCCATCGAATCACCTTTTTTAAGCTTTTAAGATTTTTCCGCAGGCTTGGTCCTGTGCATGAAGAGGCACGGACTATATAAATGACGTTATTTGTATTTTTGCCATTGAACTATTGATAGTTGGACGTATTTCTATCAAACAGAACTATGTGCTTTAAGAGATGAGCCCTGAGACCCATAAGAATACATGCATTACAGGGCTCACGTCATAATGCACATAGTTCCGTTTGACAGAAATACGTCCAGTTGTAAAGCTACGGAACCTTAGGCGCGTCTGGACGCGGCGTCCTGGACGCCGGCGGAAAATGCTGCTACCGAGTCGAGGGCGAGAAGACGCTCACATTTTGGAGCACGGCACCTTAGGAGCGGAATCCGTGGATTTTTTCCGCTCTGTCCGCCGTCAATTTCTCGAATTTTCGTTGACCGGACAGTATGCTCTGGGCCGCGAAAATGGCTGTACGCGCTTTTTTTTAGGAGGGTGTGGATTCGATCGACAAAAATCGACCGAGAAATAAAAACGTGAATCGATCGACACCAATCGATGGACCAATTACTAAAAAACGGGTGTCGATTCGATCGACAAAAAATGTGGATCGATAGACGAGAAATGATTGACAGTTAAAAGGAAAACCGGTATCTAGTCAATCGACATGAATCGATCGAAAAATCCAAAACGTGAACCAATCAACGTAATTCGATCGATTCACAACTTGGTCGATCGATTCACGGGTTTGTCGATCAACTCACAGGTTTGTCGATCGATTCGCAGGTTTGTCGATCGACTCATAGGTTTGTCGATCGATTCACAGGTTTGTCGATAGACTCACAGGTTTGTCGATCTATCCACGGCTTTTGTCGATTGATTCACGGGTGGGTCGGTCGATCCACGGCTCTTGTCGATCGATTCACGGAATTTTCGATCGATTCGCGGCTTTTGTCGATCAATTCACGGCCTTTGTGATCGATTCGTGGGTTTGTCGAACTAAACACATTCAAAAATCGGTAGGAAAGGCAACGGACTGAGCGGAATTTCTCGGCGTCTTCGCTCCGATCTGTTCGCGACAGATCGGAGCGTCCTCGATCGGCGTTTTCCGCAGCGTCTCTTCGCCGCTAAGGTGCCGTCCCCGCGCAAAAATCATTAGACAGATTTATCGGCGTCTAGACGCCGCGTCCAGGACGCCGCGTCCAGGACGCCGCGTCTAGACGCGCCTAAGGTTCCGTACCTAAACATTTCGACGGCGTAATTCCGCAACCACGTATCTCGGTTTGCAACGCCGCAGACTTCCTTTCGTACTTGATTTTAAATAAAAAACCACTCAACGGTAGTGCTTAAAAACTGCCGTGATTTTTCTTCTCCGCGCGAAGAAAATTCTGCGGAAACTTCAAGGAATGATGTCCAGATTTTCTAACACCGCGAACAAGATACGTGGTTGCGGACTTAGACGGTCGATTTGTATTTTATCTAAAAGTGTTATTTTTGTACTTTTCATCGCGTGATTCGTTTTCTGCGTGAAATTATAAAGGAAAGAAAATTCTTTACAATGTTTTCATTTATTCATACGTTGTCTGGTGGCCCATTTGACAATAAGCATTTTGCTGGAAAATTCGCACCCGCGGATAAAGGCCTCTGTTCCCTTGGCCAGTCACATAAAAAAGGAAGAAAATACACTCGTCTTTTAGGTTTTTTACTGTGCTTTTTTACTCTGTCTCGCTTTATTTTTAAGATAAAAAAGTACAGTCGGGTTTTTTTTCTGTTCGCAGGAGCAACTGTTCCGCCAGCATGTACATTGGAAGTGGCGCAGGCTCTGCGACTGCCATGCCCACAGACTCTGTGCCGATTGTCGACAGTTCTAGGGGAGAGCCCAAAAAAAGAAAAAGTTCCTACCAGTAAGTATTTTAACTCCGCAATCCTTCTGAATTTACTACGCATCTCCCTTGGAAATGTTTTGAGAGAGCATTTGTTTGGAATGAGGATGATGAGGACGATAGTCACTTCAGATCGCCTAGGTATGCTTTGAATACGTGAAAATTAAGAGTAGAGATGGCAAGTTTTTATGAGTCTAAATTATTTTTTATGGTCTGACGTTTCCTGGTAAAAATTGGCGATAGGAGCTGCGTTTCAAAATACCATAGGAGTTCTCATAGCCGACTGAAGAAGGCGATAGAAAATCATATAGCTGGCTGTAGAAAGTGGCAAAAATCATACGACCGGGCGCTACACGAAGCGATAAAAAAAGTATGCAGCCGGGCTATAGTTCCTATCGCTGGGCTTTACTTTTTATCGCCTGGCTGTTGCTTTTTCGCCATCGGCTATAAAAGACTATAAGGAATTGTGTAGAAATTCGTATGCTTTGTAAATCCTTAATATTTACAAAACGCACATTATATTTTCCTTTACTACATATTTTTTTTCATCAATTGAAATGAGAATAATCCATACAGAGTGTGCAAACGTTTCAAAGTCATGAGTTGAAAAACGCTGACTCCACGAGATTAAATATTAGAGCCTAACACAAAGCGGAGTGGCGGCGCACTGGCGCCTACAAACCTAACAGGGATACTTCACGCATTGCGCAATGCGTGAAGCATCCCTGTTAGGTTTGTAGGCGCCAATGCGCGTCCCGCGCTGGCTGCCCGCCCGCCGCGCCGCGCCGCGCCGCAGCGTACCACGGCGCTTGAAGCAACTATTTCACACCATAGGTATTGCACAGTATCATACGAAATTGAGGGCGCTCCAACATATTAGGAATGGCAGGCATCCTTCACAAGTACGGAGCTTTCCTCGCAAAATAAATCAAGATACTACGGCACAAAAAGAGAGCGGTAGTCCAAAAACTCACTAAGTCCTAGCATCGGTAATTAGTAACGTTTAGCATACACTTTATCGCCAGGCTGTTGCTTAGTCGCCATCGGCTATAAAAGGCTATAAGAAATTGTGTAGCCGGCTATAGAAGCTATTGGAAATCTTACAGCCGGCTGTAGGTCTATGGTATTTTGGAACACAGATTCTACTGCCAATTTTTACCAGGGTTAATCGTTACTTTTAGCTGACGAAGGCACTTTTTGGACCAAAATGGTCTAGTAATGGGCGTGCTAATCTGCCTTGCAAAGGGAAAACGCCGTATAAACCTTCAGGCATTGCTAAATTTCCTTTGGTAAATCACAAATTTCCTGGAAAATTTGTAAATATTTTTCCGTCAATTTTTTCAGATGATTTTGTTCGCAATTTCACCTTCAGTTCCTGACAATTTCAAAGAAAAAAAATATTCATAACCTCCCTCAAAAATATCTATTTTCTGAGAGGAAATTTGGCAACTTTCGAATGTTCATACGGCGTTCCTCCTTAGCACAGCAGTATTTGACCCTTGCGCATGACAGTGTCCTGTGATAAAGTTTCTTCACTGAAAAAAAAGTTACGGGCTTTATTGACGGTCCGTACGTTCCAAGCTGAGAGGTCGAAACTTCCGGGTACTGGAGCGGTAGCTTTGATCGCTCCGGGTGCTACGACCGGAACTTTCGGACTCTGAGCCCGGAACGTGGACGGTATGTTCTATGTAGCCCGTAAGCACGGCTTCCACGGCCGGAGTTTTGCTTTCAGTTTCGAACCAAATGAACCCTTCAATTTTCGGGGCAAGCCGAGGGGGTACCGTGGCATCAAAAGGTATAACATTTCAAGGAACTGCATCTTGTGTAATCTACAGATCTTGCCTCGCAATGAATTGAACCGCTTGTATCAAAATATGCTCAACTCCGGGGGAAAATATAAAAAACCCACTAATCAAAAACTATGAACTCATTCCAAAATTTTCGTTGATTTAACGACACTTTTACCGCACGTCGTCCAGCTCCCCAAAAAGCCTCGTTCCTAAAAATACGAAATTTGTCGGTCTCGTGACTACACACAATTGGACGTATTTCTGTCAAACAGAACTATGTGCATTAAGACATGAGCCCTGAGACCCATAAGAATATGTGCATAACAGGGCTCACGTCATAATGCACATAGTTCCGTTTGGTAGAAATACGTCCAATTAACCTTATTGAACCTGATAAAGGATAGAGTTGGGATTTATTTCGAAACACGCCTACCTTTAAAAATAGAAAAGAGAAATAAATGAATAAAAGATGCACGTGACAATTTGACTTCCTGCAATAAGTTGAAATTTTCATTTTTCCCGAGTTTGAGAGTTGGCCAAGCAAGGCGTTCATTCATGAAGGGTTCCTTTTCAGTGGGAGAACTCTTTGAACACTGTCATTTTTAAACACAACAACTAAGTGGAAAAAACTCGAAGAAGCCGCACAAGGATCTTTCTGAACTCTCATTTGAAAGGGTCGTTCCCAAAACGGAACGAATCAAATCCTTAGTTGAGCCCTGATCTACGTAAGAATACCAGCATTGTGGGGCTCATCTGGAAAATCGATTTGTTCGCTTTCAGAAATAGCCTGTTCAATTACCGGAGAACCTGAAACAATGCTCGTGAACCACCGTTTCACGGAAGTTTTGACGATGATTTCAGCGACGCGCGGTGACTTCTGAAGGTCGAGACAAGGGGGGGGGAGGAGGGACCGCGACCCGCGACGGTGCTTTCACACCGACCGAGATCTCGCGATACCTGTTGCCTTTTTGTAAGGTTTCACCGCTGTTGTTTCATGCAAATGCGCGCTGCGACCTGCGACGCGGGCGTGAAAAGGGTGAAGAGAACAAAAGGCTGCAAGCGTGCTGCCGGGTTGCCGTTCGCGAAAAAGACGCCCGTCCTCAGCTTGAACGCCGTAACTCCATTCTAAATGTTTGTAGGCTTTTTACCGAAATAAATGTTTCATTATGGAAAAACTAACGACCATGTATCCCCCTTAGTTCTGAAGTACCTGTGGCATACCACTGAGAATGGAGATGTTGCATGTGTGCCAAGGTAAAACGCCTTACGAACATTCGAGGGTTGCCAAATTTCTCCGGATAAACCGTGTATTTTTGAGGCAAGTTATGCATTTTTTTCCGTGCAATTTTCAGATACTTTAGACCAAACGAACAAAATTATCTGAAAAATTAAAAGAAAATACTCAACATGTTCCCAGTAAATTCGGGTTGTAGCAAAGGAAAGCCGGCAACGGCTGAAGGCTCATACGGCGTTTTTCCTCAGCACAGTGGTACTGCTAGGGCCTACATATAGCTTTTGGTTCTTTTGTTTTAGTGGCAGCGACCTGGACAACGATACCGACGATGCCAAGTCTGCCAGAACAGATGACTGTAAAAAGTAAGTAAATTTACATTCTGATCCCCTTTAAATGGGCTGTGAAGACTTCGAATCAATATTTGTACAGTCATCTCAAAAAAGGCGGAAATAGGAGTCTTATAAGGAGGTGTACTTTATTAAAGGGGGTCCAGGGGACACAGAGAAACCCTTCCGCCATCAAGAGGAGGGGTGGTGGGGGGCCTCTCCAGCTCTTAGAGGAGTCAGGTGAACTCCCCAAAAAATTTTGAATTTTCTGGACTCGGTGCATTGTATTGAACGGAAAACCAAATAATTGCAACGGCAATATACTAAGTATATGTATACGTGGGTGATTCCACGATAACAGGAACAGTAGTGTCGTCAATTTCATTTTCAAGTATATTCAAGGCATTCAGACATATTGAAGAAGAACAACATTGCCATTGGGAGTATTTTTATTTGCGCACCTGCGTAAGATTCATGCAAAAAAGAACAAGACATTTTCATAACTAAAGGTATTAGACCGTAAAATGGGATGTCGTTTACGCGCGACCGACAGGGAAAAAATGACCTGTCGATTACGTAACCGACAGAAGATTCTATGGTCTAAAAGTCTCTGTGACGATAATTTCTCATATTTCGTTTGCATGAACCAGCGCAGGGTCACAACTTTAAGAGATTCTCAAAAACAGTTGTACAAATATGCCTCTTTAATCAGGGCCAGATTTACTTACTTGCCGCCCATGGGCCGCCTGTATTTTGCCGCCCCCTGCTCATTCGTTTTGCAACATCAATAAAAACCATCAAGTGAACGTGCCGGAGGGGGAGGGATGCATAAGACGTGTTTACTCGTATTGGACACATTTCTTGCGAAAGCCCTGTCAACACTACGAGCGAAAGTTCACGAAACTTGGCGTGAAAGTTAAGTTCCTTAAACCTATCTCTGTTTGGACGAGGCCTTCCATTCATATGAAATGAACGAAAAAATTATAAAAGAACAAACATAAATGTGGTTTAATAATTTTAACTTCCGCCGTCGCGCCGCGCTGACCGCACTGTGTTTGACGTAATGCGTGAAGTATTCATGCAGTCTTGTAGGCGCTATGCGTTTCACGCCGACCGCTGCTGACCGCAGCGACCGCTCTGTCTTTGACGCAATGCGTGAAGTATTCATGCAGTCTTGTAGGCGCTAATACGTGTTACATGCCGACCGCCGCGCCGAGGGTTTCTCCTTTTCATCTCAAGTTCTCGTCATCATTGCTCTCTGCGCCGCGCCGTTCTAGGCTAAATTCCGTGTTCGGTTTCTGTCTTAGTCTTAACTCGACTAATTAAAGGTGCTGTCTAATTGTATCACAGATAGACGACAAAATTAGAGATAAACTCTCAGAAAATGAGAGATTTTGTCACATTTTCCCGTTTGCATTGTTTTTCTGTATCCGATTTTTCTTTATACATACATTTAAAAAAAATTGTAAAATATTTGCCGCCCCCTAAATTTGCCGCCATGGGCCGCGGCCCATGTGGCCACCCCCTAAATCCGGCCCTGTCTTCAATTAAATTATTCTATACCTTTAAAAACGCTAAAAGCTAAACTGGCGACACGACTATATTTCCGCAATTGTGAAATCACCCTTGTGCCAAAAAATCTGGGCACTCTAAGAATCTTGGATTTCTTCCTTATAAAATCTTTTCTATGACTTTGTAATGTGTCAAAATGTAATGCCCGTGACAAAAAAATTCCTAGGTGAGAGGTAGAGAGGGTATGATGAATGGGGGTACGATGGATCGAGCCACAATAGAAGAGGTCGGACATGAAATATTCGGCTAAAATTTCTTCTTTTGATGTTAGTTTTGTCAGTAATTAATTTCAAAGGGATGTTCCTGAGAAGAGATTTCGTGAAAAAACCAATGAAACCCCCTTTGAACTTTTTTGTTTCATGTTTTCGAAAATACAAGCTATCAAATTTTCCAGATTTTGTCCGACCTCCTCTACTCACTCGGCCCAGTGTACGGGGGCGCACTGAAAAAAAATGCTCGGCGTTTTTACCAAGGTCCGTTGGTACCTTTACCATCTCACTTTTTTACCAATTATTGGTAATTTTACCAAGACAGATTGGTAAGTTTACCTAAAAACCGGTATTTTTACCGTTTTTTCAGGTAAGAATACCACTTTTATTGGTAATCAATTCCCGGTAAGTTTGCCATTTTATCTCGGTAAGTCTACCACAGTCGATATAAAATATTGTCTTTTTTACCAAGGCCCAGTAAAATTACCGAGAAGGTTCAATAACTTTACCGAGATTTCTCGGTAAAATTACCGATTCCATAAATGCTAATTTTACAAAGAAAAACTGGGATCAAATAGACCCCTGAATTCTTGGTAATTTCACCCTTTTCTTAGTAAATACACCGAGATATTTTTTTCAGTGCGGGTCGTCCCACCTCGCGCCCGAGCAAATTTTTACAGATTCTAAAAGGCAATGACGTTTTTCCAGACAGAATCATAGCGAGATAGAGAAGCGACGCCGGGACAAGATGAACACGTACATCACGGAGCTGTCAGCGATGGTGCCCATGTGCCATTTCATGTCCCGGAAGTTGGACAAGCTAACCGTACTTCGGATGGCCGTCCAGCATCTCAAGTCCATCCGCAGCGCGGTCCACTCCTACACGGAAGGCAGTTACAAACCCTCCTTCTTGTCCGACCAAGAGCTCAAACATTTAATCCTTCAGGTAGGCCACTTTACAATGTTACACTTATTAGGTTTATGGTTATTCAGATAGCATTTATTTTAAAAACAAAAAAAAAAACAAAAAAAAAAACAAAAACAAAAAAAAAACCTTGAAATTTTTACCCTCAATTAGGTTAAAATCTTGTTGGTTTACGGTTGCGGCCGTTCGAGTATTAACGTAACGCATTTTAGGGGGAGGGTGGATCCACCTTTACAGTGCGTTACAAGGGGAATGCGGCCCAAGTCCAGCGGTACGTGACAAATCCGAGCCGGGAAGGAAAAAAAAGAACATCCAAAACATTAAAAATCCCGCCGAATGAATCTTTTCGAAGGGCCCAGCGTTACTTAATTCAAAAGAAGGGGGGTATAGGGGTTCGTTATGGGTGCGTTACAAGGAGGGGAGGGGGAGGGGTAAAAAATGGGGTAAATTGCGTTACGCAATACTTGAACCTCAAGTTGCGAGACCTAACCCTTTTAATTCGACCATGGGTCGTAAATTATATTTCAAACTGTGCACAAGTTGAGCTTTGAGCCATCATCGGTCCCTTGACAAAGCAAACCATTCATCAGCGATCGAATAACAGAGATAGCATTCTTGCCGCAAACTTCAGCCGTAAGTAAACTGGCCGACAAGAGTTAGGAACATATTCGCAAATTCCATGTTTACAATGAAGATGGAGAAATTACGGCTTGGGATTTTTTCCCGCTCTATTGATACCTCTTTGACAACTTTTCACTTTTCAGTCCCCACTCTCAGTTTTCGAATTTTCGACAAAAAAAATTACATTCGACCCATCCTACAATTACAGAGTTTCTTAAGATTGGCAGATAATTAATTGTTAATGGTTCGATTCTTTGGGTTACAGTAAACTTTTTTGTTCGTGGTGTGAAATATTTTCTGAAAACGGTTTCCCCCAGAGTTGCGCGGCACTGTGTCAGTCCAAATTTTTGTAAAAGAACTTGAGTACTAAATCTCAAATTCTGTCACAGTTTTTCTAGATCTAATTAAATGTACCATATTTTTCGTTAAAAATTTCCAAAGAAAAAAAATTGATGGAAACCCCCGAAAGAGTTAGTGTAGCCGTAAGTTCGAAAATGGAAATTTAGATGAAAAGTGCATACAATCAACCTCATATGACTGAAAAAAAAAAAATTGCACTGAATTGGAAATAATTACCCCAGTGATTTTTCAGAAATTTTGAGGTTTAAAACGAAAATTTGGGGAGTCAAATAGCTGACATATGTAATGATCAAGGACCCCACAATATCATCACTCAAATCTCTTTAATCAGGCTCAGTCGTTACTCAGTTTTCATGTTCGTGCCGTGCGCAACCGATCTGTTACATTATTAATAGGACTTTAGGATTTCACGTACAAAAAATCTACCGATGAAAAAAATTAGTAGGGGCTCGCGTGATTCCTCAAATGTTAAAAAGCACGAAAAAGTTGTGAAAAACTAATCGAAAATTCGGTTTTACTGAAATTCGATGAGCGAAACCGTCGAGAAAGCAGTGAAATGTGTTTTTTTTCTCCCTTATTTTTAGTTTTTGGAGGTAGAATAAAGGGTGGTGTCTGGTTTCTCGCAAAAAATTTTCATCGCCATGAGTAAAACAATTCTAAAACCGTGACGTTAAAAAGCCCGTTTTGAATCATAAAAACTTGTTCCTTTCGTAACTTGACGTCAGGACAAAAAAATGCTAGCGTGAGGTTTGATTCAGCAGCTTTAAAAAAAATACGAGTCGTAGCTGAAAAGTAATCAGTTCAAGCCCATAACTACTGGAGTAGGGAAGTTAAACTGTCATGCCTTTGAAAGGATTCGCCACTTTTTCGCTAAGTTACCAAAAAAACCCCTGAACTACAAAAAAAAAAAAAAAAAAAAAACCCACATTGAACAACATTTAAAAACAAAAACTTCTTGAAGAAGAAGCTTTAAACTTTCTGAAAGTTGATTTGATGCCCAACTTTTGCCTATCAAACTTTGAAAGATGAAAACTGATGGAGTTATTCATAAAGGCCGTGTTGAATGGTCGGTAAGTAAAACTAAAGCTTGGCTCTCTTATCGAAAAAAGAGCATGTTTTCAAAATTATTTGATGCGGAACCTATTTTACGACGTCAGAACGGCCGGATGAATTTAAAACCGTTCAAGCGAAGAAATTCATAATCTAATTCACACAAGTAACAATTAATTGCAGCGCAAAAAAGTTGCACCATTTTTGCAGGTACTTTAATTAAGCGTTTTGACATTTGATTTCAGGCAGCTGAAGGTTTTTTGTTCGTGGTTGGGTGTGACAGGGGGAGGATATTATATGTATCGGAATCTGTCTCTCAAATTCTAAGTTACTCTCAGGTATGTTTCTTAATATACGAAGTTAGATTGTAAGCGTGCATCTTATACCTACATTCATCAAATTATGTGTAGCATTTATAAATTTCCAAGGCATATATAAGTTGCTGAAGCTCTGCGCTCTGTTTCAGTGCAAGCCTCTCCAAAGGAATGACATTTTTCTTCAGCCGCATAAAGATCTTAACTGTTCGGGAAGAACAAATAGTGGCATAATCATAAAGGGTTCAAGGGGTCTAGACCTCTTTCCCATGACCGGATAATTGGACCGCTCTTAGCAGGGAAGAACCAAGCTACATTAGCTATTGCCAAATTTAATAGGGCAAATTAATATTTTACTAGAGAACGTTCTGTTTTCTCTGAAAATTTTAAGGGATTTGCTTTGTATTGTGCAGAAAATTCACTGAAATTTGCACGACCGCACAACCGTTTTCATACAAAAAATTAAATTGCCCAATTATATTTGGCAGTAGCTGATATGGCTTGATTCCTTTCTACTTAACGCGGTCCAATCGTCCCCGAAAAACTTATTTTTTAATGATTTTCAGGACTTTTCTTCGCTTATCTAAAAACATGTAAAAAGCATTTCAAGGAAATTTTCGGAATGATCTCCTTTTAAAATAATTAAAGGAAATTAACATTGCTATGGTTTTACGCATGTGTTGACTTCAGTCATTGGTATGACCAGAATTATGGAAGTTAAGGTAATTTTCGATTTTAAAAAAAAAAATAAAAAACAAATAAAAACCTACTATTAAACGTGTGGAATTCAGTTTACTTTTACTTTGTAAATACTATCTCTGTTAGCTATAGGTAATATCTTCTTCCTGCTTACTGACTTTGGAGAATCGTACTGGAACATTTGTTTGCCCATAACCGATTTTTAGAAGCCTTGTCGAGCACTGTCTCGACAGGGACTCAAGGGCCAAAAAAGTAATGAGACGAGTATTTCTCCCGAAAGAAAATGAGTATCAAATCCTCCAAAAAGATAGTTCCTAACTTTTCCATGACACTAATGCTGCCATGCTAAGGAAAAACGCCGCATGAACCTTCAGGCATTGCCAAATTTCCTGTGATAAAACAAGAATCCCCAAGTAAACTTATGAATATTTTTCTTCCGCAATTTTTCCGATAATTTTGTTCGTAATTTCACCTAAAGTTCCTGAAAATTTCAAGGCAAAATATTCACAACTTTCCTCAAAAATGAACATTTTATCGAAGGGAATTTGGCAACTCTCGAATGTTCATACGACGTTCTTCCTTAGCACGGCAGAATAGAGGCCTCTACTACTTGTTCCCTATCATTCCCTAACATTTATCCGTGAAAACGAATATTTCTGAAATACATTTTATCCTGTGTTTCAGGGAGACCTGTTGGGCCAAAGTTGGTTCGATATTTTACATCCCAAGGATGTTGATAAAGTGAAGGAGCAGCTTTCATCGTCAGATCTCAGTCCGCGAGAACGATTAATAGATGCCAAAAGTAAGTTTCTGATTTTGAATTGGACGTATTTATGCTGAAAGAAACTACTCATATGCAATCCCTATGTACGTAGTTCCTTCTAGCATAAATACGTCCAATTTACTGTAAATGTATCGGGGATAGGCAAATTTTGCGTATTCGGGTGCAAAAAATTTTCCGAGATTCCATAAAATTCACGTCTGATAGCATTCATAGTTTGAGGACGAAAAATGGGGGCTTCGACAAAACCGCTATTAAAGTTTGTCGGCTCTGCTCTCACATGCAGGATCGATAAAATTTAAACGCCGCACAGAGGATCGAGTCAATAGGAAGGGTCGGACAGAATGTGGAGACTTTAAAAGCTACTAGCTCCGTTCATACAAAACTTTGAGGTTCTAAAAGTGGTTCGATTCGTTTCACCGTGCAATTTCCTTCTAGAAGTTCCTCTTAAGATTTAAAATGTGGCGAAATAAACTTCAAAATTTGCAATTTTTATCAAGAATTTCATGTCCGACATCTCTAATTGACTCGATCCACTGTGCGCCGGCTAGTTATCTACTGTACCAGAGAGCATTTTGCATAAAAAACCAAGAATCTCTTAGTTTTTATGCAGAGGTCACTCTAAGTTTCTAACATAAAGGTCCCTATTTCTTGAATCCTACGCATTTACTAAGTTATTGCAGATGTCTCGTCTACATTAATTCATTTTTATTTTTTTCAAACCATTTGAATGGTCACTCTTTTAATGTTTATCTCTTTTTAATTTTATATTCAGCCCTCTCGCTCTTCATATTTGGGGTTAAAATGCAGATATTCCTCCAGTAACCATTTAGAATTTTAGAGCGTTGAAAAATTTTGAACCGAGGGGTCTAATTACTTTAGAAAAGGAAACAAAAATTTTATTATGGTTGTTACATATCAAAGAGCTCAATAGGAGTATCTTATTTAGAATCGTTTTACTGAATTTTAGAACCAGTGGGCGTGAAATGCGATGTATCGATTGTTATGCCATTCAAGCTTATGGTAAAGAATCGATTATGAAGGTGTTCGCTGCGAACACCCTGTTTGTCGATCCTTTCCCATACACTGAAAAAAGTAGCTTGGATCAAGCATGATGATTCTTGAATTTGCCGCCAAGAATTTTTTTTCTTGCTTTAAGCTGACTTTTTCTTGATACAAGCAAAATAATCCTTGGGTTTAGCCAAAAAGTAGCTTATGTTAACCAGAAAAATTCTTGATTTAAGAAGAAATACTTCTTGGCGGCAAATTTAAGATTCTTTTTTTCCAGTGATAGGTTTAAATGGCATAAAAATCGATAAATCGCAATTCACGCCACGCCACTGTTTAGAACGTTTGAAAGTTTCGAGGGAAGGGGTCTAATTCATTTTGAAAAGGCAAAATAAATTTTACTATGGTTGTTATTTATCAAAGAGCAAGGTGGAGAAACGGTGCTGGGTCCACACCATTTATCAAGGAGCTTAATATCTTATTCAGGGTCATTTTGCTATATTATCGTGACGTTGCCGTTAATTCCTTTATTAAATGGACTGAGTTTTGCAATTTGGAACTATAAATTCTGCCCCGCTTTTAAAAACAACGTATGTGCCATTAGTTTCCCTACGCACATAAGTGTTTTTTCAGATGAGTCAGACTTTATAGTTGCAAATTGCAAAATGCAGTCCAAATGAAATACTCCGTTTTCCTGACTTAAAACCTCCGATCCTTCACACAAATGAACTCGTCGAATATTGCTGCTCTAATTACTCAATTTGTTCCAGCTATGTTACCTGTTAGAAACGATGCACCTCAAGAGGGCACTCGACTGTGTCCTGGTTCCCGAAGGTCTTTCATTTGTAGAATGAAGTGTAAATTAAATTCAGTTGTTAAGGAAGAAGTAGAATCAAATTCCAGTTGTCATAGGAGAAAAAAGCAACAATTTTCAGGTCAGTGTACTCAACTTCGAGACGAGTCATTCTGAAACAGATTCAGGTGATTCGTCAAGGTTTTCGACGAGCAGTGTTCGAAACTCACCTTTGAGTTTTAGGAGCCATGTGGCGCATCAAGCCCGATATTTAGCGCCATCGAAGATTTTTTAGGGGCCACATTGAGTTTTTGCCTATATATTACGGCGCATTTAATGAAAAGTTAGACGCAAGACGTTTTCGTAACAGAACTTGTAAGAAGCTGTAACTTGGAGAAGACAAAAGCACTAAGGACGAAATCGGAAAAAATAGAAAAAGCCTTCACTTGTAGTGCTGAAAATTTCGAATAATCACCGAATATGAAAATGCAGATTTTTAGGGGGCAATTTTTAGGGGCCACGTTGGCGCAGAGCCTTCATTTTTTAGGCGCCATGGCCGATTTTTTAGGCGCATTTGGTGCGTTGGCGCCTGTGACTTCCGAACACTGTCGACGAGGTCGAACTGGCATGCGATATATCGCATCGATTATTTAATCTCGGAAGATTTTGGATTTTTAGCCGGAAAAGGACGATAGCCCCTGCGCACGAGCCTGAAGAATCATTCCAAACAAAAAAAAATTCAAAATTTAGAGAAATGAAAGCAGAGTCCTGTTTGGAAAAATACCCTGCATTCGAGAACAATTCAAAGTAAATTATTCGCAAAGCGGTCACGGAGCGAGTTCCCTAATTCTCCTTTGAAAAATCATGATTTTAAACAGTTTTGAGACGCCGAATACGAATACATGGACAACAGCAAAGAGGTATAGATTCTTTTTAAAAGGCACGGTATGTGCTGTTTTTGCACTTAACAATTGAACTTGTTGAAATTTGAGATAATTTGAGAGTGAATTGAAAGAATGACGAATCGTTAACATGATTTAATTGAATGCCAATGTAAATAAGGTAATTCAAGAGAAAAACAACTTCTGCAAATAAGAACTTAACGAACATAACTAGTCCTTTTGGGCTTATTAAAAACTTAATGAATGTACGAGAACTACAAAAAAATGAAAATAAAAAGGCTTCTCAAAAATGATGAAAAAAAAATCTGAATTCAAACAAGAATTTTCTGCTTACAGCTTCAATTACAGTGAATTTAGTTGTTAGTAATCACAGTCGAGTCATCGTATGATCGTGAATTTTACAGAAGTGCTACTTCTCGAGCGCAGTTTTCAATTTCGCTGTTGGGCGCAAAAACTACATAACCACGCATAAGCCATTACTGCTGGGGTCACCTGAATGGAGATGTTGCATGTGTGAGGGATTTGCGATTTGACCATTGATTCTTATGTAAAAGTTCGCGAGAAACACGATGGTGCCACTGGTTTTCTCTGAAATTAACTCCCAAGCTCAAAAAAAGCTCTCAAGTTGAGGCCAAAATGGAGGGGATATCCCACCCTATCCTGAGAGTCCACCTCTACATCAAGACAAACTCTCCATGCAAATATAGGAGCAAATACATTGACAGAGCTGCCACTTTATTTGGGGACTCCAAATCTGAAAACACGGCAACCCTGCTAATGTATTTGCTCCCTATCTTTGCATGGAGAGTTTGTTTTGATGTAGAGGTGGACTCTCAGGGTAGGGTGGGATATCCCCTCCATTTTGGCCTCACTTTGAGAGCTTTTTTTGAGCTTGACAGATGATTTCAGAGAAAACCAGTGGCACCATCGTGTTTCTCGCGAACTTTTACATAAGAATCAATGGTCAAATCGCAAATTCCTCACACATGCAACATCTCCATTGCGTCCTTACGCCATGGCTTTTGTACCATATAATGGCAAATCCGCATAGTGGCCCTGTTTTCATCTTAAGCTAACGTGAATCAGTAAATACAAAAAGGGAACATGTCCAGAAAACTAAATTGTTCAGGAGACACAAAAAAACTGCTTATTTCGTGGTAGATATTTTTTAAACATAACGACTTTCCAAAAAATATCAATCACGAAAAACAGTTTTTTGTGTCTCCTGAACAATTTGGTTTTCTGGACATGTGCCCTTTTTGTATTTAGTGATTCACGTGTGTTTTCTGCTTTTCTTTGCTACAGATAAGAGGTATAGTGTGATCCAGTGCACGGGGTACCTGAAATCTTGGGCTCCGGCTAAAGTTGGTCTGGAGGAGCAGGAGAGCGACGCAGAGGCGGAGACCTGTAATTTATCCTGTCTCGTCGCCATCGGCAGATCTCTCCCTCAACTCTACAAATCCTCGTCTCATCAACTCCGCCACAACACACAACCCATCCAGTTCATCTCTAGGCACGCTATAGACGGGAAATTTTTGTTCGTCGATCAAAGGTAAATTTCAAAGGTTCTTTCCTTACAATTGGACTGCATTTTGCAATTTGGAACTATAAATTCTGGCTCATCTGAAAAAACACTTGTGTGCATAGGGAAACTGATGGCACATACGTTGTTGTTAAACCGGGCTGGAATTTATAGTTCCTAATTGCAAAATGTAGTCCAATTAACGTTACTGCCACCCAAGAAGCACAAAGGGGCCATCCGTAAATTACGTCACCTATTTTTTAGCCCTCCTTCTTCCTCCCTCACCGTCACCGTATCCAACCCTTCATCCACTGCTAGAGCCCCCCTCTAAAATTACCTCAGCCTTAGCGTACCTCCCTTCTTTTTAGAGACAAAACGAAGAAAATCGATAAAAATCAGTAGATTTAGTTCAATTTCAAGCAAGAATTTTCAGCCTTTTTGCCTTCAGGAAAGCTTAGGTTATAAAAGTCAGTGGCACACATCTTACTCGCGAGACTAACTGCAATGGGACAAAACACGATAACTTTTTCGGAAAACCTGTAGTAGAGAACCAATGTTTTAGGAAAAGTTATTCTTTACCATTGAATTAAAATTGCGATTTATTACAATGAAATTACAATTTTTTGCCATGAAATTGGAATATTTTTGCATCATCTGGTTAGTGCTGATTTTATAAAATTAATAAAAAAAGTTTCACACGTCAGAACCCAAGTAGTATAGTGCAACGAAAATATTGAAATTAGATTGCAATTTGATTTCAATAAAACTGTACTTTTTTACCATTAAATTGCAATATTTTTACATAATTTAGTCGATTAATGCCGATTTTAAACAATCAATAAAATGAGCTCCATGTGTCTGAAAAATAGGCAATATGCTTGCAATGAAAAATTGCCACTTATTTCAATTTCATTACGACACATTTCAATAAATGGGGCCCCTTCAGATAGGAGCTAGGCAACATACACAACACTCAGTAGAATCACAATATTTTTACAATGTAATTGCTACTTAATGCAATCTGTGCTACTCAGGAAGATCGGCAATTAGCAGTACAATGAAGTATTGCAACTTATTTCAGCTTTATTGCAATGAAATAGTAGATAGGCGCTACCGGTTTGTCTCTATGGATACATCTTTATCGCAATAACTCATTCTGATGCCCTCCATTTTGGAATCATCTCCTGCGCATGCTATAGTTGGTCATGAAATGAATATATGTTTCCAGGGCGACTTTGGTGCTAGGTTTCCTTCCTCAGGAGTTACTCGGGACAAGTATGTATGAGTATTACCACCACGAGGATATTCCAAATCTAGCCGAGTCTCACAAAGAAGCTCTAAAAAATAGTGTTCCAGTTACTACCAAGGTATGCTTATCCTTAGTTTTATTTCCGATAAATTCCCGAAAAATTTGAGCCCCAATTTTATTGGTCTCTTTGCCTGACTCTCTCAAAAGTTCACGGCTTAATTTATCAAACTATATAGTCAAAGTCATACCCATGCTTTCCTTCGATTTCACTTAAATCAAGTGAATGGGTACTTTGAGAAGGAATAGTCTAAATAGGCATAAATGCAGTCAGAAGATGAACGCAGTTTTTTAAGAAAAATCTTGACACTGAAACCACCAAACCACGTATCTAGCTTTGCGACGTTACAGACTGCCTGTCATACTTTATTTTTTAAATGGAAAATCAATCAACGTCAATTCTTGAAAACGTCCGTGATTTTTCTTCTCTGTTCGAAGAAAACTTTATGAAAACTTCTGGGAATGATATTGATTTTTTCTCCTCCAAAAAAATAATATAATGGGAACGGCAAGTGTTTAACACCGCAAACGAGATTCGTGGTACAGCAGTTTCACCGCCAAACTGCAATTTAAACAGTTTTTTTTTAACATGCAAAGTTTTCAGTCCTTACTCCGACCGTATACCTATTTATTGTTTAACTTTTGAACCCATTTCTTTCAAAATTGCAAATATGTTTCTCGACTTCTTCATCTACTGGACCCTTCCTTTAAGTACACGATTGTTCATATTTTTGCTTTGCACCATTTAATTTTAATGACATCAATCCCATATCCTTCTGTAAAGCCATAAAGCGTATTTTACCTTTTCTCTGACCATCAAACTTCCTTTTTTCAGATATATAGGTTTAGAAACAAGGATGAAAAGTTATTTGTCCGCTTACAGAGTGAGTGGAAAAGTTTTCGAAATCCTTGGACTAAAGATGTTGAATACCTAATTGCGAAAAACTTTTTAGTGATGTAAGTAATCCTTTTCTTTAAATTTTTTTCTTATCGATCGTAAAGTTTCCAAATTATGTATTTCAATTTATGTTTTTCGAAATATCTTCTCCCGTTTAATTTTTTTAAATATAAACCAAACAACATACCTTGAGATTTTCACAGAATGTCTCGCCAATATAGAGACAAAAAATAAATAAATAAATATATTAAAAATAACAAAAGTTTTGGGGGAACATATTTGCATAGATGTTGTTGCATAGTTTTTTGCTGAAAAAATATATAATTATGCAATTCCTTAAACCAAGATACTTGGTTAGGGACGTCCATCGTCGTAATGTTCCTGGTTGTTGGAACTATCAAACACTGCCTTCATTTCAAGATGGTTTATTTGTATCTTATTTAACCTTGTACCATTTATTGTAATGATAAAATGTCTGGGTACGTACTTCAGAACTAAAGGCATCAACGATCAATGACTATTATTAATCTCATGAACAAGCCTCATTAATTCTGGGCTGAGAGTTAGTTTTTTTTTCACTGTCATTAGGGAGATTATGTTAAAACATTGACACTTATTGTTGCACTCACACACGCTCGAAGACACATTAAGTCAAAGTAAGACGAGTTAAATTGTGAGAATGTTTGAGTTGGTATAGTACGTATTATTGGAAGAATTTGTTTATTATTTTATTTTTTAAGTCGGAAGAAAACATCAAGAAAAATAGAATGGATGTAAATAGCAAGGAATATTAGATATTAAAAAAACAGTCTTTTCAAAAAACAAAACAAATGAACACACTAATTAAAACAAAACATATTGACGTACTTTTAGAGGGTTTATCCTCCGTAACTGGTGAAGAAATCATTGTGTATTTGTCGCAAATAATTGACATTCACCGACAATTTGCAAGCCACAAGTGAATAAATGGGGAAGCACACAATTCAGAAATAAGGGAACGAGTGTAGAGTACTGATTATTTTGCCGTTATATATTGTGAATACATAATTTTGCTTCGTGAAGCATGGTCGTAAGAAACGGCACACTTTGGAGCATGTAATGAAATTCAAGACCTTGGTTGGGTTTGGATCGGATAGGCAACTAAACTAACTCCGAAACAATGCTTAGAGTATCACAAAGAAATGAAGGCGCACCAATCCGTGAACGTGCCTTTGAAGGCCGCTATCACCCATCCAATCCTCATTATGCCGATGCGTACTGTTGCGATTTCTCGAAAGAACATGTAAGCCGCTTGCAAATTGCCGGCGATTGCTAATCGCCTGTGACATAATTGGTCGAAATAACACTTTAAATTTTGGATGTATACTTACATTCACAGATCAGACAGTGATAGAATTAGTTCAAACATTCAAAGAGCTGAAAGTGCACCAAGGACGGAAACCAACTCCTTTGAATGCTTCTCAAACTCTCAAAGTAAGTTTTCTACACGGTTTTTCCTTCTTCTTATTATTCAAAGAGGAGCAAAACGCGTATACTTTTTATTTTGAAAAGCAATGCCTTGATATCTTTAACTGGCTTACTATCTCGCTGTATGAAAGTGTATATTTTATTCCCATCAATCGGTCGAAAAATGGCAACAAGCAATCTTGGAATCATTTGGATTATTTTTCGATTACTACGAAGTGTTAAATATATACACGAGAATGAAAACGTTACATAATGCTTTTTGATAAAATTTCAATCCGATGATGGTTACTATCGATTAATACTCTGCGAAGCTTCTTGTTCCCCTAAAAAACTGGTTCTCTTTTACTAAAGGTATCTCGATTTTTTTTAAAATTGTATCGCTATTTTATAAAGTTTATTTGATTTGCAAAGTTCTATTTTGCCATGCGCTTTGCAAATTTGGCATTCGATGAGTCATCGAGTAAGCGAGTTCTAAAATTGGAAAGAATGAACTAGAATCAGACTATCACTGTAGTGAATTCATGTTTTCTTCTTGCTTTTTCCTTTTTTTTTAAGAAACAAGTAGCATTCCACTTTAATAGCTGATATGTATGTCCTTCATGCTCCAAGGAAAGTTTACAGGAAGTTTCCGGGTAGTATTTCGCATGGAAATCTTTTTAAAAAAGTAAAACGTCAGACGATTTTGCAAAGTGAAATGCAGTTAAGCCGATCCATCCAAGTGCGGGCCCTCAGCGTGCCTGCATTTGAATCAGTGGTTTCCAAAAGGAAACAGGTTCATTTCTTGATGAGTCTTAAGTAGCATGTCCTTTTATGCAGCTCAAGGCTCATGCAAAAATGGATTGGTTTCCTTTTGGAATGAACCGATTCATCATTGGACAGAATTGCGGCGATAAACACGTGGCGTTGACTATTGGGCATGGCTGCAAGTCCACAGGCCGCGTTGTCTCAACTCTCAAGGGGACTCCAGCGCTAACTATGCGTTGCGCGCACCGTGCTGTACGCGCAATGCATGAAGTATCCTGTGGTCTTGTAAGGCACTCCTATGTGTTCTGCGCCGCGCACGGCGCAAAATTGTAACTATTCGTGCTCAACGGATATCCGTGTTGCATATACAAAAAACGAAGGCGTTTTGCTTCGTTTAGTTCTTACTCAAAGCGTGAATCCATGCATTCATAAATTTATCCATGGCATGCATCCCTGTGAGTCCCTCAAAAAGATTGCTCATCAATATTTAAAGAAGCGTTTTCTCCGATTTCAGAATCTATATCAAAACTATAGGTTACGACCCTGACAGCTGTGCGGTCCGACTATCAGGTCGCTTTGTTTTTCTCTACAATAATGTGTTCCACTCATTGGTTAGAACTGAGAGCATAGTGAGAGGCATACGTGATTATTCGATAAATTTAATACTGTTTAAATTTTATCGGAGAGAAAAACACACAAAAAAACTTATGTTTCTAGGAATTCCTTCGTAGACTTTCATCATTTCCTTTTTCCTGCTTTGACGTAGATTCTCGAGTCTTGCTAATATTTGTTTGTATAGATTGTATTCGATACTTCAAACAGGTGAGATTGTAGCGATACCGATTGGCTCAGCATGTAAATATAGCCTCGAAAATCAATTGAGTAATTTGAGGGAATGGATTTTTTATGACAGATTTTTGAGTCTTATATATAAGATCTCAAAAATGAAAAGAGAATGTGTTAGGGATTTTCTCATTTTTAGCTTTTCTAACTGACATCCAAAAATTTGTGTTTGAGGTCACGTTTTATTTATTTGAACCAGACAAGACATCGAGCCACTATTGAATACGATCCATTTATGTTTTTTTTAGTTTTGCTCATTTTTTTCATGACATTTTTGAGTTGACTAATTTTTTCTTCTTTTTTCTCGCTTCAATCCAATTTTTCCCCCTGCTCGTTAACCCGGATTCACTTGTCAATCTCTACAATCAGTTTTCGATTTTTCATTAGCAAATGGTCACAACAACATGTCCGGCCGGGATATGACGCGGCTTATTAGTTCACATGTTGAAGCGAGCAAAATAGGGAGGCAAATTGCTGAGGCTGTCCTGGACATGCAGAGGAGAGGTGAAGAAAGCTCACCGTCCAACGGCACACCTTCGCCGGCGGAAGTAACCGAGGTTAGTTAGCGCTCTCTTTTTACGTGAAAACTCTTTTTATGTGAGGCTCTTTTTCTAATTCTCGTCAATCTACCTCCATTTCTCTCCTAACAAAAAAACATTTAAGGTAATTCGACGGTTGCCATTTTTTGTGTCGTAGCGACGTGCGATACATCGCATCAATTTGTTCCATAATTTCAGCTACTCGTCATTTTTTTCGAATTTTGAGATCGCTTTTCGGTTGTCACGAGACTAAAGAATTCATGCACCAAATTTGACGAAGAAATTCAGCGCAATAAGGGCAGGGTTTTTTTACACTGGAAAAAAAAAAAACACATCGGATCTAGAGTCTAGACTCTTGAAAACATTGACAAGAAAAAATACTCTTGATTCAATCAGATTTAAGCTTAACTCAAAAGGAAATCAGCTCAAATTAAGAGGCTGGGTTCTTGATTTAAGCTTAAATCTGATTGAATCAATAGTATTTTTTCTTGTCGATGATTTGAAGAGTCTGGACTCTAGATCCAATGTGTTTTTTTTTCCAGTGTAGAGGAAAAATATCGCATTCGATACTGATACCGAAACTGTACTCGAATGCGATATTTTTCCTCTGAAAAAACTCTTCATTTAATACGTTGAATTTCTTTGTCAAATTTGGTGCAAGGATTTTTTAGTTTCATGACAACAGAAGTGCGATCTCGAAATTTGGAAAAATGACAAATAGCTGATATTATGGAACGAATTGATGCGATATATCGCACGTCGCTCCGACACAAAAAATGACAACCGTCGAATCACCTCAAGTCCAATTACTTGAATTGGGATTTTATGAGTTCTACTGGGTGATATAAACATGAAGATTTTTGAAAATTGGCAACATTGCTTTTCTTCAGCATTTTTCAACGGAAAAGTTGCGATATATTGAAAGCAAGTTGCAATTTTCTGGCGATAAAATCGCCGGGATCATCAACATCTAAGCGATTATCCTCAATCTTGATGCAATTTTATCTCTATAATATGGAAATTTCTTCTAAATTCATGACGATAATATTGTTTTTGTATTTTTTTGCTTTTTTTGTTCGATGGTATTGCAATAAATTGCCGTCGTTAAAATTGCCATTTTATTGCAAATTGATGCAATAAAATCGCAATTTTTTATCCAATAATACTACAAAAATTCAACGTCGATAAAATCGCGATACATTCTCAAATCAAATCGCAACTTATCGCAATCACTACTACTGGGCAAGGATCTATGTTCAAAGTTACATTGCTAAATTTTGCTCACGGCTCAAAAAAATTGTCCATTTTTTTATCCTAAAAGGCTTCCTCAAACCTCCCATAGTCAAAATAGAATTCACACTAGGCCTCCCAGGGAACGGAGCAGCTTAAAGAACGACTACACTGAACATTTTTTTTTTTTATCTATTATTTTGACATAAAGTGTCGTTTCTTTTAGACAATATTTGGTTTTTTGGAGTTGAAAAAAACCTTGTTTTTGAAACCTCACGATAAAAAATGACGCTTTTTTAACTCAGAAAAATTGATGTTGAGTTGAGTCCATATGGATTTAACAATAAAAAATGCAACATTTTAAGGACAAGAAACGACGCTTTTTGTCAAAAATTGTTTTTTCAGTGTATGAGCAATTGAACACGTCCCTGAATCGATGAAATATGTAAAGCAAAATCCCTCCATTAATGAGTCGAACTACGTCTAAGATGATTAATTAGTCACCACTTTTTATAACAGGTAGCAAATATATTAAACGACATACGGCAAGGCGCATCGCGTGACGCCATGAGCACAATTTACAATCTTGTTAACGAAGGCCAAGCATTGAATGTAGGTAGCTATTGCACTCAGGAATAGCTGGCACCGGCTCTTTCTGAGTACTTAAAATTCGTCCACTAAGTATCTCCTTTTTTTTACGTTTTTATACAATTGCTTTTGTGCTTACCCTCTCCGTTGGCAAGATACCCCCTCCCCCCCCCCCCCCCCNCCCCCAAAAAAAAAAACACAAAGTTATACTAACTTTTTCGACAATTATACTCTAAGAACCACTGGTATTTTTTGCCGTTTAGAAAATAAGTAAAATAAAGGAAAGTTCAATCTTTGGAGCTGCGGTTGTTTTCCGAGGTGTAGAAAATGCCCGGTCGTTTAAAATTTGAAAGGCCCTAAAATTTGGGAAGAGGGGCAATTTTTAAGGGTTGAAAGTGAAAGGGAAAACAAGAAATGGGCCATCATCTTCTTTCAGGCGGAACATTTGCTGAGAAGTCTATAAGAGAAATATGGAAAGCTGGAATAGGACGCGTGAGAATCTAGAGACCTGGGAGATTTTTCATCTCTGGTGGGTTTTTTAAAAAATATGTTTTAGAGATCCCTCGGTGCGGAACGCCAAGTTTATTTTCAGTATTCGTCTTTTCACTGAGGAAAACACAAGCCTCTCCCTAAACCAGAAAATTTAAATAAAAATAAAATCCTGTCGACGGATCTATGAAATTTCTAGGAAAATTTAAAATTGGCGGAAATCAACCTGAAAATGAAAGTAATCACTACTGAGCTCTATCGCGTACCACGTGAGGTCTAGATTTGGATATATCGACAAGGAAATTCATTTTTCATTGATTCCCTGCAAATTTCTCAAATTGCGCACCTGCTTTGGACGCTCCTGTTCCGCACTGCTTTTACATTTTCCATCCGGTTCAACATTTGCTTTTCTCTACCTGAAATTGTTGTGTTTTGACATCGTCCAATAAAACTACCTATGACTTATGAAATGTTAATGGTGAAAAAAGCCTCTGTGTCAATACCAGTAGAGCTCGGTGGCGAGGCGCGAATTAGAGTACCTTTATAGCGAGAGTATGGACAGATCGCTTGATGGAAGGCTTAGGGCCCAAAAGTGCAGCCACCCCTCTGAGCGACTTCTAACACACAAAATTTCACTGCCAGCCTACAGAGTTCAATTCTAACCAAGATGGCCAAGAATATACATAAATGAGCGTTCTTTTGCAAAAATAAGTAAAATGCTAAAAGTAAGCCAAATACATGCTTTATAAACGGCGGTTCGTAACAATTGTATTTGTAAATCGCTCGGGACATTCGAAATTCATAGGTTGGCTGCATTCCTGGGCCCGAACTTTATTGGCGGAGGCATCGGTGAAGGCCTGATGGATTTTCGGAGTTTCACATCTGTCCATACTCTCGCTGTACAGGTACTCTAGCGCGAATGATCGATTATCGATAATCCCCCATTTGAAGCTATGGTAAAGAATCGATTATCAAGGTGTTCGTTCAAACAACCTGTTTATCGATCATTTCTCATAGGCTCAAACGATGAATCAATCGATATATCGCAAAGGACGCAACGCAAGTGGTAGAACTCGCCCTGCATTCTAAACCACGTTAGCATACGTTATTCCACTAAAACTACGTTAAATTTTCTATTATATAGCTCCCAATTAGCGTTCAAAATTTTAAGTGAAACCTGGAAAAGGTTTAAATTTTTGGCTTTCTACATCTACCACTCATGTCATCGTGTCATGCATTACAGTAATGTAAAACACATTACAGTAATGTACATTTTGCATTAAAATTTATTTTACTGTACTTTACTCCACGTTATACCCTAATGACCTGTGAGTATAATGCTGGATTTTATAATTTTTCTGAAAAACAGTTTTCTTATATGAGAAAATTACTTGCTTGTCGCTTTAGCATTTTGGGGATTCGTTAAGATTCTTGATTTAACCTCCTCTTCTCTAACGATTTTCTTGCCAATTTTATTTGCTTGCAGACCACTCAACCGATTAACGGTGCTAACCATGATCTTGACGGTATGAGATCAACTATGTTAAGCAACAGTTCCATCCCGCTGTCTAACTACACGGCGATTAGAAACAACGTCACTTTGTCTAGTTCAGCCAATAGTACTGGTAGGTCATCGATATTATAATTTCTCATAATGTCTACGGGAAAAAACACTTACTTTGGAGACTGAGACGCTAGGGTAGAAGAATAAACTATCACAAAACTGTCAAAGATGTGACAATGCGGGGGATAAGAATGGGTCAGATGCGCTGGTCACAGAATCGTGTTTTGATGCTTAATTTTTGTAGATCAGCTGAAAATAACAAGATCTGTCTAGCAACTTTCTACGTTCAATATTAACCGAGACGTCGCCCTTTGAATTGTCGAGTTCTTGACGTCATCCACACACTGGAAAAAAAATACACATTGGATCTAGAGTCCAGACTCTTGAAAACATTGACAAGAAAAAGGACTCTTGATTCAATCAGATTTAAGCTTAAATCAAAAGGAAATCCTCTCAAATTAAGAGGCTTGGTTCTTGATTTAAGCTTAAATCTGATTGAATCAAGAGTATTTTTCCTTGTCGATGTTTTTAGGAGTCTGGACTCTAGATCCAATGTGTTTTTTTTTCCTAGTGCAGCGATAGTGATCGATACTCTTAGTTTCTGAATCAAGAGTATTTTTCCTTGTCGATGTTTTTAGGAGTCTGGACTCTAGATCCAATGTGTTTTTTTTTTTTTCCTAGTGCAGCGATAGTGATCGATACTCTTAGTTTCTTCCACCTTGCTTACATCAGTTGGTGTAAACACATTTACATTAGTTATTCAACATTGAACTTGGATGAAATTAAGGTGGAAGAAACCAAGGATGTCACTACCGCGGTGGATGACGTCAAAAATCCAATCTTTCAAAAGGGCGCGATATCTCGGCTAATTGAACATAGAAAGTTATACATATGCTGTATTTGACAGGTTTTATATTTTTAGCTAATCTACAAGAATCAAGCATTAAAATACGATTTTATGATCAGCATAACTGACCCATTTAGGTGATTAAAAAACGTTATCGCCACTGACAATCACAGTCGGTTATTATTTGAGACATAATGTGCCTCGGAGACTCAAACGCTGGGGTAGAAAAATAAACTGTCGAAAAAAAACTGTCGAAAGAAGTGAATCTTAAGAAGACCATGTAAGGTTTTTAAGTGTATCGGAATAGAATTTTAAGGGAGTTCAAACGCGCATTATATTGCATATTCTCGGATACCATAAGGGTCCCCGCTTCATAGCCAATATCGTCCCTCACGTTCAACCCGCAGTTAAACTAATTATACTCGTAATCATGTCGATATAATGTGTCTTGCTTCGATTAAAAATCGTCGTGATCAGAAATTATATCAATTAAATTTAATTTCATAAAACTATGAATTTGCTCCTAAAGTCTTTGATGGTCATAATTCTGAGAAAATCTTCTCATTTTTGATATTTTCTTCGATGAAAAATAATGGAAGCAAACGGTGATACTTCCAATTATCCAGGCATTTGACACAATGCCTGATTTACCACCTGCAACATTTATAAACGGAAGGAGAGGAAGGGGGTGGCGGCCCCCCCCCCGCCCCCTGTCCCTCTTGCAGCCTGATTATTGAAATTGATAGACAAAGACGACAAAAGGGAAGTAAAGAGATCCTATCGGTGGAAGCGGGTGGTTGCAATGAACAAAGCAGGTAAGTGATACACAAATTAACGGCAACCTACGAGAGAACCTTTAGTTAGTCCATCATTTTCCCCCTAAGTTTATAACAACCACCCATTGCAACGGATAGGATCGCTCTAAGTTTCCTACGTCCTCTTATAGTCTATCGCTTTGTCTATCAATTTCCATAATCAGCCCGCTGGCCGCTTCCTATTTCTAATTTTTTTGGACTTCCCTGTAACTGAGCTCTATCTATTAGGAGGTAAATTCTCATTTTCGTTGAAACAATGGAGATGTTGCATGTGTGAGGGATTTGCGATTTGACCTTTGATTCTTATGTAAAAGTTCGCGAGAAACACGATGGTGCCACTGGTTTCCTCTGAAATCATCTCCCAAGCTCAAGAAAAGCTCTCAAGTTGAGGCCAAAATGGAGGGGATATCCTACCCTACCCTGAGAGTCCATCTCTACATCAAAACAAACTCTCCATGCAAAGATAGGGAGCAAATACATTAGCAGAGTTGCCGTGTTTTCAGTTTTGGAGTCCCCAAATAAAGTGGCAGCCCTGTCAATGTGTTTGCTCCCTATCTTTGCATGGAGAGTTTGTTTTGATGTAGAGGTGGACTCTCAGGGTAGGGTGGGATATCCCCTCCATTTTGGCCTCAACTTGAGAGCTTTTTTTGAGCTTGGGAGATGATTTTAGAGAAAACCAGTGGCACCATCGTGTTTCTCGCGAACTTTTACATGAGAATCAATGGTCAAATCGCAAATTCCTCACACATGCAACATCTCCATTCTCATATTCGTTGAAACAATTGAGATTATTATTGTGTTGACAGGTGAGCAAGATGATGTGCTGGACATGATGGACAGTGTTTCGCCGGAACAGTCCGGGCCGAATGACTGCAACGACGAGGCTGCAATGGCCGTCATCATGAGCCTTCTCGAGGCGGATGCTGGTCTTGGAGGACCTGTTGATTTTTCCGGCCTCCCGTGGCCCTTGCCCTAGGTTTCCATCAGGTGCGAGCCCTCATTCTGATAAGGTATCTAGCAGTGCTCTCATTCCATGTGCACTGGAAAGAAAGAACACATTGGATCTAGAGTCCAGACTCTTAAAAACATCGAAAAGAAAAAATACGCTTGATTCAATCAGATTTAAGCTTAAATCAAGAACCAAGCCTCTTAATTTGAGCGGATTTCCTTTCAATTTAAGCTTAAATCTGATTGAATCAAGAGTCCTTTTTCTTGTCGATGTTTTCAAGAGTCTTTACTCTAGATCCAATAAGTTTTTTTTTCCAGCGTATCAAAAGTTCCGGGATTTGGAACATTTTCGTTCCAAGTTCTCCCACTCCATGACCGTCAAAAGTTCCGGGATTTCTTTTACACTTTTTCAAAAGATCCGAGCCGGCCAGGTCGGCCTAGTGTTCAGCGTGTCTGACTCTAGGTAAATAGGTCCCGGACTCGCATCCCGGTAGTGGTGTCAAATTTTCATGGAAATGACGAGTAGATCTGCTGAAAGAGGTCTTAGTCGGCCTTAGTCCCTGAAAATTTGAAAAACCTGGAGCATGGATGTGCACTAACCGTTTGCGGTGGCTGTTTGTCTAGCGACTAAGGTCTTAAAGTTAATCCAACCTTGAAAGGGCTCAAAGCTCCTGATTAAAAAGGAACAAAAAATCCGAGACAATTCCGGAAAATGCACAACATCCGGAAAATTTCGGGAATTTCAAAAGTTCCGGGAAAAGCTCAGGAAAATCTCAAAAGTTCCGGAAAATGGGAGCACTGGATCTAGCCATGCATGTGAAACAGAGTAAATCGACGGTGACACTACAAAACCGCTATCTCGGTTTGCGAAGTTACAGACTTCCTGTCATTCTTTATTTTTTAAATGGAAAACTACTCAACATCAATTCTTGATAACTTCCGTGATTTTACCTCTCTGTGCGAAGGAAACTCTGAGAAAACTTCAAGAAATGATTTTGATTTGTGCTTCTTTAAGAAAATCAATGAGAGACTTTTAGACACAGCAGTTGAGGTACGCGGTTTCATAGTTTCGCCGTCGAAATGCCTTCATTTAAACGTATATGTAATAATGACTTCTGTTGAGTTCGAATTGTTGCATCCAGGCGTTTCTCCTCTATGCATCTACGCTCATCGAGTGGAAAATGTGTGAAAAACCTTTTAAAAATCTACTGTGTTTTTTTTTTATAATTTCTTCAAAATTTTAGACGAAAAATTTTAAACAACTCTCTAGAAATATTACTTTTTTTAGAAGCGCTTTGGCATTCATTTTACCTCACGTGAAACTTTAGAAAAATATTCAAGAGAGTTTTCTGAAACATAATTATAAGAGTTTTGAAAAAATAATTTTTAACAGTCTGTTTCACTGCAAGCTAGCTTTACATCTTTCTTTCTATTTAATGTCGCCGGTAAAACTGCAGAAACGCCTATCTCGGTTTGCGACTTCCCATAATTCCATTCATACACTATTTTCTAAATGGAAAATTATTAAACGTCATTTTTTTTAAAATTGTAGATATTTTCGTTCTCTTTAAATAGAATACTCTGTAAAAACTTCAAGCCATGATGTTGCTTCGGCCTCCTTTTAAAAATAAAATAGTCGTTAAGATTTCGAAACGTCGCAATCGAAATACGCATTTTTGCAGTTTCATCGTCAATATGCATCTTGTACTTACTAAGGGCCATTTTCAATTAACGCGTTTTCTATGTGTTTAGGAATGTGCACAATTGGTATTTCCATACTATTCCTGAGCATGTGGCACCCTATGACTTCGTCATATTCCTGGTCGTGGAATCGTCACCGATGAAGGACTCATCGAAGACACCGCGATATGGGAAGCGATTCTCTCCGAGGTCAACAGGAAAACTTCTCTCTCAGACTCACAATCAGTCGGATCTTAATGATTTTCACGCGTAGGAGAGACGTTTCAAAAATTAGGATCCTTGTTAATTTTGTAATCCCATCTTGGTTTATGAGCTGAGCATCTCTAGGGAGCCGGAATGAATAAGTTTATGGTACTTTCCTTTACAAAAGAAGGAGGACGCGACCAGATTTGCGAAAACGGGAGAGAGAGAGAGAGGGATCATGCAGGTACAAAAGTAGAAGAAATAGGTATAGAAAAGAGGGAAAATGAAGAAATCCATAGGGGGTCTTCTCAATCATCTTTCTAATTTCAAAACTGAAATATGGGTATTTTTATAAGAGGTCTGAGTTCTGCCGTGATAAGGTAGAACGCCGTATGAACCTTCAGGTGTTGCCAAATTTCCTTCGATAAAACACGAATTTCCTGGTAAACTTGTGAATATTTTCCTCCCAATTTTTGCATTTAATCTTGTTCGCAATTTTACCTAAAGATTCTGAAAATTTAAAGGAAAAATTTTCATAACTTTCTTCAAAAATAAACATTTTATCGTAGGAAATTTGGCAACTCTCGAATGTGCATACGGCGTTCTTCCTTAGCACGGCAGGGTTCACTCACTGCTCACTGAAGTCGGCAGGTACCGTGATTTCATCCAGTGGCGAGGCATGAATGATCGAATCGACTATCGATATTTCCCCATTTGGAGCTATGTTAAAGAATCGATTCTTAAGGCTGTTTGTTCCGGGAACCCTGTCTATCGATCTTTTTCTATATGTTTAAATAGCAAATCAATCGATATATCGCAAAGCACGCCGCGTCACTGATTTAATCCCATCCATAGGCTTAAGTTAAATCAATCGTGGGAGTGAGCAAAAATTATAAGATCTTGAATGAATTTTGCTGAAATACCGGTTTCAATTTGTTATTTGACAAGGGCAGATTCATTACGCATTTCAGTTGTTCATTGACCCTCCAAAATGTCTTTTGTACCACCTAAATAAAAGTTGCAATTAATTAAACGCGAAATCAGATTTAATATTTTTAGTTTGGATACTTTCAGCTCTATTGAAGGGTTTAGAAAATATTTGTTCGGAAGGGAAAAGCTGGAACGTCCTTCTAGGTGTAATACTGGTTCTGCCTAAAATTCAAAGTGAAACCAATGTTTTAGCAACTTCATTCCATATCTGGAAGTTTCTTCACTTCCGGTGGACATTATGTGACCATTTACGGGAAAAGAGACCTTAGTCTATGAAGGATACCTCGGGAAAGCAATTTTCATCACATTGGATCGAAAAAATTGGTTGTTGAGTTTTCAATGGAAACTTCTGGAGTAATTTAAGCTCATTTTTGTGCTGATGAAGGGCGAAAAATTGCATTTTTGTCCGATAATTTCAATTCTTGCCTATGGCAGATTGTGAGGGTTTAACATTTTTCAGTGTCAGTGCCATATGTTCGTAAGATTTCGCTATGCATGCATGCAATCTTGCCAATACCTCAAGTTTGAACTTCTCGGCATTAAAGTCTCTTTTTTTCATAGACGACGCGGCATTTATTGATGTTTAAGATCGGAAAATGTGCATATCGGTTGTAAAGTTGAATCATTTTAATTGCATTTCATATTTTTTAAAAATCGATCAAATGGCTGAAATGTTTTCCTTTGAATGTTGAACGAATTGAAAACATTCGCAGAACATTTTCAGGAAAACAATTTTCCCATCAAAAAGAAATAAAACATATATTAAAGACTTACAATGTCACTATCAGAGATTATATTTCGTCTTTATCAATTAATATGTGCTAATACCTACATAAAAGTTAAAAAAAAAAAAAAAAAAAAAAGGGGCTCTAGGCAGTACTACAAAAAAAAAAAAAAAAAAAAAAACGCAAGCACGTGGATCAAAATTGAGGAGCTTTCCGGGAAATGGGCACATGGCAAAAAATTGCGTTGGAGAGAAATGCATTTGAAGTTTTGATCATTACTCTATGGCCCCTGACAGTGACTTACGTTCGAAATTGGGAGTCCAAGCTGCGATGAAAGGTATCATCAGTGGCCAAAAATTAATGATGAAAACTTAAAATGCCTTTTTCTCAAACGCGATTTTTTGCTATGTGCCCTTTTCCCGGAAAGCTCCTCAATTGTAATGTTTTGAGAGTTCCTTCCCACATTTCTTTTTCCAATAGGAGACGATTTGGTACTTTCGCGTAAAAATACTATGAATTCAGATAACAATGTGTGTATTTTCCTACACTGGAACAAAATGAAAATGGAAAATAGCAACTTCGCAACCTGTCGTAGGTACACGTTTTTCCCCGAGAGGCAGACCCCCAAGGAAATCTTGAACTTTTGTACAGCTTTCATTGTTATTTTTAAATTCCCACGGTGCTTTACAAATACCTGCTTTGACCCATTGTCGGTCATTTTGTTAATTGTCATTGTCGAATTTTTTTTCTAAGATCTGATCTTGGAAATAATTTATGTCTCTGTACCTGTTTACCTACATAAAGTACAATTTTAAAATAAGTATTTGGTCTTGCTTTTTTCCTCTGGATGTTTTCGTGAAAAGACTGAGAAACCAATACCTTTAACCGAGAACTCCTGCGAAATCCGTGGAGGAAATTATTTAATTGCCATCACACATCACATCACATTTTGTTAGTTTTTTTAATCTTTAAAGATTTTGTGTCGAAGCTTAACTTGTAGGATTTGTCTTCGATTACTTGAAGCAGTTGAAACATAAATAATTAGAACTGCAAAATCCGTTTTATTAAATCCTCAAAGAGCTGCAGTCGAAATAAGGCGTCAAAACATTTTTAATTACAAAATTAAAAGAAAGAAGAGGGATAGGTAGGGAGCGAAAAGAGGAAATTCAAAATACCATAAAAAACCCAAATTCAATGCAATGATAAAGAAAAAATGAAAAATAAATTATCTTTGAAAAAGTAGGTAATTACAGAGTTGCCAAGTTACGTGACGAGGCAGTAGATCTTCCTCCCCCTCCGTAACGCGCCCGTAACAGTGGTTGTGACATCCTCCGCCTTGAGCGTTACGTACACTGTAGGGTTGCCACAGAATTTGGAAATTAAATTCTCTGACATTGCTCTGATTTCCCCGCCACATTTTGGTAAAATCCCTTAACAATAAATTGAACAAATGTAAGATTGTTAAAAAGACATAGTTAGAAAAAGTTTTAAGGCAAAATTTGTTGTTCGAAACGTCAAACCTACTCAAGAAAGCAAGTGAAGGTGATTTGACGATTTCCCCTGACACTATCAGGTTTTCCCTGCCTTTTTAAAATTCCCTTGCCTTTCCCGGTATTCCCTGACTGTGGCAACCCTGACTCTATGAACGGCTCCTATCCCAAGTAGCAGAGATCGCGATAAATATAGAGATTTTATTGGTTGGTTATCGCTATTATATCGGTGGCAATTTATCGCGATATTATCGAATAAAAAGTTGCTATATATGGCGATTTAATCGCTTTGCATCACAATTTTTGGTTCGATAAAATTGCGATCAATTTTCGTCGATAAAGTCGAGATTAAAGCGCCATTTATCGCGATTTTTATTTTGAAAATATCGCAATGAGATCGAGGATAATCGCTCAGAAGTTAATGGTCCTGGTGATTTTATCGCCGATAAAATCGCAATATATAGCGATCTTTCCGTTGAAAAATGCTATTTGGGTGTCGATTGTTCTTGGTCCGATTATTTGATTCTCGATCGAATCGATCACTATCTTTACGACAGTAACCCAAGTAGCATTTCTCGACGAAAAAATCGCTATAAATTGCGATATTATCAACATCATCAACATCTGAGGGATTATCCTCGATCTTACCCTGGTAAAAATCGGCAGTAGAATCTGTTTTGCAAAATACCATAGACCTACAGCCGGCTGTAAGATTTCCAATAGCTTCCTTAGCCGGCTACACAATTTCTTATAGCCTTTTATAGCCGATGGCGATTAAGCGACAGCCAGGCGATTAAGTGTATGCTAAACGTTACTAATTAGGGATGCTAGGACTTAGTGAGTTTTTGGACTACTGCTCTCTTTTTGGGCTGTAGTATCTTGATTTATTTTGCGAGGAAAGCTCCATACTTTTGATGGATGCCTGCCATTCCTAATATATTAGAGCGCCTTCACTTTCGTATGATACTGTGCAATACCTCTGGTGTGAAATAGTTGCTTCAAGCGCCGTGGCACGCGGGCAGCTAGCGCGGAACGCGCTTTGGCGCCTACAAACCTAACAGGGATACTTCGCGCGTTGCGCAATGCGTGAAGTATCCCTGTTGGGTTTGTAGGCGCCAGTGCGTCGCTGCTCCGCTTTGTGTTAGGCTCTAATATTTAATCTGGCGGAGTCAGCGTTATTCAACTCATGATTTTGAAATATTTGCACATCCTGTATGGATTGTTCTCATTTTAATTGATGAAAAAAATATGTATTAAAGGAAAATATAATGTGTGTTTTGTAAATATTAAAGTGGTTCCGTATCAAACTTAATGATTTCCAAAACACACGAATTTCTACACAATTTCTACACAATATCTCGATATATTGCCACCGATATAATCGCGATAACCGCACTGGAAAAAAACACATTAGATCTAGAGTCCAGACTCTTAAAAACATCGACAAGGAAAAATGCTCTTGATTCAATCAGATTTAAGCTTAAATCAAGAACCAAGCCTCTTAGTTTGAGCGGATTTCCTTTTGATTTAAGCTTAAATCCGATTGAATCAAGAGTCCTTTTTCTTTTCAATGTTTTCAAGTCTGGACTCTAGATCAATGTGTTTTTTTCCCAGTGCGACCAATAAAATCGCTATTAAGCCCGATGACTGCTTCTTGGGTTGGGTATCGATTGTTCTTGGTCCGATCATCTGATTCTCGATCGAGTCGATCACTCTTTACGACAGGAAGGATCGAGGCGGATTTAAATGAATTCATTCGACATCGTTGGTAGAATCGACCTCCTTCTGCGAGGCGATCTCGGCGTGTACGAGGTGATTCTTCCCCGGGCCAGGTCGAATTGTATTCGGGGATGACGCCGACGACCCGGACGCATAGAGCTTTTGGAAACGTTGATTGGTGGCCGCAGAACGTGGCAACTCCACCCTCTCCTTGAACTCCTTCGGGATTTGGTTGTAGGTTTCAGCCATAGCCGCCGTCAAACCTCCATTGGCTGATATCACGTCGTTGTTCTGGAGGAATCGCCACCTGTTGAAAGACATCGCATATCTGGTGGGAATGACCATTTAAGGTGATTCGATGGACGCCATATTTTGTCTCAGAACGGCATGCGATGTATCGCATCAATTGGTTCCATTTTTTTTAGCTATTCATCATTTTTCTCCAATTTTGAGATCGCAATTCTGTTGTCAGGAGACTCAAGCACTCACTTACCAATTTTAACAAAGAAATTCAACGTAATAAAGGCGTGGTTTTTTTTAGAGAGAAAATATCGCATTCAAGTGCAGTTTCGATATCAGTATCGAATGCGATGTTTTCTCTCTGAAAAAAAAAACCACGCCTTTATTACGTTGAATTTCTTTGTTAAAATTGGTAAGTGAGTGCTTCAGTCTCCCGACAACAGAATTGCGATTCAAAATTGGAGAAACATGACGAGTAGCTGAAAAAATGGAAGCAATTGATGCGATATATCGCATGCCGTTCTGACACAAAATATGGCGTCCTGACACAAAATATGGCGTCCATCGAATCACCTTAAAGAATGGTGAATTTGCACACAAAAATCTTATTGCCTCATCTGATCGATTGTTTAATAAGCTGGGTTCGCAGAATTTTTCATAATTTTTTTCTGAACTGGGAAATCTGAGAAAAACAGATTTAAAAGTGAGAAGATGTGCCGCCTTGTGACGTCATTTGGCGGCATTTTCCATTTAAACACATGTATTTTGGCAAATTAGACTATTCTGTCATATTTCCTCGATTAATCGTTCAATTCAGAAACCAAGGATATCCTCGTGCTCAGTTTTCTCAGCAGTTTCATTTTAAACATGGGATTTACACAATTTCATACACTTGCAAATTCGCCATTGACAAAAGAACGTAGATCTGAAGTGAATGTGAATATCATGCGCATACATCATGTGTGTGTATCAAAAGGAAAAGAGAAACTAAAAAGAATGTTCCAAGTACTGCCGTGCTGAGAAAGAACGTCGTATGGGCCTTCAGACGTTGCCACGTTTCCTCCGATAAAAACCGAAATTGCTGGGGAACATGAGAATATTAATTCCAAATTTTCAGAAAATTTTGCAACCGTCTTAGTCTGAAATATTTGAAAATTTCAAGGAATAGTACACTGAAAAAAAAATTCTCGACGTTTTTACCAAGGTCCGTTGGTACCTTTACCATCTCACTTTTTTTACCAATTATTGGTGATTCTCCCAAGACAGACTGGTATAAGCTTACCTAAAAACCGGTTTGCTGTTTTTTTCCAGATAAGAATACCACTTTTCTTGATAATCAATTCCGGGTAACTTTGCCATTTTATCTCGGTAATTCTACCACAGTCGATAAAAAATATTGGCGTCTTTACCAAGGTCCAGTAAAATTACCGAGAAAGTTCAATAATCTTACCGAGATTTCTCGGAAAAATTACCAATTCCATAAATGGTAATTTTACCAAGAAAAAACTGGGATCAAATAGAACCCTGAATTCTTGGTAATTTTACCCTTTTCTTAGTAAATACACCGAGATTTTTTTTCAGTGTAAGCATGAATGTTGTAAAAAATACATGTTTTATCAAGGGAAATTCGGCAACTCTTGAATGTTCATACGGCGTTCTTCCTTAGCACGACATAGAGTCCCTTTATACTGAGAGTCAAGACAACACCCCTCATGGAGTCACAAACGGGAATAAAGATTACAGAAATTGAACGTTCTTTGTAATCTTTGATCGGACCATTTTAAAATTCCTTTCTCAGTTCCTTCTCTCATTCCGTTTGTTCCTTGCCGAACCCGTAATTCCCCGGTCCATTTCAGATTATAATCTTTGCAATCGGTGAAATTGTAATCTTTATTCCCGTTTGTGACACTATGAAGGCCTAAAATACGGGAATAGATTCACATTGTCTCGACTCTCATCAGTATAAAGGGACTCTAAGTGTACCTACCTGCGGTCATCGGAGATGAGGCTTTTCTCCATGCGCCGCTTGACGAGCGCGCACTTGGTGCGGAAGGGCAGGGCGTCGGCCCTGTCCTCCCTCCCGAGGTGGAGGGCCCGGAGGTGGAGGGTGAAGACGGCCTGGCGGGCGGAGTCGTTGCCGGAGAGGGGGATGAGTCCGGCGAACTCGGGGTAGCTGAAGAAGGACGGGAGGCAGACGTCGCTGCTGCTGCACAGCTCCGAGAGGACCGTGAACGGCTTCTGGCCCAGGTTCAGGAAGTTCGGGAACATGAGCAGGATCCGCGTCGGGGTCGCCGCGTCCGGTTCCGTCGAGTTCCCGTCGATCCGGTACTTCCGCTCCAGTCGACGTAGCTCGCTCCGCCATGAGTCCCGCAGGGGTACGTAGCGCTTCCAGTTTTCCGACTCCATGAAAAGACCCTGCGGGCAAATCCATCCACCTTAGAAAAAAGAATGGAGTTCTTGCATGCCATAGAGAAAAAAAAGGAGGTGTTTGCATCTTGAGGTTTGTTCACCCTGTGACGTAGGTCGGTACAACCTGGCCAGCGAAATCCGGAATTCGAAGTATGAAAAACGGACCATTATGTCCGATTTTTTTGCTTAAATCAACTCATGATATAATTTCAAGCACTTTTTGTAGAATGACTTTTTTCCATAAATTACACCATTTCCAAGAAAATCGATGATAAACTCGGTGTACCGACCTACGTCATCCAAGACGCCCTAAATGCAAACACGTATTCTTGCATGTATCAGACACTTGTGATTTATCTGCTGTTTCTGATGTAAAGTTGGACGTATTTATGCTAAAAGGAACTATGTGGAAGTGGAAAGATGGGGTACGCTTGTGGAAGCTGCAAAAGAAACAATCTATAAGTGAATACAGTTCCTTTTGAGAGAATGGAAAAGCGGGATTTGACATTAAATCGACGTAACTGAGCGCTCACCGAAAAAAAATGAAGTTAATTTAACATTCCCCTGGTAAAAATTGGCAGTAGATCTGTGTTCCAAAAATACCATAGACCTACGGCCGGCTGTAAGATTTCCAATAGGTAGCTTCTATAACCGGCTACAGAATTTCTTATAGCCTTTTATAGCCGATGGCGATTAAGCAACTCACAGCCAGGCGATAAAATGTATGCTAAACGTCACTAATTACGGATGCTAGGACTTAGTGAGTTTTTGGACCACTGCTCTCTTTTTGGGCCGTAGTATCTTGATTTATGTTGCGAGGAAAGCTCCGTACTTTTGATCGATGCCTGCCACTCCTAATATATTAGAGCGCCTTCAGTTTCGTCTGATACTGTGCAATGCCTCTGGTGTGAAATGGTTGCTCCAAGCGCCGTGGCACGCTGCGGCGTGGTAGACGGACAGCCAGCGCGAAACGCGCATTGGCGCCCACAAACCTAACAGGGATACTTCACGCGTTGCGCAATGCGTGAAGTATCCCTGTTAGGTTTGAAGGCGCCAGTGCGTCGCCGCTCCGCTTTGTGTCAGGCTCTAATATTTAATCTACCGGAGTCAGCGTTATTCAACTCATGATTTTGAAATTTTTGCACATCCTGTATGGATTGTTCTCATTTTAATTGATGAAAAAAATATGTATTTAAGGAAAATATAATGTGTGTTTTGTAAATATTAAGGTGGTTCCGAATCAAACTTAATGATTTCCAAAGCAGACGAATTTCTACACAATTTCTTACAGCCTTTTATAATCGATGGCGAAAAAGCAGCAGCCAGGCGATAAAGTGTAAAGCCCGGCTATAGGAACTATAGCCCAGCTGCATAATTTTTTATCGCTTCGTATAGCCCGGCCGTATGATTTTCTCCGCATTCTACAGCCAGCTATATGATTTTCTGTAGCCTTCTTTAGCCGGCTATAAGAATTCCTATGGTATTTTGAAACGCAGCTCTTATCGCTAATTTTTACCAGGGTCTGGTTGTGAAAAAGTGTGCGAGAGTTTATAAAATGCTGAGCTACCCACTACAGCGGTTACTTTTACATCTTGGCATTGCTAAAATAACTGCTGTAGCGGTCAGCATTTTGTAAGTTCTCGCACTCTTTCTTACATCCAGAATGTTAAATCAACTTCACTTTTTTTTCGGTGTAACTCGTAAGCCGTGGGCATGTGACAAGAGCGTAGTGGACAGGGCTCATGAGTTAAAGACTGACGACCTAGTCGTCGTCGCTCGTGTCGCGCCCGGTCCTCGCCGCTGACGTCACTGGCGCTTTTAAAGTCCCATTTATTCTTATGGCCCGAACACTAACGAGAACACCCCATCTTTCCACTTCAACATAGTTCCTTCTCGCATAAGTCCAATTTCGTGAAAACCACGACGGTGCCGCTGCTTTTCTCTGAAATTAACTATTAAGCTCATAAAAGCTCCTAAAATTCAGGTCGTACACTGAAAAAAAAAGTTACGACATACCGACCGTTCCGGGCTTAGGGGCCGAGAGTTTTGAGTGCTGGAGCCGTAGCTACGATTGTTCCGGGTGCTACGTCCAGAGCTTCCGGCCTCTGAGCCCGGAACATGGACAGAGTGTCTATGTAGCCAGTGTAGCCCGTAAGTACGGCTTCTACGGCCGGAGTTTTTTTTTCAGTGTAATATCCAAGTAACATTAATCAACGGAAAAATCGGGATATATTACAATTTTATCGGCGATAAAAGCGCAAGGATCAACATCTGAGCGATTAACTTCGATCTTGTCGGGATAAAATCGCGATTTTATCGTATCGAGATATTTTAGAAATAAAATTCGCGATGAATGGCGATTAAAACTCGATTTTATCGACAAAAATTGATCACGATTTTATCGAACCAACAAATTGCGATGTGCAGCGATTTAATCGTCATATATCGCAATTTTCAATGCGATAATATCTCGATATATTGTCACCGATATAATCGCGACCCCCAACCGATAAAATCGCTGTTTATCGCGATCGCTGCTACTTGGGAATAGATGATTATGACTTTTTTGTAGGAGCTATAGAGTAATAAAATGTGGCGGGAGATTTGCAACATCAGAAACCAAGCTACACTGAAAAAAAATTCTGAGCGTTTTTACCAAGGTCCGTTGGTACCTTCACCATCTCACTTTTTTTTACCAATCATTGGTAATTTTACCAAGACAGACTAGTAAGCTTACCTAAAAACCGGTATTTTTACTGTTTTTTTCCGGTAAGAATACCATTTTTATCGGTAATCAATTCCCGGTAACTTTGCCATTTTATCTCGGTAATTCTACCACAGTCGATAAAAAATATCGGTGTTTTTACCAAGGTCCAGTAAAATTACCGAGGAAGTTCAATAATTTTACCGAGATTTCTCGGTAAAATTACCAATCCCATAAATGGTAATTTTACCAAGAAAAAACCGGGATCAAACAGAACCCTGAATTCTTGGTAATTTTACCCTTTTCTTAGTAAATACACCAAGATTTTTTTCAGTGTGTCTCACTCGGAATTCAGGAAAACGACTCGTATTCCATGCTTGAGCTTGCTTCCCTCGTCGCACAGTAAATCGAGTCAGTGGGAAAGGTCGGACAGGACATTCTTAACTAAAACTGCCCTTTGTTCCCCTGCCTTTGAACCCTGAATTGGACGTATTTCTATCAAACGGAACTAAGCGCCAATTTGAGTTCTTTTTGAGGAATTTAGAATCCCGGATAGCGCGTTCTGTCAAACGGACCTAAGCGCCATGGAAAAGCATTGCGAGTGTAGGACGGAATAAGCCGGACGCCCGATTCCGTCGCCAATCCAAGCCCCCCTCCCCCTTCCTCACCCTATGGCGCTTAGGTCCGTTTGATAGAATACGTCCAATTCTTGGTAATTTTACCCTTTTCTTAGTAAATATAGATACACCGAGATTTTTTTTTCATTGTACATAGTTCAATCATGTCTCACCGGTTCGGGTACCATCCTAGTGGTGACGTCGGCGACAGATGATTCACCCTTTGTCTCGATCCTGGAGCGATTCTGCAAGAAGATCAGATCCTGGATGTCCGCCAAGAACGTCCCGGGGGTGGTGTTCTGTTTGGCGGCGGAGCCGATGAGGATCTGCGCCGTGCGGAGCGGGTCGAAGTCGAACTCCTGGAGGACGTTGCTGTCCCTCTCGTTGAGGTAGTCCAGTCCGTACTCCAGGTCGTCCGCACCCAGAGGACCCGCCACGGATTCCAGGTAGGACAGGTAGTCGACGGAGCCGTGAGTTAGGGCCCCAGGGACGGAGGTAGCGTTTGGCTTCGAGGTTTGAGCGGCAGCCACGGTTGGCTTCGGGCTGGGAGCTTGAAGCTGGGCGCTGGGAGTCGATGCAGCGAGTTGGGTCTTTGGAGAGGATGCTTTCGGGGTGGATGTTGAAGACTCGGTGGCCGCTGGTTGAGCCGCGGCTGGAGATGAAAGCAAAATATGTGTATTGCTGTCAGCGGGCTGATTGTTGGAATTTTTAGACAAAGCGATAGACAGAGAAGACAAAGGGAGGATGAACCGATCCTGGTGGTTGAAATTGTCGGTTCCTATCGACTAAAGGAGAAAATTATGTCCTAACTATGGGGTCTTTTTTGGGTTGCCTTTAGCTAGTCTACTACCAAACAATGGAGATGTTGCGTGTGTGAGGGATTTGCGATTTGATTGTTGTTACTTATGTAAAAGTTCGCGAAAAACACGACGGTGCCACTGGTTTTCTCTGAAATCAACTCCCATGCTCAAAAAAAGCTCTCAAGCTGAGGCCAAAATGGAGGGGATATCCCACCCTACCCTGAGAGTCCACCTCTACATCAAAACAAACTCTCCATGCAAAGATAGGGAGAAAATACATTGACAGGGCTGCCACTTCATTTGGGGACTCTGAAACTGAAAACAGGGCATCACTGCTAATGTATTTGCTCCCTATCTTTGCATGAAGAGTTTGTTTTGATGTAGAGGTGGACTCTCAGGGTAGGGTGGGATATCCCCTCCATTTTGGTCTCAACTTGAGAGCTTTTTTGGAGCTTGGGAGTTGATTTCAGAGAAAACCAATGTCACCATCGTGTTTCTCGCGAACTTTTACTTAAGAATCAATTTTCAAATCGCAAATTCCTCACACATGCAACACCTCCATTATGTCCTAACTATGGGGTCTTTCGTGGGTTGCTTTTAGCTAGTCTACTACCAAACAATTCTGTCCATTACAACCACCCGCTTCTACCAATAGGATTCGTCCATACACCTTTTGTCTTCTTTGTCTATAGCTTTGTCTATCAATTACAACAATCAATCCGCGGAGAAAAGTTTAGAGACCTTGCCCTGTCTACTTGCGTATGCACGCATTTAGTGTAACGTCACATCTAGTGTTCGAAACTCACAGGCGCCAACGCGCCAAATGCGCCTAAAAAATCGGCCATGGCGCCTTAAAAATGAAGGCTCTGCGCCAATGTGGCCCCTAAAAATTGCCCCCTAAAAATCTGAATTTTCATATTAGGCGATTATTCGAAATTTGCAGCACCTCAAGTGAAAGTTTTTTCTATTCTTCACGATTCCATCATTTGTGCTTTTTTCTTCCCCAAGTTACAACTACTGGCTAGTTCTGTTACAAAAACATCTTGCGTCTATTTTTTCACTAAATGCGCCGTAATATATAGGCAGAAAGTCAATTTGGCCCCTAAAAAATCTTCAATGGTTGGTGTCTAAAAATCGGGCTTGATGAGCCACATGGCTCCTAAAACTCAAAGGTGAGTTTCGAACACTGGTCACATCGGTTACAGTTTCAATACCTCGCACGTTGGTCTTGAAGTCAAAAAGAAATGAGACAAAAATGTAACCAAAAACATTTTGCAGGAGGTGAGTCTATGGTACGTGTGGACTCAGAATCAGGGTTGCAATTTTTTATGAAAAATGGAATCTTGAAATTTCAGAAAAATATGAAAATTATATATTTATGAAATTATTTATTTATGGATGTATATATTTTTCGAAATTAAATGCAAAATTATATAAAAGGTGACAGGTTTTTGCTCTTCGGTGTTTTTCGTGTGTCCAATGATTACATGTAATCCATGAAATCCAGTCAAAATAAAAGAAGAATTTCCAAATACACTAATCGTTAAAGCTAAAACTAGAATTTAGATATTCATATCTTTGTATTGCTAAAAAATATATTCCTAATAAGATAGATATTATTAATCTAACTCTTGAATTTTTGAATTTATTTATTGTTAAATCATAATGTGCTCAGGTAATGAAAAACCCCGATATTAGCAAGGTCAGGGTATTTAATAGAGGGATGTCTATAAATCTTATTTGAATAATTTTGTGAGGAGGTCAAATTGATCCTGTTCTGAAAATATGTTTCATATTTTTCACAATTTTGTGAAATTTCATGAAACATTTCACGGAAATTTTCAATATTTCATATTTTCCATTTCACACGTGCAACCCTGCTCAGAATCGCGGAAAATCAAAACGTTGGCCGATTCTAATTTCGCGATATCGTAATTTGAGATTTTTATAGTAAATGCAAGTTTGCTAGTGATTATGATCCGCTTTTTTATTTTTTTGTCCATTGAATCGTTGTTGGTCGGTTCACGTATTTTTTCGTTCGATCGCATTCCAATCGAATGTATTTCCTCTCGTTACATGCAGATTGCTATCGTACTCTTTTTCTTTAACAGCAATTCGCCTTCTGTTGCGTCTGCAGCAATTGCTGTTACAAATATGTTGTGCGTGCTGGTTTCAGCTAATTACATACTCGACACTCTGAAGGCGTTTTATGTGCGCAAGTAGCGTACTCTGTCGGAAAACGAACGAAGTAGGAATTGAGTGATTCATTCAATCTCACCTCTGTTGCTCTCCAATAGGGTGCTCTACTTTCGCACATTAAACGCCTTCAGAGAGTCAAGTATGTAATGAGCTGGGATCAGCACGCACAACACATTCTTAACAACAATTGCTGCAGACGCAACTGAAGGCGATTTGAAAACAACCGTATAATACACAATGAAAAACATTTTAGCTCTTTAATTAATATTTTTATCAATGGAGAGTTGTATTGTATGGTCTTCATATGGGGGATTCTCGAGATAGTAAACATAATCTTAACATAAACTAAAACATAAACTAGGACAAAAATTAGGTTTAAAAACAAAATACCATGAGGAACTCCGTTCCCATGACAAAAAAATATACGGAATAAAAAGCGGGATTTTAAATTCTGTTAAACGGAACTAAGTGCACACTCAATGCGAGCTGCGGGCATGGGTCAAGAGCATTGCGCACAAAGCTCATGAGTTATTAAAGTCGACGAGGGGCAATTGGAGCTGCGGTTTCGTCACTGGAGCTTTATATTTCCCATTCATTCTTATTGCCCGAGCACTAACGAGCACTTCCCATCTTTTCGACCTGCACATAGTTCTGTTTGATAGAAATACGTCCAATGGAGATGTTGAATGTGTGAGGAATTTGCGATTTGACTGTTGATTCTTACGTAAAAGTTCGTGAGAAACACGATGGTGCCAGGGTGCCACTGGTTTTCTCTGAAATCAAAAAAGCTCTCAAGTTGAGGCCAAAATGGAGGGGATATCCCACCCTACCCTGAGAGTCCACCTCTACATCAAAACAAACTCTCCATGCAAAGATAGGGAGCAAATATATTAGCAGGGTTGCCACCTTATTTGGGGACTCCAAAACTGAAAACACGGCAACCCTGCTAATGCATTTGCTCCCTATCTTTGCATGGAGAGTTTGTTTTGATGTAGAGGTGGACTCTCAGGGTAGGGTGGGATATCCCCTCCATTTTGGCCACAACTTGAGAGCTGTTTTTGAGCTTGGGAGATGATTTCAGAGAAAACCAGTGGGACCATCGTGTTTCTCGCGAACTTTTACACAAGAATCAACAGTCAAATCGCAAATTCCTCACACATGCAACATCTCCATTCACGCCACGCCACTGCTCTGGTAGTTTCACCGTCGAAATTTTATTCCCACAAAATCGCGATAAACTTACTTGACTCCACAGCTACGAAAAGAGCTATCAAAATCAGGGACCACGCGCAGGTAGGAAGTCTCTTCTGTCGATCAAAGATAGTCATAAAATTCTGATGGTTTCCCATTGTAAACCTTTGTCTCGGCCTTGAATTAATGGAAAACTAGCTTTTGCAGCGTCGCTGAAATAAAAATATATCGGCCAGTTTTAATATCTCGGAGTCGATGGATGGAAATACAAGGGGTAGGTATGTACTTAGAGCCATTTCAGAACTCGGAGTATATGGTTCATGGTTCTTACAGTGTAAAAATTGCAGTTTAAAAAAAGTATCTTCATACTTGAGATTTAACTAACTAGATTCAGTTATATCTAGATTAACTAAAGACTAACCCGTGACTAGATTAACTCGTGATTAGATTTAGTTTTTAACTAGATTTTAACTAGATTTTGTCTTTCGCTACCGCAAGTCCACCTTGATCTCGAGCAACTATTTTAACTCTCCGGAGATCAAATTACATATCGACGGTGAAACTACCAAACCACGTATCTCGGTTTGCGACGTCGCAGACTTCCTGTCATACTTTATTTTTTAAATGAAAAACTACTTAACGTCCAGTCTTGAAAATTTCTGTGATTTTTCCTCTTCGTGCGGAAAAAATTCTGTAAAAATTTCAAGGAATGATATTGATTTGGTCTACTTCAAAAAAATAAAATGTGAGCGTAGATTTTTAAACACCGCAAACGAGATACGTGGTTTGGTAGTTTCACCGTCGATATCCTCCAAAATGAAGGAATTTTAAGTGGATCACTATTTAACATTCTAACATGATGTGCTGCATGCTGTGCTGCGGCGTGTCTTCGTTGCCGCAAGCTGCAAGTTCGTTTCCACGTCAAGCAACCATCCTAACAACCTTCATCCCACTCTAAGTCAATTATTACAAAACACTTCATTCGAAAATACGAGTTCTCTTGGTTCTATCGTATGTAAAATGGCCGAGTTCTCAGCATGTTGCTTTATTATGAAAAAAACCCTCGAAACGTCATGCCATCATTTACAACTACAAATACGTTTTTTAATTGAACATATGCTTTAATTCAAGTGAGGAACGAAGTATAATTCGCCTTCATTTGAACTTTGAGCAACTGTAGATACAACCCGTCATGTCGCATCCATGGAGAACTTGGAAATTGCTTTATGTTTATTTTTTCGTGCGAGTATGAGTAAATCTTACAAAAATACGAACCAACTCTACTCTGCTGCGGAGAAACACTGTTTGAACCATCAGATGTTGCTAAATTTCTCGGAATAATATAAATTTATCTTTTTTAAACTTTTTTGGAAAATATCAGGTGCACTAATGAGCTCTGTGGATCAGCATTAATGTTTTGACCAGAAAATTGTTAACCGGTAGTTTGGCAACATTTGAACTTCCAGGCAGCATACTTTCACAACAGCTAAGTGTTTTATTCTATGAGCTAAATAAACATGCTTTAATTTGTTCAGCGCCTGAAGCTAATGTCGAATTTTTATTGCAGCCTCCTCCCCTTTGCTCGATCGGGTAACATTTTTCGAATTTTCATGATTTTTTATGACTCGATTTGATTGCGGGAGCGGTATGAGGTATGGGTGCATTCAAGATTGTGTCAACAGCTGCAGTCGGAAAAGACAGAGGCATCTCCAATTGAAGAGTTGCAACAAGCAGTTGTTTTTTTTTATATATAAAATATTCAAAGACAATTTTAGAGAAGCACTTCAGAGTTGTTTGTATGTCTTCCTCCATCGGAGATTTTTATGCGTTACAATAGGAATCAGGTATGAACGTATTTTCCGACTTTAGCCATCCATAATGATTGAACAATCCATATCGACAGTAAAATTACAAAAACGCGTAAGCACCATTCCCTGAATGAACCACTAGATAAGGTACGAATTTCAGAATTCTGATACGTGTTTTTTAACCAAGATTTCACGTAGAACGCAATGCACACAATGAAATTTACGGAAATTCACTCCTTACGAAGATATTTAATGATTCTCGATGCGTGAATTCAAACTACCCGCTCATGAAAACTCAATGCTCTATACGTGATTCACATCGCGCGCTAAATGTTATCATGACAGTCTTTAATTGCGATATAAAAATCTGGTAACGTCGATCTTGACGCTTTGGCTCAGCTATAGCAAATTGCTTGTAGTTCGAAACAACACATGGTGGGAAATGAACATGGCTCGATTGAGAGGCTTGCTGAAACCGTTGTTGTGCGCGATTTGACTCACGTAGAGCTTTGAGTTTCTTATGAGCCAATGAGCCATTTCTTGTAACCAATGTGAAATAAAAATGTTAATATCTCCGTAGGAGTTGGTTTCGTTCTAATTGTATTCTACGTAAAATTCTGGTTAAGAAACATGTAACAGAATGCTTAAATTCGTACCTTGTCTAGTGGTCCATTCTCAAAGCCAGTTACTTTAGTAGTACCCGGAGCGGCAAATGGAAAGGGGTGGAGTGCTTTCAACCGTTTAATATCTTTTTAAAGTAACATCTACGACACAGGTGAAAAACGAAAATTAGGTCGAACTTGCATCCTATTTTGACAAGTTGCCGGGGTAAACTCTCACCCTTATGTCGTCCCACACTGACACAAGTCCGCTCATAGCTCGAGTAACTACATTTCAACTATCCGTAGATCAAATTGCATACCCTTCGAAATGAAGGAGATTTGATTGGATTCGTTCTTAAGCAGTCAACAAATAGACGCCACACTACACTTAGTCCCTGAGCGAGATGTGAGTGGAATTAATTCCAGCTTGAGCCCTTAAATCGTGCGAAATGTGTGCCTTTGGGTTTTTGGGTCGCTGAGTAGAGGTCTGCTAACAGTTTTCTCAAAAAAAAAGAAGGAAAAAAAAAACATTTTCCGATTGAAGACGAATAGAATTTGATCTCCGTATAGTCAAAATAGTTACTCGAGGCAAAGGTGAATTTGCCGCAGCGGGAGACGTAGCGCGCGGCCCGGCGGCGCCCTCTCCTGATTGCCAAAGAACGGATCCACTTAAAACGCCTTCATTTCAAAGGGTATCCAATTTGATCTCCGAAGAGTTGAAACAGTTGCTTGAATTAAGGCGGCAGCGGAGACATGGCACGTCTTTATCTTGTTAAAATCTAGTTAAAAACTAAATCTAATACGAGTTATAGTATTTAGTTAATCTAGATTTAACTGAATCTAGTTAGTTAAATCTTAAGTATGAAGATACTTTTTTTAAACTGCAATTTTTACACTGTAAGAACCATATACTCCGAGTTCAATTTTATTTTTTGCATGAAAACGATTATGCGGTTTTTATTGCAAATTTCGATAAATTCCCTGCATAGTACGAAGCAAATTCCTTAAAATTTTAAAAAAAAATCCGCACAAACGTCCTCTTGTAAAAAATTGAATTGCCCAATTAAATTTGGCGATAGCTGATGTGGCTTAGTCCCTTTCTGCTTAACGCGGTCTTATTTATCACATGTATTGATTTAATTGTAATTTTTATTTTAGAGAAAGAAAACTTGCGTAAATGGATATTATATACCTGTCCTTGTAGATGTTGCTATAGAGCAGGAATGATCAGCCCGCATAAAAGCACTGTTAAACGGTGTGATCCAAGGATCGCACAGGGTGAGAATAGGTGGGGAACCGAAAATGTCAGAACAACCGAGAGAATGATGAATCATGAAGGAGCGACGCAAGATTTATCAACGAATAACAGGGCTCCGACACGAATCTTGATATTAAAGCGTAATCGGAAAACATTAAAACTTCGTACGTGCTTTTGCGATAAATAAAAGAACTTTTCTCTCTTGTTGACTGTATCAATAAACACGTACTTTTGTTGCAAAGAATCTGGAGAAGGAATATTCCTGGGAGACTCGGTTCGCCAGATATCGATGGGATGCCGTAGATTTCCCTCATCGTACAGAGTTGATTCCGTTGCTCCCATTGGCGGCTTTAGCAAACTGGCAACATTGTCTTTTCTCCATTTAGACCTATGCTGCCGTGCTAAGGAAGAACGTCGTATGAGCCTGCAGACGTTGCCAAGTTTCCTCCGAAAAAACCGAATTTACTCGGAAAATTGCGAACATTATTTTCCAACATTTTCAGATAATTTTGTAAGCAATTTAATCTAAAATATCTGAAAATGTCAAGGTAAAATATGCACGAATGTTGTCAAAAATACATGTTTTATCAAGGGAGATTTGGCAACTCTTGAATGTTCATACGGCGTTTTTCCTTAGCACGGCAGTATGGAAAAGTATCGATTCTTGGGAGGGGGGCAGGTGCTCCAACAATAATCCATTATTTAGCATATATTTAAATGGAGTAAATCCGGTGTTGTCAAATTGCTGGAGCCGCCTCTGGTCAGGGTCGGATTTAGGGGGTGGCCACATGGGCCGCGGCCCATGTGGCTTTAGAGGACGGCAAATGTTGTAATTTTTTCAAATGTAGGTATCAAGAAAAAAATTACAAACGAGAATTGGCGAAAAAATCTTTAATTTCCTGAGAGTTAAAGTAAAGGAATTTCTAATTTTTTCGTCTTTCGGTGATACAAGAGACACAGCCTTTCATTATTAGTCTAGTTGAGAGAGAAAGCAAGCACGCAATTTGGCCTGGAGCGGCGCGGCGCAGAGAGCGATGATGACGAGGACTTGAGATGGAGAGGAGAAGCCCTCTGCGCGCCGGTCAGCATGAAACACATATTTGCGCCTACACGACTCCATGAATACTTCACGCATTGCGTCAAACGTAACGCGGTCAGCAGCGGTCGGCGTGAAACGAATAGCGCCTACAAGACTGTATAGATACTTCACGCATTACGTCAAACACAGTGCGTTCAGCGGCGGTCGGCGTGCGTGGAACGCATAGCGCCTACAAGACTTTATAGATACTTCACGCATTGCGCCAAACACAGTGCGGTTGCGCAGTTAAAATAGCAAATTAAAATAATTAAACCACATTCATGTGTATTCTTTCATAATTTGTTCGTTTTTTTTCTTATAAATGAAAGGCCTCGTCCACACAGAGATAGGTTTACGGAACTTTTTTTTCGCGCAAGGTTCCGTGAAATTTTGCTTTTTTTTGACAGGGCTTTCACAAAAATGTGCCCAACGCGAGTAAACGCGTCCTATGCACCCCTCCCCCTCCGGCACGTTCACTTGATGGTTTGTATCGATGTTTCAAAACGAATGAGAAGGGGCGGCAATATACAGGCGGCCCATGGGCGGCAAGTAGGTAAATCCAGCCCTGCCACTGGTTGCTTCTAACGTATGCGTGCATCGACTGTCCGGAAGTTATTACGATATACTTTGGATATTGAATTTTTGGGGTTAAGATTCGACCTTTTCGGTGAAATTTGCTATGAGAAGGTTTTCTAACTGCCCTGAGTGACACAAAGCAAAGAAAATATTGAAACCAAAACCAATCTACACAGGTCAGTTATTCCCGACGACGAGTTTTGGACTCTACTGCGTAATGACGTATAATCGGCTGCCTAGAATGTGATTCTTATGGGAGCAGCCAGTGTGGTGGCAGATTGGCTGCCGCCGAGTTATGGCCGGGCGGGAGAGCAGTGGATCTCAAAAAGATGTGCAATGACTGACCTGTGTAGATTGGTCTTGATTGAAACAATTTTGCAGTTTAATGCGAATAAAATTCCATTTTTTTCCATGGAAAAGCAATATTTTGACCTTATTTGGTCAATAGATGCTGATTTTCAACGAGCAACAACAGAAAATTCCATGTGAAGGGTCAGCAATTTGAAATGTAAAAAAATTGCAACTTAATTGAATTTTACCGATTGAAATAAATTTCAGCGAGAAGAACCCCTTCAATTAGTAAGTAGACTACATGCACGACACTTTGATGCCTACAGTAATAGTACCCATGAGATTGCAATTTATTGAAACCTGTGCTACCTGGGAACCCGACAGAGTTGAGGATTCTTTTTCGAAATTTGTCCATTTCTTCTTTGTTAAAGCGTCAGATGTGAGTGGAAATGGATTTAAAGCAATGATCTCAAGCGCATTTCTTTGCTTTTGGTGATTTCAAAGGTCTGCGCTTTTGCGCGAAGGCGGTACCTAGGCATGATCTCTACATTAAAAATGGGTATTGCCTACTATTTAGGCTAGAGCTCTTGTATAACGTGTTTCCATGAAGAGGTAGATCTTTGAAACCACAATGATGAATAAAAGCACGCTAAACACATTTCCTCAGAACCCATTGTTCACCGTGGTAAAAATTGGCGATGAGAGCTGCGTTTCAAAATACCATGGGAATTCTTATAGCCGGCTAAAAAAGACTACAGAAAATCATACAGCTGGCTGTAGAATGCGGAGAAAATCATACGGGCGGGCTATACGAAGCGATAAAAAATTATGCAGCCGGGCTATAGTTTCTATCGCTGGGCTTTACACTTTATCGCCTGGCTGTTGCTTTTTCGCCATCGATTATAATAGGCTATAAGAAATTGTGTAGAAATTCGTGTGGTTTGGAAATCATCAAGTTTGATACGGAACCACCTTAATATTTACAAAACACACATTATATTTTCCTTCAATATATATTTTTTTCATCAATTAAAATGAGAACAATCCCTAAAGGATGTGCAAAAATTTCAAAATCATGAGTTGAATAACGCTGACTCCGCCGGATTAAATATTAGAGCCTAATACAAAGCGGAGCGGCGACGCACTGGCGCCTTCAAACCTAACAGGGATACTTCACGCATTGCGCAACGCGTGAAGTATCCCTGTTAGGTTTGTAGGCGCCAAAGCGCGCTAGCTGCCGCGCTAAGGTACCTAAGGTAGGTAAAGCACTTTAACTTCCGAAAACTCTGTAAAACACGGTTGATTTGTGTCTTTAAATGACAATTTTTCAGCGATGATTTGCAACGGCGCGAGTGGACACCTTAATGAAAGACTGCGATGCCAACTTTAAGTTACTCACTGTGAACTTACTAATGGTTTCAGTGATAGTTGTTTCCTGAGTCTGACTCATATGGTCGATGGCATAAAGTGCTGGGATTCTGGCTTGTTGATCAATCACCATGTCTGATCTACCGGCCTGGGGGAAAACTCCGTATGACCGATCAAATGTTGCTACATCTCTACGAATAAAATACGAATTTTCTGAAGAACTTGTGCTGTTTTTCCTCCGATGCAGAGTGTGCACACAAATTTTATATTACTGCATCTAAGAGTGCTTAAAGAGCTGATTTCACAGTATTTTTTCTAATATGGGAAATAGTATAAAAACAGATTTAAAAGAGAGTAGATGCACCGCCTAGTGACGTCATCTGGTGGCATTTCCCATTTAAACACACGTTTTTTTGTAGCAGATTAGATCATTTTGTCATATCTCCTACAACAGTTGTTCCATTTTGATGGGGAAACTGCAAAAATGCGTACTCGGTTTTCGGCGTTACAATCTTCTGTTTCATACTTCAATTTCTACAAGGAAAACTACTGAACGTCATTTTTCTTTCCTTTAGGAAGAGTGTTCTGTGAATATTTCGAGTTATGATGTTGGCTCAGACTTATTTTAAAAAATGAAAGGGGGGGGGGGNGGGGGGGGGGGAGATATCGGAACATCGCAACCGAGATGTGCTTTTAGCAGTTTCACTGTGATCGATTTACGAACCTAGGGAATCTTCGTGTTCATTTCTCTCGGTAGTTTCCACTTAAACATAAAATTAATCGAGTTTCAGGCACCTGCAAATTCTCCTCGCAGTGGCGGATAATGTTATTCACATACTACTCAAGCCGCTGGAAGCGGTATCGAAGGTGAAGCCTGATACAACTATTACTGCTCTGCGGATGCCTATATTGCAGATACACGAAGTTGAAGGCGTTTTAGATTCCCTTGCATCTATCGATCTCTCAATCAGTAAAAGGGACTGCATTTTGCAATTCGGAACTATAAATTGCGGCTTCTCTGGAAAAACACTTATGTGCATAGGGACACAAATGGCACATACGTTGTTTTTGAAACCGGGCTAGAATTTATACTTCTAAATTGCAAAGTGTAGTCCAAATGATGGGATAGATGCAGCGATAGAGAACCACTGTCCCCAGGCGCTCGGTAGGTATGCAAATCGAGGACTAACGAATACCTACTACCGTTTAACTGACAATTGGGCTGCATTTTGCAATTTGCAGCTATAAATTCTGGCTCATCTGAAAAACACTTATGTGCATAGGGAAACTGATGGCACATGTGTTGTTTTTAAACCGGGCCGGAATTTATAGTTAATAATTGCAAAATTTAGTCCAATTTTGGCTAAAATGAATTTGCAACTTTGCCGAATTCAACACTGTAATATACGCAAGCTGGTGATTTTAGTTTTTTTTAAATCCTGTAGGGGAGCGCTTCAATGACGCCGCAAATGTATAAAACAATTGTAAATCTAATCTTAAAATTACAAAAATGGCGAAGTTTTCTCTTTGTTCTGCAGAATCGCTGGTTTGCAGATAGGTGGTATTGTTCGGTAGCCATCGATATGCATCTAAAAATTCGTAGTTTCCGGTTCGAGGGCACGTAGCTTCAATCTAAGGTTGCCAAATTGACTCGATAAGCAATTTAATTCTTTGCTAGAATATAAGAATAAGTATGGTGACATTCTCTCTTGGGTTTCAAAATTCACCGCCTTTTCAGGGTTTGTTAAAATTAAATTTCCAAACTTTTCAACATATTTTTTTGACATAATTTCTAGAGGAAATGATTTTTACAAAAACAATTCTTTGCGCAAAGTTCTATACGACTGAAGAAAAGATTAAAATTCGAGAGCTCATGGACAGCAGTTCTCATTTTTGTCCACAGAGCACGTGGGTGCCGTAAAAAAAGCACTGCTTCGGCTGGAAGAAATAAGAAAATCAAGGTTCCGCAGCGAAAGTCTTCTTCCTTCTTGTGAAATACCCTGGGCCACGATTTCCTCCGATTCATCACCTCAGTTTTGAATTTCCTTGTCTTAAGTCTCTTAAAATGATTGGCAACACAACTCTTCCTGGCCTTCGGGTAATGATTACCTGGAACTCACCCTTGAGGGACCGTTCATAAAATAAGTAAACGTTTATAAGGGGGGCGGGGGGGGGGAGTCAGATTATTGGAGTTACATTTTTTGGAACGGTCCCTGAGCTCCTCCTTCATTATCAAGTTTATAAATTTCAGAAATTGTGATGTTGCAGAATTCACTTCTTAATATAAGATGTTTCTTTAAAGAAAAACAAGAAAACTTATAATAAAAGAGAATGTGCTCATACTTAACATTTTGGCCAGTAAAAAGGCTGAAAATCTGAGAGGAGGACAAAAAATTAACGACTTGCTGCATTGTCAAAACTGAAATCATTTATTTAATTCTCAAGATGAGGTACATGAATACATTAAAAGACGACAGGAGCAGAAAGTGAACCAAATACAGATTTCAGAAAAAAAGAGATTAAGGACAGTTTCATTACTTCATCTCTGATAAGATGTGAATATTTTCCCAAAGAGGGGCTAGGTACATTGGTTAGTTTTTTGGCAACTACTGAAAATTTTAGGCGACAACTTGCATTTTACAGGTAGGTACAGTATTTTTTAGTAATTGAAAGATCGGATAAGTTTTGACTTGACACATCTGATTACTGACATATTTCAATCTTGTGAGATGTGAAAATGAGAAACAGCACAAACAGCTTGGTCTGAAGAATAAAAACTATTTTATTCTTCCATCATCATAGCTATCACAAAAAGAAAAAAGGGCTGCGCTGCACGGCGTATCAAATACGATCTATCAATATCATAAAAAAAACTAGTCATTATGTAACCTCAAAAAAGATGGTCACACAGGTGTACCAACTGTGTGAGAAACATACTGTGCTAACATGGTAGAAATGCATGAATACACTAGATTAACACCTCTCCTCGATCTGCAATCATTTTGCGATTGTGAGAAAAATTTGTTAATCGCTACAGCACAAAAAAAAGAAAATGTGACAAAGCACATTGCTTGACATTTCAACGCTTAGCTTCGCAATAATAATTCTAAATCTTTAGCGTAAGGTGAGAATGAACTTACTTAGGACTAATACAAAGGAGAGAATTCATGTTCTAATAGGAAAAAGCAAATTGACGGTACACAACAGGTGAATAATGATGAATTTGATTTTCGTCTCTCTTTCAGCGATAGTGAAGAAACCGTGAATGCAGTTGCAGATCACCTACCAGAAATTGTAGATCGCACAGAAAATGACATTGAGCCACTGCCTCCTGTAGAAAACCAAGGTGCAACAGCAGTTGTTGCTGGCATTAGGCGCTCTAACCGTGACAGAATTGCCAAGCCATTGTGCAATTTACCCTGTTGCAATTCAACACAAGTGGACCAACTCAAAGATGTGCAAATACCGAAAACCTATGAAGAGGCAGTTACTGGACCACAAGCTGATCATTGGAAAGATGCCATCGATTTGGAGCTTCAAACCCTATCAGAACAGAAATCCTGGATGGTTGTTAAGAAACCTATAGAAGTAAGAGTTATGGGGTGTAAATGGGTTTTTACAGTGAAAACAGATGAATCAAATAGAATTGTCAGATTTAAGGCTCGCTTAGTTGCGTTAGGTTTTCGGCAGCAATATGGTGTTAATTATTTTGACATTTCCAGTCCGGTTTAGCCCATCTAGAGTTTAAAACTTCCCAGCAGCCATGGAACCAATGGACGCCTCCGAACATCAGCAATCATCCCATGGTGACGCTAAACCTGCGAAGAACCCTCGTACTTCCTCCTTCCGTGGGAAGATGAAGCGTGGGTCGCCTGGACACATGAGACGGGATAACAAGAGACAGGAGTCTCACCGGCAAAAGAAGGGTAACGAGTTTCAGAAAGAGTATAAAGACAACCTTCGTGCAAGGCTTTTCGTTGGTACCAACGTACATGACGCTCTTCCTCGATTGGAGATGGGAACGACTCAAGTTCCCATTCAAGTACCCATTTCAACAAGAGGAATTGGATTTGCCATAAGTCACTACTTTTATCAATCTTCCTTCATCAACAAAATTATCTATGGCAACGTCAATATATACACTTTCTATCGAGTGTATTTGGCCTTGTTCGAGACGCGTATGCGACAACTTGACCTGGAGAAAGCCTTATCCGACAGGTTCATCGGCCAAACGCCTTTGAGATCGGCGGATCTCATAAACATTGTCTTCTCGTTAACTTCAGCGCCCGAGTACATAGCTTTGATACTCACACAGGTCGGTATTATTAAAACCAACGAACGGACGTGAAAAAGTTAAAAGGAAATGTGTGTTCATGTGATATTGTAGTATGTACGCTATATCAGGGTTCAGTAGATGGTAGAAACCATGACTCAATTTCTTAGAAGCTTGCAAGAAAGGCACCTGAGTCTACGAGGTCTCCTCTGTTGTAATGTGGGCTTAATTTCTTCCATAAATTTCGTATATCTAATGAATGATGCAAATTAGTTCTTGCAGTTTTTTAATTATCGGTATTTTGCTTAAAGTGTTTTTATCTATATTACTCAATTAAAAGCTAAACTATTGTCCCTGAGCTTATTCCTATTAATCTTATTCCTACTAATCGGCGCGTGTGCTGTGTTCCTCTGTCACAAGAGCGCTTCTGGACCATCGCATAAGCTGCAGAAGGCGTGGATTCATATGTGAATCAGGGCTCACGGGAAAATCGAGGCACACTCCTGTGTGGAGGGCGTCTTTCAGAGACAAAGAAGGAATGAGAAACACCGCTATGCTGCTAAGGTTGTGCAACCTTATCCTTTGCCTTAAATCTACTGTTATTATGCCAAGAATATGAAATTTACCTGGTGATTTTTGTTGTTTCTTTTAGTTTAAAATGTTCGTAAATAACCAGGTTGTTTTACCAAATTGCCCAATTACGAGTGCGACACCGCCCCCCCCCCCCCCCCCCCCCCCNGAAACTCGTCAAGACTTCGTCCTCTTTTTTTAAATATTAATTCAAAAGGCAAGTAGCTTATTACTTGCAGCGTAATGCCTTTGCGTACTGTCCCTAGGAATGCCGAGGCAAGCAGTGGGATGCAGGAACGGTTGGCGATCGCTTGCCAATTCGTGTGCAAGCACCTTGAATTACCTGGAATAATGTTGAAGGAATTTTTTATTATTTTATTGAGCAATAGGAAGGATGAAGATGAGTGAGAGAGACAAATTTCTTAGAAAAAGCCCTATACTTTCAAAGCCCTCTTAATAAAGATATAAATACCATTTTTCAGCAGGTAATCAAGTTTTTCACAAAGAGGGATACTTTCAAAGTCTTCTTTATAAAGATATAAATACCATTTTTCAGCAGGTAATCAAGTTTCTAACGAAGAAGGAAACTTTCAAAGCCCTCTTTATAAAGATATAAATACCATTCTTCAGCAGGTAATCAAGTTTTTAACGAAGAAGGATACTTTCAAAGCCCTCTTGATAAAGATATAAATACCATTTTTCAGCAGGTAATCAAGTTTTTCACAAAGAAGGATACTTTCAAAGCCTTCTTTATAAAGATATAAATACCATTTTTCAGCAGGTAATCAAGTTTTCAACGAAGAAGGATAATTTCAAATTCAACTATCCTGTAGATATTCACGTTCAGGCAGAGTAAATGTTTCCTCTCAGCCAGGACCTGATAATTGTAAGTCCAGCCATCCCATCGATATTCTAGAGAATCTATCACCACGTGCTTCCACTCGGCCAGATCCCAGCATAGTAATTTGAAACCCAGCCCATCAGTATTCCTTCCCACCGAGCCAAGTCCAAATGATATGAAAACCCACCCAACCTGCCAATTCTAAAGCAAAGCTAGACTGCTTACCTGTAGCCATAATCATTAATGGTTTCAGTTTTCTATATTTATCTGATCTTTATGTAGAGCTACGAGAGGAGGTAGCCAATAATCTTCTGAGAAAGTGGATTCCTAGTATTCAAAGTTACTTTCATTTCGACAGCATCATCGTTGCTCAGAACAGTCAGCCCAAGGATTTTGCTTTTGACTTATTGAGACTCTACCGTACAAAAACTGGTAACCGTAAAACCGTAAACTAAACCATAAACCGTAAAACTAGTTGTATGCCCGGTGTTTACCAAAGAAGGGTACCCAGCAAAGAACACTGCTGAAATCTTAATAGAGAACATTCCAACTCTTACTGAGTTCGACAAAGATCACATATTTTTTTGCTATTCAACAGTGAATGAAGGCTTCATGAGAGATGACTTGAACACCAGGAAAGGTACTATGAGAGAATGGTACCAAGAAACCCCGGAGTAACGGCTGACCGCAGCTACTCCCGAAGATGCCCTAAAAATCATTTTCTTCTCGATAGCATCGAAGTCTTTAAGGAATGCTGCAATTGGACGCCAATTAAAAATCAAAACCAATTTTGCGGTCCCAACCTTCCTAACACTCTGCTAAAGTTGCAATGCGCAACCATTCCCTTGCAAACAGGAATTGTTCGGAGACCATCATTTCTCAATGATCCCATCAGGAGGTTGGATTAAAAATGCAAAACAAGACAATTTCAGAGGGCAAAAAAGTGTCCGAGCAATATGTATTGTGAAGAGAATGAGGTAACATGTTGTAACCAGAAAGAAAGAAGTTTCCACAGGAATTCTACCCACCCTGAGTGCGCACACTAATTGAAGAAAGTCAGCCAATTCTAAAGCAAGGTTATCAAATCATGTTCTTGCTCAACCTTTGACGAATCAAAACCAATTTTGTGGTCCCAACCTTGCTAACACTCTGCTAAAGTTGCAATGCACAACCATTCCCTTGCTAACAGGAATTGTTCAAAGACCATCATTTCTCGATGATCCTATACGATTTAGCATCTCATTTGCAGGAGGTTGGATTAAAAATGCAAAACATGACAATTTCAGAGGGCAAAATGACAAATTAAAGACATCATTCTCATGTCCCTTCTCCAATGGGCCTGTTGCATGCAAGAGATACAGCCGTGCGAATAGACTTTTTAGAAGTTAAATGACACAAAAATTACGATGGTCATATTAAAAAAGTCTGAAATACACTCCTTACTGCGCAATTTGCGTTGTTAGGAACGCGCTTTTTCAAATTTCCCGCGTCTGGGGGCAGTTTTCTAACGGAAACAATTAACAGCAACTCGCGGCTATTTCCGGTCAACTAAAACTGACAACATAACCTAAAAATCGGAGCTTGTGTTATCGTGAAATGAAATGTAGAAGGATTGCGTTGGACATTTAAAAGTTGATCGATTTGGTTACCGCATAAAGCGTATATGGACCACTATAGGAGATCACGTTGGGTTTGTAAACAAACTGAAGGAAAAAATAACAACAACAACAACAACAACGACTCGGCATCTTCCGGAAATCACCGAGCCCGCCGTTTGCTCGTTTCCGGTGATTAGAAAACTGCCCCCAGACGCGGGAAATTTGAAAAAACGCGTTCCTAACAACGCAAATTGCGCAGTAAGGAGTGTATTCCAGACTTTCTTAATGTGACCATCGTAATTTTCGTGTCATTTAACCTTTAAAAAATCTATTTGCGCGGCTGTATCTCTTGCATGCAACAGGCCCATTGTGAAGTGTTCGTTTTCTATGACATATGCCACATGTTCAAATTGGTGCGAAATTGCCTAGCAGATTATGAAGTTTTATTGGATGGAAACGGTGAGGAAATACGCTGGCAATACTTTGAGGACCTTTTGGAGCTCCAAGAAGTTGAAGGACTTCATTGTGCCAACAAAATTAAAACGCAACATATAGAATTTGCAGACAACAAGATGAAAGTGAAATTGGCATCGCAACTGTTAATCGAGTCAGTTGCCACTGCTTTTGAAGTATTAAAAATGTCCGAGCAAATTGTATTGTGAAAAGAATGAGGTACAGTTTGATCAGCTCAGAAATTTTTTTGGTGCGGACCAATCGATCTCTCTAGAAAATTTTATCGATGCCGAGGAAGAGGCGCCTGTAGCACCATCTTTAACACTCGACGAAATAATCGAGCAGCACGGCCACGGTCAAGATTGTCGTTCTTCATCTGAGGATGAAGAGGAGCCAGAATTTGAGAAGGTTTCAACGGCGGTAGCACTAGGCGCTGTGACCGCCCTCAGAAATTTCGCGGCCCAGCATGACCTGGACTCAGAATATCAGAGATCTCTGAACTTAATCGAAGAGAAAACTCAACTACTCGGACTGCAAATTAAAAAGCAGACATCCATTACCGATTTTTTTACCACCAAATAATCTGTGTCATTTTGACTTGAAGTATTTTTGACAGTTTCCTTTCCCTTTAATTTTCTCAAATTTTTACAAAACGGCAGTTAATTACATATTCCTCTGAACTCGAAATTAAAGTTAGTCGTTAGGCACAGTTGCTCTTAAAATAGAGGCCGTATTCTTAAAGAAATTTTCTTGTTGTTTTTTTTTCTTTCTCTTAAATGATTTTTTACTTTGGAAATTTCCAAAAAAGTGTCCTTTCTTTTGTATTTAAAAGTGCCTGATTTTAAATTACGTAATAAAGGCCGTACGTAACATCTTCAAGTATAATTTTTATTCTTTCTTCCTTTCGACCACTACGTATTTTTCCGAAATGATTGAATGGACGCGTCTCCTATCTTACGATGGCTCACAACTGCAAGAGGGAGGGAGGGAGGGAGAGAGACAACAACTGCAGCATTCCCTCTCCCCTCTTCTTTCGTGTTAAGGAGGGAGGGAGTGTGGCAAGATCGCTTGCTCGCTCTCTTCTCAGTTGCAGCCGTTCTGGCGGTGAGGAGCGCACGTCCATTGGTAGCTATCGAAGAAGAATTCTCGCTAAATAAAAAAGGAATTTTTTTTTTTTTTCATGAAAAAAATCGACCATTTTACGAGTAGAAAAGGTTATTTTTTGAGGTCGGGACTGAAAAAAATCCGAGATAACGGGAATCCGAGTTACGGGAATCCGACTTAACCCGAATTTCTTAGCATTGTTTTATATGGGCGACGAACGGGACCGCACGAAAATTCCGACATAACGGAGTTTCCGACTTAGCGAGGTTTCACTGTAACGTGTTGTAACCAGGAAAAAAGAAGTTTCCACAGTAATTCTACCCACCCTGTGTGCGCACACTAATTGAAGAAAGTCAGCAGAGCCAACCTGCCAATTCCAAAGAAAACTTTAAAACCAATTTTGTCAACACCGTTTGACTCCATTGAGCAGATCCGTTGAGCTGATCCGCGGCCCCATGCCAAACATGAAAAGCCCCGTCTATAAGAAAAGGACGCTAGTCACCCCCCCAGTGCTCTGTGACATATTCTATGCTGTTAACATAATGACCTCGACCACTGTCTCTAGGGAAACATCGAAATCCAGTGGTTCTTGCTTTGCCAATAGCTATTAGAATGGTTACTCCAGAACCCCTCTTCACATGGCAAGTAACCAAATGCTACGCCATCTTGTCCAACGACTGAAGATAATGTTTTATTGTTATCATGTGTTAAATGTGTTTGTGTGTTGTCATGAGATTATGTTAACGTGAATTCATTGTGAATTTAATTATTTAATCTAGTCTTTTGATAACTGTTGTTAAATTTTCATCTATGACCATGCCTGCTAGGTGTCGTGTAGTAAAATGTGCACACAATGCCAAATACTGCTGACTGAAAAGGTTCCAAGTCAATCAAGTAAGGGAGCAAATGCTTCTTTTTCATTTTTTTCCAATGTTTTTCAGTTTTCATCATTCACTATCTTTTCTTACATTTGATAGAACCTTCCGAAACATTTACCTTGATGGCATTAGCTTATTAGGGTGATTGTGCAAGAAGTGACTTAAAAATCCTACATGCAAGGTTTCAACAACAAAATAAAAACAGGAAAAATCGAACCAACTATCAATTCAAGATTCTAAATTAATTTTCTATCAGTCCAGTAAAATAGCTAGTCTTGGGTGTGTATTGGCAGTTGTGACAGTTTGTAATGAAGAAAAGATCATTTCACAAGTGAAGCTCCATTCAATGTAGGCAGGTTTTACCATAAGAAATAACAGCCTGGGACAAAGTTACTTAGAGAAGGTAAAAAGAAAACTCATGTTTCTCAAGTATACAAATGTGTAGACATAGACAAGTACCAACACACAGACTGTTAAGTGTAAATGGCATTGTTGCCATAACACTGGTCACTAAATTTCACAAAAATAGGGATTGTAGGAAGTTTTTTTTGTCAGTTTTTTCCCCCTATCCATGGCACAAGTGTAGCATCTCCAATAATAATGTGAGTTTTTTAATATTTCATTCCATGAGGAGTGAAAATTGTATTCTTCTTGTGATAAAAACAGTTGCAGTGGCTGTTCCGGCCAACATTCTTGAATTCCTTGTGTTTGGTGTTATCCATCATCTCATCTAATTCATCTTCCTGGACAGGCCTCTATGCCTGATTCTGGATGGAGTCTAGGGCCCTGTCCAACAATGATTTTGTTTTGTTGTTGTACAGACACCTGAGCCGTTGTAAAACTACATAGCACTTCCGATTATGGTTTTTAACATAACTCTTAGTTACTAAAAAGTTTGTTCCACAAAAGATTGACACCTCGATGTCTCGATTTTGTACAAAACTTTTCCTAGTCATTCATGTATTTTGTGTTCTTATAACTCAATCACGAACACTTAGGTCACAGCCAAGAGGACATGTTCAAACTCCAAGTGAGTTCACACAGGTCCCACATTTGTCCTATGCCTCTCTGTAAATTTATGAGGTAAAAAAATTTGAGTCTAATACAAATTACAAGCAGTCTCACACAAAATGGTTCCATTTAGGACCGGCCTCGGAGCACAGAGGTTAGAGGCGGTGCTGAGTCAACAGCTCAACTCTCCTTCGGCACTGAGCCAGGCTATGGTCGTGCGCGACTTGCTGGAACTCCTCACAATGGTGTCAAGAGGCAAACTGCATGATGCTTCTTAAACTTGAATTACCGGTCTAGCATTTTTGGCTTCTAGATTGTCATTGGTTTGTGAGTATCCAGTTCCTCCCTGTAACAGTCAAACGATACAATAAGAAAATCAAGTCTAGGAAATGAATTCAGCAGGTGATAGATAACTGAACAGAATGAACATTTAGGCATTCTAATATACGCTTTCTCGACAACATTTCCGTTGAACACGATTTTACACGAGAATTTCTGACAAAGAGATCAAAATTTTTTTAGGCATCAATTCAAATTTTCGGCTCATGAAGAAAACCATTATCTATTTGACTTAAATTGCACACTAATGTTACTGTGATAGTCTTTCAAGTATGAGGCTGGTACAGCTCCAGTATCGGTGCTTTCGCTCAGGTATTGCATGTCGTTTACACTTTGAAAAACACAGAGTGAAGAAGGAACACTGCTTCTTGAGAGGTCTGCCAAAGGAATTATATCATCACAAGATTTGATTCAAGTACATATACTGCGGTTTTTCATGTGCGTAGAAAATTCAAATTTTTCATAGCCAATGCAAAATAAGAACGTTGACATGTATCTTGATTGGTGTCAGTAATTTTCGTTGCGCACGATGTGCTTCATGAGAAATTTTAAAAAGGAAACATAAAGGAATGCTAAAATGTGTACCTTGTCTAGTGTTTCATTATGCATGACACATCAGTCAAGAATATAATGTTTGTTGATTTCATAATATACAGAGGCGGCATGTTAGATAATACATGCTAGTGATCACATTTTTATGGGACTGAGTCTGGGATTATCTAGAGTTGAAGGCTCAATATTAAAGTCCTACATAGTGGAAAGTAATGACTAAAGAACAGAGATTCTTGCCCTTGCCAGAACGCACTCATGCTGGTTTACTCAGGAATTTCATAGTTTTTTAATTTTCAAATTCTCTAATTTTCCATGGCTTTTTTGGCTTTCCAAATGCTCTTGCTTTTCCTGACCTACCAAGACATGCACTTGAAATTATTTTAATTGCGCTGATTTTTGCTAAACTTTGGACGAAATTACTACTTCTAGACTTATGGTAGATAATCTAGATTTATATATCTCGATTTAAGGAAAAAAGCACTTGGAAGTAGGTAGTATGAACTTTCTTAAATACCACAAGTTGGCGAGTTCATGCACTATTTGAGACATTCTCTGGCTTTCTAGACCACCGAAAACCCTAATTTTGCTTTGGCCAGAACATTTTCACACAAAGTAAATTTCTTTGTGATTTGAAAGATATTCGATGTGGTTGGATTACAAGCTTCACGACGAAGAAAGTGGTTTTGGCACCCATGTTTATTTTTGTCACACCATAGATCTTCATCCTGTTTGATTAAGTTTTAAAATTTTCACAGTCCACACCAATAAAAAATCTGTATGCAGCTTTTTAGGGGATAAAGACAGGAACTTACCCTTTGCATATAAATTATATCTTTTTCTGTCAATTTTTCTCCAGTGAGTGGGTGCAGCCAATCTTTCTTAATTAATTTTTCTACACATTCTACTGTTACAACATCACCCCTGCAACAGATAAGCAAATAACTTTCAATACATTCTAAATATAACTGACAAGAGGATGAAAGTCTCACATTGGTGAAATACTTAATTCTAGAAGGACTGCCCACAGAATACCAAGAACGCCAGTTGAATTTCGATATTCTTTGATATGATGTTCCTCATGATGTCCTGAGTGAGATGAACTTTCGGGATTGAACTTCCTGTGTGCCAATCTTGAGCTTTCCACTTTGCTTTTCACTTTTTTTTTTTTAAATTGGCACATAGAAAATTCAATTTTTAAAGCTCAACATGCTCAGGAGGTGGTAAGGAACACCATATCAAATAATATAAAATTCAGCGGCACCCAATTTCTTGGTATCGTGTGCGTAGTCTTTTGCTTATAAGGTTAATCTAGCAGAACAGTTTGGCTGAGGTTTCACATAAAAGATGTACTACGATTTCTAAAACTGAGTTTGATTAAAAAACGAATCAATAAAGTACACGATTTAAGCACCAAAGCAACTTGTGAAATTTCATGACCAAATTGTGAATCGTTCAAAAGAGGCAGAATAGGTACAAAGTTGGGACAAATCTAGGGCAAATTTCAAGAGACAGAAAACTTTGTAGAAGCTTACACAATTTTGAAAGCAAGATCATAGTCTACTGTTAGTGTAAATATGATTTTCAAACTTGGTTTGAGTGCAGTCCCACCTGAGATATTCAGGAGCTGCAGAATAACGATGGCGTAAGTCCCCAATCACGTATCTTGTTTGCAGTGTCTGAAAATCTCCGCCTCTATGTTTTTTTTTAAAAGGAGAACAAATTGACATCATTCCTTGAAGTTTTTGCAGAATTTTTTTGGACAGAGCAGAAAAATCATGGCAATTTTAAAGAATTGCCGTTGAGTAGTTTTCAGTTTACTTAAAAGATAAGGTATGACAGGAAGTTTGCGACGTCGCAAACTGAGATTTGTGATAGCCGACTTACACCGTTGATAAGCTTGCGGACAGAGAAAATATGGGAGGAGATGAGGGTTCGTGCATACTTACGTTGGTTTCAACACAGCTGCAGGCACAGAGTTGCTGAGGATATCATGAGTGACTGCACACATGTACCGATTCTCTTTTGTGATGAGCGACTTCTTATCGTCTGGGTCTTTCACTTCGGTAAATTTCACATTTATCAGATCTTTCAATGATATTGGTTTCCCACTCATTGGACAGTAGATAGTTTTGTCCTGAGGTCACAAAAAAAAAAAAAATATATATAAGAATAGGTTGACTTAAGTGACATATCATTGTTTCCCGGACGAAGGAACATAACTCTATTCCAAAGTTGCAAAATTGACTGGAACTATTTCATTTTTTACCAGATTTGTATCTGTGCAATTACTGTCCAAAATCTTTCTGATTTTGGCATGAGACCAGAAAAGGAATCAATTAAATATTCAGCTAAAAATGTCCAAGATTCCAGTAAATAGTAATCCTCCATATGTTGTCAAACTCGCCATACACATTCGAATATCTGAGACTCTGACTGCGTGAACGAAATATTGAGTGGGTCAGAACTGCTCAATTGCATATTACTCTGAGAAATCACTGCACTCGTGCACCGCAAGCTAAAATTGCAGAGGTGTTTGAGTGTCATGGTCAAGTTCATGATCTTGCGTAAGAGTGTTCTCATGAGTGAAGATGCTTGCGAATTCAATGATGCCACATTCTGGCTTTGAAAAAAATTGTATTACTTTTAATTGTTAGTGATTGTAAAAACACAAATTTTTCAACGACCGCTGCCTTCTTAATCTATGGATTTACACTTCGCACTTTATTATTTTTATGTACTCGTGCCAATATACTTTCACAATAACGCATTTAATGCTAGTTTAACTTGCACATCTTTCTGGATCAAACGCATTTTTTTTCTAAAAAAAGAATGATTATACATTAGAGTAAAATTGAAGAAAAAAATTACTATAGTTTACATTTTTCCGAAAATTTGACACAGACGCTATTTTATATTTTAGTTGATGCGCATAAATGATTATTTTACAGAAAAAGGAGAAGAAACTATTTCTTAGCAAAATACATGTTCGTTCTTGAGAAAACGCTGTACTCAAGAGTGAAATGAATGAAAAGCAGTGCGAAGTCTACAATGTACTGAAATCTTGTCCTTTACCGAATCATCCCACTGTGAAAGAGTACATAGAAACATTGATGTCCGGAGCATTTGAGCAATGCACAGAAAATGTTTGGGTGACACTATGGGTATTATCAAAGTGCATACTTTCTGTTTGCACATGTATATTCTTGAACACTTTCGGAATATTGGGTATTATAATTATTACATCCATTATTATTGGTGGTTTTAATGAATTTACAGAAGCAAAAAATTGAAAAAAAAAAAATGTATAAATTATGTATAGGTAAGTTAATATATAATCATAGATGATTAAATTGTGTGTGTGTGTGTGTGTGTATGCAATTGTTTTTTAAAAATTTTGAATATTCGGGGGCCGGTTGTGGTGCTATTACTTCTACGTCAAGTCCACTTGACGAAATTTAAAACAGTAAAACCGGCTTCTCAATATGATGATAGAGTAGTAGTAGTTTTTCTACCACAAAAAAAAAAAAAAAAAAAAAAAAAAAAAAAAAACACTCAGTTGCAGATATTGAAATGTGTATTGCAATTGTTATCGATATTCGAATGTGTATGGAGAGATGTTGAGCATATAGAGAATTAGTAACTAATGAATTTTAAGATGTTTCAGATGTTGCAATGAGTATTGCAAGTTTTTCAGCAATTGTTTGCCTAATCATGCAGACAGTCAGAGTCTCAGATATTCGAATGTGTATGGCGAGTTGAAAAACATGTGGAGGATTACTAACTACTGATTCTCCTGGTTAAAATGCAATTTGCAAAGGGCAATTTGGCAAAATTGAAATGTAGTTACGTTCTTTGGTGAGGGAAATATAGATGCGAGGGCATAAGAAGCAAAGTTGAGTTTTTCCTGTAAGATACAGAATTTGTAGAATTTGTCCTGCCATGATGATCGGTAGACCATTGAATAAGGGGCAAATTTAAGCATTAAGATAAAAATTCTCTGATGAAAATTTTGAATAGAACATAATTTTAGCTAAGATTGTTAGAGGTGAAAATTACATATTATTTCCACAACATCAAACTTAATTTGAACTTTCTGGGAGCACAATTGTACCTGGATTTCTTGGTGCCTATAAAATCAATTTTAAACAAACTTTGCTCGTTGGGAATTCAAGGACCACATATTCATCCGTTTTTACATGTTGATGGCCAAACACGGAAACCACAAATCTCAATTGTGATGTTACAAAATGTCCGCTTTTACTTTATTTGCTTTAAGAGAAACAAGCCAACTTTGCGGCTTGTTTATACAGAATATTCTGCCAACAGACGAGAAAAATCAGGGAAGTTTTTGAGCAATTACATTGACCAGTTTCCTGAAGAAAGAATAAAGTATGACAGGAAATCTGCAACGTCACCAACATAGATACGTAGTTTAGCACTTATTTAATCATCGATATTTGGCCTGGCTGAATGGTAGCGATCAAGTAATAAAAAAGGGAGGCTTACTTTAGAGACAAATCTCAAAAATCAAAGTATTCTTGTAAGAATGTAGTAAAAATTCAGCACATTTCCTGATTCGACTTCATATAAAATATCCAGATTTTTCCTGCCATCTGGTAACCTTCGTTCAGAGTCTAAGCAAGAGAGTAGGTAATGAGGATGCGAAAGAAGTTTTTGGTGAACCACAAACCTGCTAGCATCACATTTTTTTAGTACATATTGATTTGCAGTCTATTAATCCAATAGGAGCGTAATGTCATTGCCTGGCTGACACAGGACATAACTACGCTTAGAGATGCAAATCATCGAGATATATAGACAAGGTTCATAGTAAAGTGTGGGTGTGCCCTTGCATAGGGAGGGCGAAGATATAATTGAAATAATTTCTTTTGTCCCACCTCTTGTTTGAACGGAAATAGGATCTTTTCAATATCATTAGATGTGACAAAGTTGAGATGGATAAAGACTTACTGGTTTTCCGACAACTGTTTTCCGTGCCTCCGGAGTTTTAGATGGGATCCAAAAGCTAGGTAAATGTTTTTCTCCTCCATTTGCCATGTTTGAAACTGATTTGCTAGAAGAACCTGGAACAAAAAGCACAGACATGATTTTAGACACATAACTGTCAAAAAAAAAACCACAACATAAAAAAGAAATTACCTCGTATTTTGAGCTGCAAAGACTGGCAGGATGATGGTAATGGGGTTTTAACAGAGGTATTAGACTTTAAACTCTTAAATTCAATTCAATTTAATTAAAAAAAGATATTTTGAGCTGACTAAAAAGTTGAGGATCTTGCAATTTTTAATTTTAAGTTCATAGACATGCAAACTCATAAGCTTACATGGAAATGAGCTGATACAACACAAAGAATTAATTTGTCTCGAACAATTTCTTTATTTTTCCTGAACGAAAAACAAAAAGGAATTCTTCATGATGCTCAAAATTTTCAATTTTTGTTCCCTTCATATTTCTATAATATAACCTGATTTCAAGGTATGCTGTTATCTCCAGAAAAATTCCTGACTTCCAAGAGAGAAATTCCTGATTTTCAGAAATATTCCCAGGAAAAAAATTTTTGGCCGTGGATTTTTTTATTTCAAGAAAAAAAGATTCATCGAAAAAATTCCCCGATTTCCAAGGAGAAATTCCCTGCTGAATGCTTAGGAAATCCTTTTATTTTTCTTGGGTTTTCTTAGGTTCAGAATATAATCTTAACTAAGGAGCTATGCCTCTCGACTGCTTCATGGTCCAACCCCCCTGAGGCCCTTAAAAGAGTATGATCAGTTTACCTTTAGGCTAATTTTTTGAATTCTATCAAAACTTACCACAAACTTTAAAAAAACAATGACCTCAGAGCAGGGAGAAGAGTTACTCCCCATTTGTCTCAACTCTTATTATCTACTTTTGGATGTTTTTCATTTCCTTATGATAACTTTTCAAGGTCCAGGTTACAATGGTTAGATCGTTGCTGAAATATAAAATCACCTACTTGAAGAGGAAGACGGAGAGTTCTTGACGATATTTTTTTCCATATCCATGAAATTGTTCAATTTTGTTCGCTTCTCAGCTTCTGCCAGCTCAGCCTTTTCTGCCTGTAAACAATTTCAATGATTTTATTAATTGCAGAGTTACTACTTCAGCCCAAGCAGATATTAAGTATGGAAGCTATGATCAAGGAAACCTCAACTGAATGCTGATTAACTCGGCTCGGCTGATTAACTTTTTGTCCTGCAGTTGCAGCAGAAGTAAGACGTGGGATTTTAATAAAATGTTGTCTTTTTTAGGTACAGAACTGTTCTTCTTGATATGAAATATTTTTTCCCCTGTATCCCTTCTCAATCTCCAATCCCTGAGAAATGCTGTCTGGATGCAATTGCTTTGGTTGCCTTCTTACATAGGCTACATACAGTAGGTACTTACTTACTACTGGCGCTACAGCCCGGGGTGGGCTTTGGCCTCCAAGACAACGCGCCTCCATCCTGTTCTGTCCATGGTCTTTTCCTTCCATCCTGATACGTTCATTACTCTGAGATCTTTCTCTACTTCATCTTGCCATCTCAGCCCTGGCCTTCCTCTCTTTCTTTTCGATAGAACTTTGGCTTTCATGATTCTCTTTGGCATTCTTTCCTCCTTCATTCTGCTAACGTGCCCTAGCCATTGAATTCTTTGCGATTTGATGAATCGAACTATATCTTCTTGTTCCAGTATCTTGTCGATTTCGCCGTTGTTTCGAATTCTCCATTCTCCATTTTCTTTGATGGCTCCAAAGATCCTTCTTATGATTTTTCTCTCAAATCTTCGCAGCATGCTCTTGTCATTCTCTGTCATAGTCCATGTTTCTCCGCCATATGTAACAATTGGTCTAATAAGGGTCTTATATATTTGTAACTTGGTCTTCCGAGATATCAGTCTGCTTTTGATTAGCCTCAAGTTGGCATAATATGCTGCATTACCCGTTTGTATTCTATCTTTAATGGACGTAGTTGTTCTGGCTTCATTATCGATTAGGTTTCCCAGATACTTGAACTTTTTGACTCCTTCAAATTCTTTGCCATCAATTATTAAGTTTTGCGGTTTTCTTCTTGACTCTGAGGATGATAATATCATGTACTTGGTTTTAATTACATTTACCACTAGTCCTAAATCTCTTGCTCTTTTTTCCAATTCTTTGTAGATCTCTATTAATTTTTCTTTAGTTCTCGCAATTAGGGCAATGTCATCTGCATAGGCACATGTTTGACTAGATTTCGTGAATATTGTCCCTCTTTGGTCGACATGTTTGACCGCCATGTGCAGCGCTATTATAAATAGCGTACTTGACAATCCATCCCCTTGCTTCACGCCCTTGTTAAAGTCGAAAACATTGCTCACTTTATTTCCTATTTTAACCTTGGCTTTGGTGCTACTCATGGTCATTGTTATAAGTTTGATGAGCTTTCTTGGTACATTCATTTCATCCAGGGCCTTTATGAGTGCCTTTCTATTGACACTGTCGAATGCTTCCTTGAAGTCTACGAAGAGCATGTGTAAATCGATTCCGTACTCATGACATTTTTCCATGGTTTGTCTGATCACAAATAATTGATCGGCTGTGCCTCTTCCTGTTCGGAAGCCGCATTGGTATTCACCTATCTCCTTTTCGACTACCTTCTTCAGTCTTTCATTTAAAATTGATGACATTATTTTATATGCCGTGCTTAAGAGTGTAATGCCTCTATAATTCTTGCATTCTAATTTGTCTCCTTTTTTGAATATTGGACAAATTGTTCCGATATTCCATTTTGATGGCATTTTTTCAGATTTCCATATTGCTTTTATTAATTCATGTATTTCTTTGATTAACATTTGTCCTCCATTTTTAAGGAGCTCTGCTGTAATTCCATCTTCGCCTGGAGCTTTGTTATTTTTCATTCTTCTGATTCTTTCCGCAACTTCTTCTATAGTTGGTGTTTGTGATAAATCATCCTCATTTGTGTGGTCTTCTTTTTCCATTGTTTCTTTGTCGTTTAGTATCATCCTTTCCTTTTCATTTAGCAGCTCTTCGAAATGTTCTGCCCATCTCTCCATTATGTCCTTTTCTTCTCCTAGTAACTGACCATCTTTACTTCTGCACCCGCTTGTTTTCGGTTGAAATCCTTTTCTCATTCTATTAACGGCAGCATAGAATTTTCTACTTTCATTTTGCTTGCTTAATTGTTCTATTTCTTCCATTTGTTGTATCATTGCTTCTTTTTTCTTTTTTCTAAGAAGCTTATTAGCTTCTTTTCTTGCTTTGTGATATCTTTCTTCATTTCCTCTTGTGTTTCTTTGCAGCATCTTTTTTCTTGCGTCGTTTTTTTGATCTATGATGTTCATGCATTCTTCATCGAACCATTCTTCATTTCTGGTTTTTCGTTTTTCTCCAATAGTTTCTTTTGCTGCTTCTAAAATTGCTTTCTCAGTTACTGTCCAAATCTCTTCAGGCGTTTGATCCCTTCCTTCCATTCCATCTGTTTCTTGCGTTAGCTTGCTGTTCAAGACATCCACGTACTTCTTTTGTAATTCTTTATTCTTGCTTAAGTTTTCTGTGGCCCAGCGCTTCACTTCATGTTTGGGCCCTTTCATTACATTTGCGATTCTTTCTCTAACTTTAACTTTTACAAGGAAATGGTCTGAGTCGCAGTTAGGCCCTCTGCAGCTCTTTACATCAATTACTGATGACATATGTCTTGAGGATACTAGTACGTGATCGATTTGATTCACTTCTTCACTTCCTGGGATCTTCCAGGTTCCAAGGTGGATTCTTTTGTGATCGAATGCTGTGCTTTTGACATAAAGTTTATTTCTTGCTGCGAATTGTACCATCATGTTACCATTATCATTGTTTTTCTCATGTAGCGTGTGAATACCAGCTACTTGTTTTTGGTCTTCGTTTTTTCCAACTTTTGCATTGAAGTCTCCCAAGACTATCAGCATGTCATGCTGGCTTACTTTTGTACACACTTTTTCGAGTGCCTCGTAGAAACTTTCCTTTTCCGTTTCTTCTTTCTCCTCTGTTGGTGCATGCACTGACACAATGGTGATATTCCTAAATTTTCCTTTTACTCTTATTCGGCAGATTCTGTGGTTGATATTTTCATATTCTAGGAGAGTATTTCTTGCTGCTTTGGATAGTAGGAATCCTGTGCCAAATTGCCCTGTATTTTCACTTGTTCCACTGTATATCATGCTGAATTCTTTCTTGTCTATTCTTCCTTCTCCTTGCCATCTGATCTCTTGGACGGCTATGGCGTCAATGGCATATTTCTGCAGTTCTTTGGCCACTTCCATCATTTTCCCTGCCTTCTTCATCGTTCTTACATTCCATGTGGCTAGTATAATGTCCTTGGTTTTTTGGGGTTTTTTCCGTGATCCATACTCTTTAGGTCGCTTTATCCGTGGGTTTTCTGGGTACCGAGGCTTTGTCTTGGTTTTCGTAGCTTTGTTTTTTTTACGTGGTAGGGTTGCTAGCCCTACGCACAACCCTCCTCCTTTTCCTGGGCTTGGGACCAGCAAGAGAAAAACAACTCTCCTCTAGGCGGAGTTATACAGTAGGTACACCTAACTTAATTTCCCATCATACTTGGTTTTTTTTTTGTTCTCTTTTTTAGAATTGAGCAATATTTTACATTATAACTTTGTGAGTGTATTTTTCTTGATCAACAGGGAATTCACAGGCTGATTCTACTTAAAACTGCTCACCTGGTTTTTAAAGAGGGTTGTTAAATTATTTTGGGCTTATAAATTTATATTCGTTCGAAAACAAGATTAGCAGTGCAGAAAAAAAAGAAAAAGAAAAAACGATTGATAGTTTACCATCCTTGCTACCTTCCAATGAAAAAAGCCCAAAAAATACGTACGTAATATATAATCAAATGTTGATTGCATATATAAATTGCAAAATTTAGATAATTAGTGAAACATGAAGATGGCCAACTTGGTGAATCTATTTTGTATATTAAGGAAAAATTACTAACACCGAAGTGAAAGCAAAGCTTAGATAACATAGAGGATTCTTACTTCTTCTTTTTTTGACTGCCGTTCGAACTCCTTCAATTTTCGGCTGTATTCAGTTTTCTTTGAGATAATGTACTCGAGGATGGCTTCTTTGTCGAAAAGGAACCCGTCTTTTCTGCAACAAGAAGAACATTAACATTGTCAAAAATAGTGACGAAAAATGTTCAAAACATGGGACGCCGTACGGTGGCGAGCAGAGCCACAAGCGCACAACTGTAGATTTCCCAGCATTTGATTAAGATCACAAATGTGACACAATTTTCACCTCAATATCGCGGAAAATACGAAATTTTCCTTTCCACGCGAGCAAGTTATTCATGAACGTCAGTATCTTCGGATCGGCGAAAACCTACGATTTTCCTTCGATTTCGCGTGATACCACATGACATACCCACTCTGAAGTTATGATGGTTGCTCCCTTGCTTTCTGCGTGTGAATAAGTAAAGAATAACGCTAGATTCATCCGAAACTACCGTAAAGTACGCGATATTTCCAGCGGATTCATTTAATCAGAAGCAGTTGTTCGCTTTTCGTCTCAGTATCGGAGGAAATGCGAGTTTTGTCCAGCGATTTTGTACAAATAATGAGAAATTGCGGGCCAGTCACCGCAATATCGCGGCAAATGCGGGATTTTTCAAGAGGTTATGTAAATTCTTTGAAATTACGCGTATTCACTTCCATATCGCGGCACAACCATGAATTTCCAAAAGATGACAAGATGACAAAAAGTCACACAATTTTCACCTCAATATCACGGAAAATGTGAGATTTTATTTGCGAGCAAGATATTCAATCTAATCTTCGGAACGGCGAAAACCCGTGATTTTCCTTCAATTTAGCGTCATACCACATACCTTGCCGGAGTTCAACTTTTTATATGCTCCCTATCTGTAAATGAAGAGTTAAATCAAGACGTGAAAGCAATCTTTAACGTCGGTCTCAACGCAACGCCAGGAGCTAATATTGAGCGCGGAGTTAGTTCATACCAGAGAAAACCAGTGGCACCACCAGGGCCGTATTTACCTACTTGCCGCCCCCTCCTCATTCGTTCTGAAACTTCAAAAAAACCATCAAGTGAACGTGCCGGAGGGGGTGGGGTGCATAAGACGCGTTTACTTGTGTTGGACACATTTTTTGCGAAAGCCCTGTCAACACTGCTAGCAAAAGTTCACGGAACTTTGCGCGAAAGTTAAGGTTAGTAAACCTATCTCTGTGTGGACAAGGCCTTCCACTTATTAATATTGAACGAAAAAATTATGAAAGAACAAACATAAATATGGTTTAATAATTTTAACTTCCGCCGCCGCGCCGCGCTGACCGCACTGTACTTGGCGCAATGCGTGAAGTATTCCTACAGTCTTGTAGGCGCTATGCGTTTCGCATCGACCGCACCGTGTCTTATGCAATGCGTGAAGTATTCATGCAGTCTTGTAGGCGCTCATATGTGTTACATGCCGACTGCCGCACCAAGGGCTTCTCCTTTTCATCTTAAGTCCTGGTCATGCTTGCTTTTTGCGCCGCGCGTCGTTCCAGTCCAAATTGCGTGTTTGGTTTCTCTCTTAAATCGACTAATTTAAGAAGCTGTCTCTTGTATCACGGAAAGACGACAAAATTAGAAATTACTATACTCTCAGGAAATGAGAAATTTTTTCGCCTTTTTTCGTTTGTATTTTTTTTTCGTAATCCGATTTTTTTCTATGCCGACATTTAAAAAAATTGGAAAATTTGCCGCTCTCCTAAACCCTGTTAAATTTGGCAATAGCTGATGTGGCTTGGTTCCTTTCTGTTTAACGCGGTCCCATTGAAGATATGACAAGTGGTTAAGAAGACATAATTGAAAATAGTTTTCAGGCGAAAGTTGTTCGAAACCTCAAACCCATTCTATTCTATGCTTCTCATTCTATTCTGAAAGGCAATAAATAAAGGTGATTTAACAAATTTTCCTTGACATTTTCGTCATTTTCCGGTTTTCCCTGACTGTGGCTCATTCCCTGGCTTTTCAGATTTTCAAGACAGCCGTATACCCTGTTCCTGGTTCAGCGTTCCCGGTTCGACCCCCGCACTGGCAACACTGCGTTTCAGAGAATGCAGTGGGCAAAGACCCTTGGCTCTTGGCAAGAGCTGCACGATGCAAATCGGGGCCCGGGCGGGCAGTCGTCGCTATCTCGAACCTGCATTCGGGAGGTAAACAATGCCTGAATTTTTTCTCGAACGTTCCTCGGGTACTCGACCGGAGAGCCGAGGAAAACAAGTCAACATGGGGCAAAGACCGCGTCATATCGCGGACCGCACGCTCATGCCAAAATACAGAGTTGACGGAGGAATGCGGTAGGGCAAGAGGGGATCCATGCGCAAAAACAGGGCAAATCGAGTTGAAGGGCTCGGACCCTACTTCTGCCGTAATAGCGAAGAGAGCCGTAAGTGCAAAAATGAAGTTTTGAGAAAACTGGCTCAGAAGCTTCTGACAAGATCATTTTATTGAAAGAAACCTCCGTTCTTTCTCAAATTGCCACTAATCGTCCGGAAGACTCTCAGGGTGTCTACACGATTTTCAAAATGAAATTCCCTGACAATTCCAGGTTTTCCATGACAAAAAATAACAAAATTCCCTGACTTTTTGGGTTTAGCCATACGATGAACTAGTTAGAAAATTTTTAAAAAAAAACTATCCTTAGGAATAACCCCGTAAAGTCATATTCTGAATTACCATGGCGTTGGGAGGAGTTGAGTAATACTTTTGAAAGGAACGAGATCCTAAATACTCAAAATAAAGCTAATTCCAAAATGGTATACTCAAACTAAAATTCACCTTCAAAATTTAATTTTTAAGCTCTACTACGCTCTCTTTGTGACACATTGCCCCGTATACTTTTGAAAATTCAAACTTTAGTTCACCCTGGTGATTCCATAAATATTGGCATATTACTCAGTGCCCTGAAAATACAAGTTTCTTTTTCTTAAAATAGAAAACAAGAGTTGTAAATGTGCCTAACTCAGGTAGATTTTGCTATAATCAAGAGGAAATACGAGTCTCTTCTCGATTTTAGATANTGTTGATTTAAGAACCAGAAAAATTTCATGCAAAATGCGGTTGACATTAAATATTTCTTTACTCAGTTAAAGAAAAACTAAAATTCTAGCCTTTTCATTAAATTTCCTAACTTATTGAAAAAATTGATTAACCATCTGCTCAAAACTAGGGCACTTAGTTTCCTATCATTATTTACTGTAATTTTCTGCTGTTAGCAAGTTAACTTCATTCAAGTCTATTTAGTCTATCTTGCCATTTAGCATGAATTAAGTAGATAAATTAAATAGGGCAGATCGATTCGATCTTTAAAGTTAGGGAACACACATTAGTGAACCTAGCGGCCGTGTAGCAAACTGGTTGAACAGAGCAGTTTACATTATCAGCCACGCAAGCGAGCTACTCGGCCAATTCGGCAGTGACGAGCAAAAATAGCCGCGAAATGTTCGAATTGCGAAAATTCCCTGACTTTCACCGGTTTTCGATCGAATTCCCTGACTTTTCCCGGTTTTCCAGACAGTGATCAAATTCCCTGATTTTTCCCGGTTTTCCCGGTTTTCCAGACCTGCAGACACCCTGCTCCTGGAAATCGTATGGATGATTAAAACTCGACTGATTTTATTTCCATTACATAAAAAGGGTATTTTTCATTTTCATGCTAGGTTATTGTTAGGCAAGACAGCCGCAAGTGCTGTCTTCTGCATGCTTTCGTGGTTGCGTTTTGGACGCACAACAAACACATTTTCAGGTTAGAAATTGGCAGAAGAGGTTGGCACTTTACTGGAAAGCACTGTTTTCATTGGCTCTCATGCATCCATGGCTGTCTTGAAAAAAACTATGTCATTTTTTGTGCACTTACGGCTTTTACGTACGTCTCGTTTTCATTAAATTAGGATGAATTTTGCTGTTTTAGCTGTCTCAGTACTTTTATCTAAAAGAGTTTAGACGAATTTTGAAGAAAACTCGATTTCGAAAATTTTGCACTTACGGCTCTCTTCGCTATCACGGCAGACTTCACAGAAGCGAGGAATGCAGAGTTTCTATTTGGGCTACGTTTTGCATTTGGGAACTATAATTTCTGGCTCATACAAAAAAAAAAAAAAAAAAAAAAAAAAAAAAAAAAAACCCTGCAATAATTGCAGGGTGTCTTAGTTTTTTGTTTCTATTCATTTTGAGAAATCCTAATGAAATCCTGATTTTTCCTAATTTATGACTGCTAGATCCTGATTTCATAATTTTTCTAAATTCTGAGTTTTTGCGGAGTAAAATTAATGTAATGTAACTTCACAAAAATAGCTGATAAAAAAATCCGATCGGACGGCCGAATTTTCTCAAATCCTGATTTTATGACCGATTTTTCCTCAAATCTTGATGAAATCGGGAAAATCCTGATGCTAGGCACCCTGACATCGTCACCTTGCGGCCAAAGTATCACACACCGCAATCACACGCTGAATGTGGGAGCTGAATGTGGCTTGAATGTGGAAGTCATCGGCCCGATGCCTGAATTTTGCGCGTGACGCGCAAAATTCAGCAACGATTCTCAGCAACCATCGGACCAATTTTGAATTTTTCTGAACTATTCGAGTAGATTTGATACACATCTGGATGAAAATAACTCGAATTTGCTAAATTTCAGCCGTTGGGCGATGACTGTTGACTTCCACATTCAGGTGATAAATTCAGCGTCTGATTGCGGCAACAAGCGCCATGCGACGTTTACAAAGTGCCGCCGCCATTTAATTTTTTTTACAGAGAAACTATTGGTTGAATCTGTTTGAAAATTTCACCAATGGCTAAAAAGTCACCGATGAAGTTCCAACGATTTACATATTAATATTTGCGACCGGCGTGAAACGCGAGGAAAAAGTGAAAAGGGAGAGAAAAAGAACAAGGTGGAAAAACAAAAAGAGAGTTAAGAAAGATTTGGAAGTAAATGAAGAAACTTTTCCAGATCGTGAGAAACGTTCGGCCGAATGGCTCCTACTGTACATCTGCTAGGAACTTTGCTCTAAATTCTCCATTTGAGTCAGTTTTTTACTTACATGAATGTCGCTGCATTCATAAACGTCAATAATTTTAAACTGACGAAAAGCTAGGATTTGCCATCATTTTCTGTGAAACAACATACTGACACGGGAGGTCGAATAGTTGCGCGCTTGATTGCCACGTTTGAGGATCCGAGCATAATAACCTAAGTACATTCATAAATGTTGGGAATATGAGACAGGCAAAAAGCTAAGAATTTTCTTCATTTTCGCGTGATACCACGTACCATTCACGATATACCTATACTAAGGTTTGAACAGCTGCACCCTTGATTTCTGCATTTAAAAGTGCAAGCAAAATACCTACATTCTTATTCTCAGTAACATCAGTAATTTGAGACAGGCAAAAAGCTAAGGTATTTCTTCATTTGTACGTTTTAACACATGACTATTCCGGAGTTTGAATAGCTACTCGCTTGGGGACGTTTTGACCACATTGATACCTGAGTAAATTACTTTTTATGCAAGGTTACATGAACATTAAAAAAAATGCACGATTTATAAAACCATTTTGTGGAAACATCCCACTCTGCTGTTCTCAAGATATGATTACAATGTTTATATACAGGTCAGAGGGCAAATATATGACAAGCAGTGCAAACCAGGGAAACATTTGGGATATAGTGAAACGGCAAATTGGGGGAATCCATCGTTAAATCAGGAACTTCCAGAGGATGTCTAGCTAATGGACTGACCCGAGTCTATCAATCTTGACATGAGGCTCACTAAAATCAGCAACAGGTCCCTAGTATAGCAGGTGCCAGATATGCACATGAACTATGATTGGGACTTAATGTCACATTTGCACAGGTTACAACTAAGGTACACTCTACTACAGGTACAGACAAACGGGGTGCCGAAGCGGCAGCGCTGAGAATATGGGCCATCTAGTGACGTCACAAGTTGTACCCTCTTGGCCGCGCAGCTCAAAATGACCTCAAGTCAGATCTGGTAGCTTCAAGAAGCTCTCAGATGAATTTAAAGAATTGATAAAACTCAAAATAACGAAAAACTTAACTAGGAACATGAAAAAATAACACGATATTGACGAGACCCACTCTTCGAAAAGAAAGTGAACAAGTTTTCAATATCGCTTTGCAGTCGTACCATAGGACGCTGTCAAATCTGCACGACAACTTTAGGTGCGTTTTCGAAGTAAATATTCAGTTTGCGTCAGGTGCTCAACGCTAACGGACATCATGTGACCATTGACTTAGTCATTGGGTAACTCGTTGCCGGTTGGCTCTGTAGACTAAAAACTGTTGTATCTTGAGTGCACAATTACATTAAGAGGTTAACTCAACGCTCTCAACTACCTCCTGAGACCGATGACTTGTTGATTTCCGTTTGGTAAACAGTCCAGGACATCGAGTAATCCAAACGGAGTCCGACAATGCCGATCGTTTGGAATCGGATAATTCCGTTGTCCAGCAGTCCCAAACAGTTTACTTTGACGACGCAGCTTTTCTAAAATTCCATTTGTTCATACCTGTAGTAAAATGTACCTTGGGTTACGGCATTCAACAAGAGAAGGCGTTTCGGACCAGACCTGTCTAAACTCTCCCATGTTAAACCGATTTTCGACAGTTTGGATTGTGTTATATATCTACGAACGAGTACACAAAACAATGATAGTTTATTTAGAGATGTACTCGTAGAGATAAAGCCACTCTAAATCAATCGCCAGCGCTGCTTTACAAAGCACATGGCCATGAGCATTAGAATCACGGAGAACTTACGTGATGACCGGGTTCCGGCAGGGTTGGAGTGTCAGACAACAGCAATCGAAGTCCTTAACGGAATCCTTTCCGATTCTTTCGTTTTGTGTGCCATATCCAGAAGCTTCGGCATCCTTTTTCTTCTCGTGGTATGTGTAGACGGCACCCGCGGTACAATTACGGGCGTGACGCGTCATATTGAGTCTTCCGAAGATAAAACTTACGCACTGAAAATTCGCGAAAAAGGTAAATAATTAAACTAATAAAGTTACCTCCAAATGAGACGCTAAATTCACGATAATCTAAAGAAAAAGGTAATGAGAATTTCGCCACTCTGAGGATTGACAATTTTTAGGCCTCCATTGTTTACGTTCGAAGCAGTGTTGCATCCTAGTGTAAAACTTCAGTATCTCCATGCAAGAAAATATTGTTTAAAGATTTTATTTTCAAATGAAAATGACGTGATTTAAAAATTTTAGCATAAAAATTTATTGAAAATAAAATATGATAGTTATCAAGAAGCCAGAAATTTCGGGGCTGTTCTAGAAATTCCAGAACTTGCAGTGATTTTTCGAGAAGGCTCGTCGAACAACATACAATAACAAAGCCATCGGCGGCAAATTCAAATTGACGCTCCCGAGAAATTTCTGGAACTTTCTACAACGTTCCTACGGGAGGCTTAGCAGGAAGCACTGGAATATAGCGCTAGTATATAAAGAGGGAGGAATCCGCAAGGCAGTCAGTTTCTTGCTTGTCTGCGTCGACTGCGTGTGGTTAACCGTTAAGCGACTTAAGTAATCGCTCGCGCTTTAAGTGTGCTCCTTTTACTGCTAAGTCTGCTAAGTTTACTAAGTTTTCCGCTCGTAGTAGTGTCGATCATCTGCAACTGTTAGTGCTTCTCAGTGATAGTGATTAAAAGTTTTTGGTCTCCTCACTTCTTGGTGTGACCCACGTAATATCGTATTTGAGCTCTCCTGTACACACCAGGACCGTCAAATTATTCAGTGATTTTTTTTTCTGAGCTTCACACACTCAATATTATTCAATTGGTAAGTTTTGCAATTGGCATCCTAGTACTGAATATAATTCCCCCTCCCCCATACTTAATCAGACTACTTTATTTATGTAAATATTAATATTAACTGAAAAGGAGGACTTTACTTTTTGCGAGATTTTAGGAAAGAAAATAAAATGTCTAGGTGAGAAAATGTTCAGCAGGTATTTCGTTCATCAGATCTGCAGCAACATTTACAGTATTTCTAATGTTATTCCATATGTTATTCTCTTAGTACCTACCTTGCAGTCCTCCTGATTCAACTGAACGCTCTATGGAGTGATGACTATACAAAGCTGCGTTTCCAAATTTACCAAATATAGTTTTAACTTTGGTTTTAGGATTTCCTCTCTGCATGGCTTATTTTCAGCAAAACTGAAGTCTTCATGAAATGCTCCCATTTGAATAAATAATCTTAAATTTCTGATCATTAAACAATTTTTTTAGTATGAAAGGGTTTTTTCCCAATTTTTTTAGTATAGGTAAAGAAAATTACAGTTGATCCTTGAGTACTTGGGTAACACATATGCAAGAGTACTGAATTAAAGCTAAGTACCTCAGTTATTTTCCTAAATTTTACAGTTAAAAGTTTTGAAAGAGGGTTTCCTAAAATAACAGTTTTAAATTTTTTTATTTAAGTTGCCTTTATTCAAAATAAAGAGTTCTTTCATAAATTTTCCTAATATGTAGTTGCTACTAGAGAGGCAATTTCCTCCATTGCACGAATTTTTGTAGAGGAAGAGAGGAATTTGAAATAATTCTTACCTTTTGCGATTCATTCATATATACCCCGTATCAATGCTTAAAGTGAGATATTGCGATTTTACTTCAACTGCTAAAACTCAGATAGTCTCATTGTTAGATTTCTCTGAAATCCAGTGAAATAAGAGCACGAGATCTGCAGTTATGTTTTGTGCAAATTAAGCCACTGATCTATAACGATCGGCATTAAACCATTCACCAAGCAATGTATTCTGATAAATTCTTATGTTTAACGGGTAGTGTATTTTGACTCTCAATTTCTGTTCTGAACGTTTTTCCCTCGCCACTTTATCAAGTGTTCAATATTTTTCAATATGTGTTTTAATCCCTTTATTGACTCATGATGTCTAAATCTGATTCCTTTTTCCATTGTTTCAGAAATGGCTTTGCTACCGTACTTGTTGGAAGAGCTGAACCGACCAACCATCTACGATCAGAACTTTGGTCTAGGATTGTTCAATGATGATTTCCCGTCTGCTGTTGGATCTCTGCGCCCTTACTACCTGAGACCATGGAGACTGTTTCCCCACGATGAAAGTGGCATTTCTTCAGTACAGCATGACAAAGATGGATTTAAGGTAAAGTACCTAAGTTTGATGCAATGTCTCTTTATGGATCTTGCCGAGTCAGAAACGTTTGGGGGAATTAGGTCCTTATTGTTTAAATTTGGCTGATGGGTGATGCCCAGTTACACCCAGTGTTTTTTGTCAACGAAGATATTCTAGACTTATTTCTCTTGAAAATATTACCTAATACTTTTTTGTACATTTTAATTTGACATTTTCACTGAGTAAATTTCAAATGCAGGTTAAGAGCAAAACACAAGGATAGATAGATACCACAGATACTTAGCAAATTCACTTCTCTAAGTGGACAATAAGTTATTTTCATAACAAATTGAAGCAAACGTCATCCGCTAAGAGGGTAATAAGTCATTTTCAAAACAAATCTAAGGATGAAGTAAAATTGATATCCAAATTTCTTTGAGTAGGAAAATTATATTTTCATCACTGACAGTTCTTGATTGTAACTATTTTTCTCACTTTGTTTATTTCAGGTGAATTTAGACGTACAGCAATTCAAGCCAGAGGAGGTCAACGTGAAAATAGCTGACAACTATGTCATCGTCAACGCTAAACATGAAGAGCGTAGTGATGAACATGGCTTCATTTCACGAGAATTCACCCGCCGTTACCTTCTGCCAAAAGACGTAAACGCTGAGGCCTTGACTTCATCTCTCTCTTCCGACGGAGTTCTTTCCATCCAGGCTCCACCAAAGGCAATCACCAACGATAAGGGAAATGAGCGTCAAATTCCAGTCACCAAAACCAACGCCCCAGCAATCAAACAACAACAACAACAACAGAAGAAGTAAATTATCGTGAATGACATTTACTCTCATCTCAAGTATTTATTTTTACGTCATCTTTCTAAGGTGAATATCTCTTACATTTTTAATGTTACTGTGTAACCGACTATGTTATTACTCTTTATGATAATCTAATTTTAAGTTCCTATCCATGAATAGTTTTTAATTTAGTCCCATTTCAAATTTTGTCTGACTGTACATGTGTCCATTCATTAATCTTCAAAATATTAAGTTACAAATTTTCATCTTTCATACTTATTAAGGAGAAAATGTTTTCAACCATATGCAGAGCTAGACCATTTATTGTCACATTTTACTGAATTTGACATCTTCTCAGGGATATATAGGATTCAAATTTTCATCTAGTTTAGTCTAGCTGTGCTCTCTGAGAAATATGAATATTGAGTGAAATTAAGTACAATTTTCTTTCTTGTTATTCTTTTGGAACTCTCAACTTGGATCAGTAAAATGTCATTCAATACTCAAATAATTACTTAATGCTGTTGAATTATTCTGTTCAACTGTTAAAGTCATCAGACTTCACCCTAGTTAGTGTATTAAGATTGTTTGTGTAAATTATATTGTAAGGAAGATTTATTACTTTTTAATAAAGGTGTCCTAAAAGTCTATCCTTCTATTTTTTTTTTCTTAATACATGTATGATAAACTTTGGGTAAAATAATTGAGGCATTTTTCGTTAAAAGGGCTATGAGGCTTGCAATGCTGTTAAAATCATGCAATTTTTTATAGCGTTTGCAGCAAATGGCATTCATTCACAATCCCTTACAATAGTAAAGCAAAACTCAGAGCAGATTCAGGGAAAAACTCATAGTAGAACCGTCAGATAAATTACTTACAACTGCAATGAAAGAACTGCATTGCACAATCTTGGCAGCATTGGTAGTCCCATACACTCTTTGCCCGAAAAATGCTTCAATTTCAACTAGTTTATGAGAAAGATGACCAACAGGACATCTTATAACTCATTTCTGCTCTAACCATACTGTAAGAGAAGAGATTTAACGCCACTTCATTTCATGAGGATAAGGAGAACATGAGTAAATTTTCATTAAAACATACACTTTATTTAGTTAAAAAAAGTCTTGATCAAATGTCTAGGAGAAAATCAATAATTCGAAAATAGCTTAAGTGCACTTCATCCCTAACAGTCTTTAAAAATCAACACCCCACAACAGAGATCACTGAGCCGTTTGGCAGCTCTGAATCATTTTTGTCATAATCAAAGAAGGTATCAACAATAAAAATGTCTTTACAAAAGCTAAAATTACTCGGTCATGAGGGAAGTCCAAAGTGTATCAATACTCTTTGTTGCTACCTTTCTTGATAACCTACAGAGTACGGAGTAAACACTGATTATTCATAACCAACTTTGGAGCTCTCGACCCGATCAAGTAATTTATGCTTAAACGAAAAACCTGAAAAAACTTATTCCTGGCTGAAAGGAGACTAAACTGTGATGGGTCCGTTGCACACGTATACAGTCAGCGGAGATGACTCTGAAGAGAGGAAATTACTCGAAAATCACTTAGAGCACATCAGAAGTGTTCAGCACCCGCCTTTTCACGTAAAATTTCTTGTGTTTAAAGACAGATTTTCTTCATCACTGGTAATGACATTTGCCCGCAAAGCAAGACACAAGGAGACCTAATCTACACAAACAAACAGTCTCCTATGGAGGAAAAATGTGTAACAGTTTGTGAGATTGTTTGAATAATGATTCGAAGTCATAACGGTAACGCAAATTGTGCTTTGTGGAGTGAATTTTAGACAACTCTGATGTGCTCAACAAGATTTTTGAACAATTTAACCTTCAAATAAGTACTAGGATAGCTGTACCTCTTGAGAGCAAAAGACCCATTGAAGAGCATTAAGGTAACGCTTAGGTGATCTAGGGACAAGCTCTGGTCACTCGATTGTGCTGCTACATAGTCTTTGAGAAGCAATAATAATGCACAAATTAGTGCAAGAGACATATTTATAACGTAAGGCAGCATTAATATTGAGTGGTACGGCATCAGTTCAACTTTCTGAGGATTCATCGAAAATTTATATCATTAACTTCCGTGACAGATAGTATCCCTCTCTTAAACATTGAGTTAGTTAGCAACGTCCCTTAAGGTACTTTCCAATGAAGATTATGAATGAATCTTCACAAATCTAAAGGCGCACTGCTCGGTATTTATGCAATTTTACGTTATAGATCAGTAGTTAGCGATAAATTTGTTACTCAAAGACACAGTGTCAACATAAGAGTAGACCTCACCGTCCCTACATTACTTAGAATCACCATAAGAAACACTAAGCTTCCTTCACTTTAACAAGCTGTCTCTAAAATATCAGAGTAAAATTAACAGGAATTACTAGGATGAGTAGAGAGCATCCTTTTTTCCTTGATTTTGTCCTGCTGCCAACTGTCGAACCTGAACAATATCTACCATAGGAACCTATCTTGGTGCAAAAAAGGCAATCGATGGTCTAAAATAACACGAACATAAATGATCTTCATCTCTGCAATCGCTCCACTGAGTCATAGAAAAAAAGGGGTGTTTGGCTACTTGGCTTGTTAGAAATTTGAACTGTGTTGAAATCAAGGTTTGGTTACATCTGATCAAAAGTGGTGAGAAAATGTTACTTGTCGAACTGGCAGTCTGATGGTGTGTTCAGTTGACTAATACCATACTTGAATCATATTTTTGAAAAGAGTGGAAGTCTAGACGCTTTTGAGCCCTGGCTCCAATTGCTAAAATATCAAAGCAAGGCTCATGAGTGTTCAAACCTCTGCCTTCCTGCTCACGACGCGTGTTAAAATCAACTGAATATTTTGACAAGTGAAAAGGCGAAAGTCTGCAAATCAATGAGCTATGCTTGACATTATATATTAACGACAGAAGTCTGGGCTCATGCGTTTTTCTCCTTTTTCAAAAGAAAAATTCATACACCATGTTAAGGGACCAACTGCTCTACTATGTACTTGCTCTTATGATACCTACATTTTCCTGTAATTGCCTAGCAATCGTATCCACTGACATTGAATCTACTTTCAAAAGAGCAGCCAGGCTGAGCAACTGTAACCAACCAACAACCCCTGGGATTTTTCTACAACCCTTGGTCACACAAAAAAAATAAAATTAACATATTTCTAGAACTATGACTTAAAAAATCCTCTCAAAATATCCATCAATAAGAAATAATTAACGTCCTTACTTTTAAAATAAATTAAAAAGATCTGCATGAATAAAATTTGACTACGCCTTACAAATACACGGTCAGTCTTCAAAACACAATAGTATTCAATAAATAATACTACTTAGAGACTAATGATATGAGCAGACTAACGGCCAATTATTTGGGCACAAGATTTGAGCTATCTCTGGAAACATCACCAGCGTGAATGTTTCTTTAGAGAAATCCGTACAAATATAATGAGATGTAATTGCAGGGTTAGAAAGAAATGCATCGGATTCGACAAATGCGTAGGTGAACCACAAATTTCCTATAAAAACTAAAATAATGGTGAGAGAAAGGCAAAACAAATTACACACTTCAATCGATACAAATTTCAAGTATAGTTCCTAACAGGAGAGCTGAAAGAGGTGCTTGATGCAACAGGTCAATTGCAAAAGTCACTAGATGAAATTTTCTTGTTTGGAATCTTGAGGGCTTTCAAAAATTGATAGAGTCCGCTCAAAATGTATTTGACAAATTCTGCAATAAAAGCTTTGAAAAATTAAGTTCAGGGATCAAAAATATTTTTAACTGTAAGGTAATTGATAAGTGAGGCATTGCCCCAACAGACAAAATATAGCTTGACAAATCTGTTTCTCAACCTGCTTGACAAGAAATTTCTCTGATTTCATCAGGTAACAAAAATTCTCGACACAATCTTCATGAATCATCGATCATAATTCATGAGGTAAAAATTAGCTTTGATCATTGAAATTAATTTTCACCTCTTCCATTTAAACGGCTTAGATAATCAGAGCAACGTCTCTTGAATTCTCTGTCACTGCTGTAAAAACTATTTTTCTACATTCAACTTCAGCTGCAGAATGTGTTTTTCAAAAACACAAACGCATCAGGACAGATCATGGTTTTTAGCATCATAGTTTCATCCATACAAAACATACAAAGCAATCAACGCAAATATTCATTGCTGGCTGATGAGACTGAACAGTAGGAACCACGATAAACACTATCGAAGTGGACGCCAGGATCCACTGGTCTTTGAATGGGGAAAATCTGAGTCATCATTGGTTCGTGCTCATCATTAAGATTCAACCATCAAAGCTTGGTTACAGTGATGAGCACAGCAGACTCCTGTAATTGCTTGAGGTGAAAAAGACAAGATAGAAATTTTCTTTACCAGATTACAATTAATGGTGATCGTTTGGACAATTTTAACTGTTAACAATATAAATATAATCGTGTATTAAACTCTTCCCTCTAATACCTAGTTACACTACACCAATGGGCAATAAAGTCCACTGCTTGAAATAAGGCTAATCACATTCGTTGAAAGTTAGACAATCCTAGTTCCTTGAACTATGAAAGACAAACAGTTAATCACTCATAAAGAGAAAAAAAATAATTAAATGAAGGTCCAAAATACGACCAAAAGGCAATTTACAATCTCAACTTTAAAAACTCAACAACCTATTCCTGCTTCGAAAACTTGTTTCATGAGTCTGAGACAGTCTCAGGGTAGGGCATGGCAAGGCATGAAAAAGCAAGATTCGAAATACAGAAATAAAATTAATGCATTCGTTACATCCAATTAAATTGGGTACAAATCTATTGAAAACATTACATCACAAACAGAGCGCACATTCAATTGTCTTACGTTTCACATTCCTATTTTGTACGCTTGAAAAAGCCTTCAAGATTTATCGAATTACCCGCTAAGATATTTTAAAATGTAATTAAGATTTTTTACACTAATCCAGTTTTCTCCAGATTGGATCAGTTATTTTTACAAATTGCAGTAATGTTTCAGACTGATTGAGAGGAGAAGAAGAGGTCAGACTGACCACATGAAATAGCAGGCAGAAGTAGGACCATACTGACTGCATTTTCTCTACATAGCACAGAAATAGTAGCTACAAATTCCCTTTCATTCCTTTCCATCAAGTCATAAACCATTGAGACATGCACAAGTGAAATAAAACACATTCAGTGATAAAAATTACATTGTGCAATAGTGCAGTCATTTTTTTAGACTTCATTGCTGAGAGCTGAAAGCTCCTTAACCAGAATAAACTATCAAGAATCTCTGAATAATTTCAATGAAAACAATGGAACAACTTACATCAATTGGGGGTACTTCCCTTCATTCAAACAGTGTTCCATTCCAACAATTCACCCCTGACATGCAACATAGATCTGCAATTAAAGTACTTTCCCTCAAGTAACATTTCATGAAAAAAACGATGTCACTACCCACCAGTTCTCTCTGAAACGGACTTCCAAGCTCAAAAGCAGCAGCTTTCATAATCGAGGCTGCAATGGAGAGGATTGCCTATGGTATGTTGAGAGTTCACCTCTACACCCGGTCGAATTCTCCATGCACTGTGCAAATAAGGAGCAAATACATTAGTAGGGCATGGTTCCAGATTTGGAGGCCCCGCAAAAAGTGGCGACCTTGCTATTGTATTTGCACCCTATTCGTGCATGCAGAGTTTGGCTGGATAAAGAGATGGACTCTTACCATGGCGTAAGCAAGCTCTCCTGTTACAGCGTCAGCTTTGAGAGCTTTTTCTGAGCTTCATAATTCGCTCCAGAGAAAACTAAGGACACCGTCCTGTTTCTTGCAAAATTTCACATGAGAAAAAGTACTTAAATCGCACATCTCTGTGGCATGTCAGAGCTTCATTTTGTTAATATCTTGCCATTTATGACCCAAATTCATGATAGTACAGCTTAACTGTCTACAGTACAGCTTAAAATAATCATAAGATCTACCTCTATGAAACAAAGAGGGCCCGAACAATAACAGAACTAATAAGTTTACCTCAGTTTACAGATTGACTGTTTTCTTGTTGCTCTAACTTTTCAAGTTTAGTTTTGAAGGCCTTGCTCAGTGCGGCTGCTGTATTGTTGAGTAGGTTGTTGAGAAGTGCTACAGTCACTTGGTTTTTGACCGTGATTTCATCGAACTCGTAGTTGGTCCACTCGTGCTCTTCTTCCTGAGCTTCTCGAACAAGCAGCTCGTCGACATGGTCGCGCTTCTTCCGACTCCACCGAATGATTAAATTCTCTTTTGCGACCTTCTTGCGGAACCCAAATAGAATTGATACCTGATTGAGAAAATCAAGAATTAAATATTGAGACCCATTAATTTACTCTTATCGATTAGCGAACAATGTGAGAGATGCCTTCTGAGTTTTCAGTAACGTACTAATGTTGTCCTGTTTTTGCAAAAAATATTTAGCAGGATATAGAGTATTTTTCCGTGCTGAGAAGCCGAATATTTTCCTAATTTTTCTGATATTTTGAGAAAAATTCATAATACATTCATGTTGAAATTTCCCGATTTTTTCCACCTAAAAAAGTAGCTGTGGTATGACTCCAATTGTGAGATTTTAACTAAAAAAAAAAAATAAAAATACTCTCAATGTTTTTTCTGAATATTTTTAATTTTTCTGATGACATTCTGTGATAATCAAAGACTGACCACCATTCTAGGTACTTCTGTTGTCTAAAGAGGGGTAAATTCACATGATTTCTTGCGTTCTGTTTTTTTTTGTCTTGAAGTAATGACATAATGCAGATAAATTTTCATTATCACATGTTCAATACTTGAGTTTGCTGCCAGCACTGAGGTCCCAGGTTCAATCCCCAGAGCCGACCGATATGTGAGGATACTCAAATATCAGTCATCGTGACCATTGATGACTATGCCACTCCAATACCCTGACCTTTCGAGATAATAGGGTGCGGGAGAGACATAGTCACCTGGTAAGTAATCCGTCTACACTGTTCGATTGAGTCGAGAAAAAAACGTCAATCACTGGCAGTGTGCGCGACCTATCTGTGAAGACTGGATCAACACAGTCCAACTCGGTGGAGGCATGGCCATGCTCCGAAAGTCCACGCTCAGTAGCGTCTGCCAACATCATTGATACCACTTTCGATTGACTTAGCAGACGGCCGCAGAGCTTTGAGAAAATGTGATAAATATCATGAGACAGGTTACGGAGCATGGTCCAACTTCGGGGGGGGGAACGACAGCAGTTGCCAAGTGCCTTGGCCCCCCAGCCGGGGGTAGGCGCCCCAGCCGATCAGCCCAGCACTTACTTACTTATTCAATACTTGAAAGAGTAGAAACTTGTAAAAATGAATCAACTTAAATGCTTCAGGCATCAATAACTTTTTGTTAAGCTTGACGAAATGCAAGGCTAAGCCGCCACAGAATAACCTGCGACAATTTGCCGTAGTCTTAAGAAAGGCATTGTGAAGACAGCACATATTGCGTGCATTGATTGTAAAGAATAAAAAGGAAAAAAAAACTTCTGTGCTTATCTATCTGTTTTGAGAGCTCTGAAGAGATTTTTGATACAAATGTTTTGAAATGATTTTGAGAATTGAACACTGGAAGAGTAAAAAAGTTTTAAACTTGAGAAAATGTAGAGTTTCTTTCTATCCCCGGGTTCTGGATTTTACAAACGGGCCGAGAGATTATCGATTAGAAACGTTTTTTGTAAACTTCTATCATTTTATTCCCAAATTCTTTCCTTCTCTCATTTCATTTGATCCCTTCAGTTCCCTAGTCTTTTCCAGTCCATAATCTTTGCAACTGGTGAAAATGTGATCTTTTTGCCTTTTTGTGACGTCCATGAAGTCTAAAAATAGGAGCAACTCAGAAATAGATTCGAAATTGCGCTCCTATAGGTATCTAGGGACACTGGAAAAATTAAAGTACCTTCTGTTTGATCTCCTCGATGAGCATGGCCTTATTCGTGGGGACCTTTGTTTTAGCTCTCCGTTTGACAGTCTTTTCCCATGGCTCAGCAGATTCATTCTGGTCGTCTGTGTAGATCTCATTAATCAGCTGAAGACAAAGGTCGTACAGGAATTTCTTGTAAATGGCCAAAGAGTTGTTTTTATCTGACGTAAAGCTTGGCGGTGGTTTTGGTTCAACATGAATCAGCCTGGAGTCATAAATATGAGCTGCAGCTGAGGTTACAATGTTCAAGACGATTGTTTCGTCAGTCGGGACACTCTCTGGTTGGACAGGAGGTGTGTACGGAGGTGGAGGTTTGTTCGGGATTTCCCGGAGGTAGCGCTCATAAATGTAAGGCGCTTGTTGAGTTTGCTGCTGTGCTTCTTGTTGTGCCTGCTGAAGACGTTCGATCTGGAATGAAAAAGAAGCAAGTTAAAAACTTTTCTTGCATTAATGGCTATGTTTACTATTCTCTATTGTTCGCAGAGATTTAATCAATTATGTTAGTTTCCTGGAATGAAGCGTTTTTTGTAAAAAAGAAAAAAAAATGGAAAAAATGAAATAATATCAATTTGATGTCGGCATTGATGCCAGTCTCTTTTCTCTCTTTCTTGCATTTCAGCAAAATGTCATGTTCAGTTCATCATAGAATGATTGGCAGCAAAAATTGAATATCAATAATTTGATCCAAAGTTTTTCATTCTTTTTCATCTGAAGTTTGCATAGCTAGTTTGGGATGATTTTTACTTGAGAAATTTTCAACATGCATAAAGAAATATCTTACTTCTTGTTCAATTTGGAGCTGTTTCAGTCGTAACTTTTCAGCTTCTCTCACAACACAGGCCTCATCAATTAGCCAGTCCTGGTTGAAGTCCACATCGTCACCAAGTCCAACACCAGTTTGGTCCTGGAAATTTTTATGCATTATTATTGCGCGCTAAAGATGAGAAGAACTAAATCAAACACTTCTTCATGTATGTATTGAAACGGCCATACAAAAAGAATATCTATATATTTCAAACATCTTTGAGACTAAAAATGATAAATCCAAACTGTAAAGTTCCAATTTCTTGAAGACAGAGCTTCCTGTAGAACTGAAGTTGGATTGCATTTAGCAAAAAGGAACCAGCGCAATTATAGTGTTGTAAAAATGTTGCTGCTTCATAATAATCTAAAAGATCTCTGAAAATAGCAAATAGTCCTTGCTTCCCACCAAACAATTGTTAATTTTAAAGGAAAATAATTATGTAAATTTTAAAACTGTACATATATTGAGTATTTTTACAAGGAAAGAAGAAAAGATATGATTTTGAAAACACTATAATTATGCTGGTTCCTTTTTGCTAAATGCAATCCAGTTTATCATCTTTGGATCAGTGATTTGCGAAATTTATAATTAAGCGCTAAACTCTCCATGAGTCCTATCCACTAAATGTGAGCACGGAAACATAAGAAGGCTGTCAACAATGTAGAAGCGATAAGATTTTTGTTTCTTTATTCATTTAAAGCAAATAAATTGGGAGAAAATTACCTACTTTTTGAGATGATTTAAAAAAAGATTCTTTACATTGGTGTTCTAGAGTCATAAGGTACCTGACTCCATTTTTGTTATTCTGAGATATCAGGGGCAACCTGCGCGTCGGCTTCTTTGATTCTAATGCAAATCGCAACATTTGAAACTCTGTGGCTCATAACTTGCATAAGATAAGGCTACCAAATTTTCCACGCACTCCGAAGCGTTATTGGAGACATGCAAAACGCCACCAACTCGATTTTTCCAATAATGTGAGTTAGGTGACTCTGGAATAGTGATACGGAGAAAGGAATGAAGTGTGATATTAAAAATGGCTCTTTAAAGAAATGTTATGGCAGGGGATATTTTCTGCCCCTATCTCAACGATTGAACAATTATACCTACCATTTTGCAAAAAGAGGGATTGGGTATGTTTTCATTTTTCTCTTTCGGTAACAAAAATTTGAACATTTAATCAAGTTTCACAGGATATATTTTGAAAAAATTGGAAAAACTTACTTTGACAGATGTAATTTCAACGGCTTTGGGAACAGGCTCAACAATAGAAGCAGGCAGCAAATCTGTGAATAAAGAAGCAAATTTGATAAGTATGGAAAATTAAGGGGAAAAAGACAGAAATAACTGAATATCTTTCATCAAATGAAAATCTAATTCTCAGAGTTTTCAAAAAAAGTCCGTATAGTTTTACCATGGATTGAATTGAACAGAGTTTGATAGGAATGCACTAGGTCGCATCAAGTTTGAACTGAGGAAAAGAGGTTTAAAGTTTTACACCTCCGTGAGACTGAATATTCAGGACAAAGTTTAAAAACTGTTTTCTTATTGAGAATACTTTTTCTCAACTTTGGATTTTTTAAAGGAAAACCTTAACGACTACGACTCATTTTCTTTTAAAAAAAAATATGACTTGGTGCATTTATGTTGACTTATTGTACATAATTGCTTCTTTAATAGATAGTCTGTATGAATGAAGTGGGAAAGGCAGAATGGCAAAAAAAAAAAAATATAGGTAGTTAGATTAGTGATAAACACTTAATTTTCTTACAACATTGGACCGAGAATTCCTATGATTCCTGGTTTTCTAGATAATCTGCATTATGTAACGTTACTTTGTTTTTTAAAACTTTTATAAATTTAATTCATGTTTATAGATACAAGGCATATAGTTTTTGTAGTAGATACGATATTTTTGATACAAATTTGTTTGAATAAAAAAGAAGAAATAAGACGCTTAAAATTCACTTGTAACGTAATCAAAATTTGATTTGAGAGAGCCGATATAAACTTTTCAATCTTTATACGAAATTGTTTTTAAATTTTGGGCCATGTAATGAATCAATGTGATAGAAATGACTACCATTCCTTCAGGTAAACATAACCATTTACCATGATAAAATCAAAACTTCATATGCTTCAATAGAATCATTAGGTCAGAAATTGAAATCGATTTTTCTTGGGGGTCTGAGAGCTTTTGAAGAAACTAACCTTTTTTAGCTTCTAGCAAGCATTCCTGTGCATTGATTGAACTATCTACTGCAGAGTCTCCTTGACCGCTAATCTCAACTTTTTTCCGGATATTCAGAACTGTCTCTGTGGCATCGTTCAAACAGACACCTAACAGCATCTCAGCCACGCTGATTGCACTATACAGCTTATCCCTTTCAGCTGCCACCTCCCACTTTTCTTCGTCACTTCGCCCTTTCGCCTTTACTTTCAGCGCCTCGTGGTCCCGTTTCAAGGCTTCAATGAAGGGAGTCTCCATTGTATTCACAGGTTCCTCCGCTGGCCCAGCAGCTGGTTTGACAGGTGGGATACACTCAAAACTATCTTGTAACAAGTTGCTGAGTATCGCATCTGTGATAAGATCCGTAACATCACTGGGACATGGCGAAACTAAAGGCTGCTGCTTGCATTCCTCTTCTTTAGTTTCTGGTAAATTTGAGAACAGATGGTTCGTATCCTTTGTTTCTTCAAAGTCATGTTCAAAGGTTTTACAACTCTCATTTGATGTACTGCTGGTGTCAAGAATCTCGCTCACTTCACAGTTTTCAATGACTTCTGATAGGGAGCGGTCTTTTTCGTATGACTTTCCCGATTCAGAAAATTTGACTGACGACTCTGATACTTTGCTGGCGACAGAATCACATTTTGAACTGGCGTCTTCATTGTCTGACTCCGACTCGTGACTAGATAACACTTTCTCAGGCCCCTCAGAGAAGGGAATCTCTAAATCTGGGACTTGATCGGGAAAATCCAATTTTGTTCCCAAACCTTCGCCACTTATAGAAGAACTCGACATATTCACCTTACCTTGATCTATAGGTAATAATGACTCAAGTCTATTTTCACTTGACTTCAAAGCCTTGTTAGTAGTTGGGAAATTTGCCTCAAAAAAGTCATCGGCGTTCATCCAATCTTCACCTGCTATAATGATACTTGAAGAAATTTCCAAATCTGGTTTAAACATAGAATTTCTAGTTGGAACATTTTCCTCTGCTGAATTTTCTACTGTTTTGGGTGCTTTGGAATCAAAGCATACTTCAGACACAGATTTTTCAGACTGAACCACATCTGAGTTGTTATCATTGAATTTCTGAGAACTGATGTTAGCTGCCTCTTCAGTTTTTTCTGGCAATATTTCCTCCTGTGATAACACTTCTGATGGCTCTTTGAGACTAACTGAATGACTAGAAATATTTGATACGGTTGATTTTTTATCACCCGATTCAACAACGGACTTAACAGATGCCAGAATATCTTGTTCAGCCTGATCTCTGATAAGATCTCTCTGTTCTGATCTATCGATGGAATCACTGATAAGTTTAACGCTAATCCTATCAGACTCTTGAGCGGTGGGCAGGCTAGGCATTTCGGACACTGAATCGGGCATTTCACTTCCGACTTCACTTTCGACTTTGTTGATCGATGAGTTCTCGATGACTTCTGGCACTGATATGTCTGAAACTACGTGTGAAAACTGTACTGGACAAGACTTGAGTTTTTCTGATAATCCCACTTCTGAGTTCTGATTTGAAGATGCTTCATTACTTTTTAGTGGTGAGAGTGGTGATGGTAAAACTTCTGACACAGCAGACTCATCAATCTTGAAAACAACCTTCTCGTTGGAAATTTCATCTCTTTCAGATTTTTTATCTAAATTGGAGATGTCATGCACAATTAATGTTTGGTCTCCTTCGAGTTCATCAAACTTGATGGTTACATCACTTTCGTTCTCATGTCCTTTGTCTTGCGCCTGATTTGAGAAGTCCACTTCTTCTATCCGTTCGTCTTTTTCTTCCCTTCCAAAATTTTCAGTTTGATCAGATTCTGGAATTTCCGAGCTATGACTCTCCCCTTGCTCGAAGAATTTGTCTAGTATTTTCTGGCCTTCACCAGAACAGGCTTTACGTGGCACGGTATCACTTGTCTCGGAGAGATTGGATGGTGGTACACTGTCTTGTCGTTTGAAAACAGTTTTTTCGGCAACGCGGGGTTGTTTGATCTGTGGACGCACAACCGGGGTGATTGCTTGACTAAGCTCTTGTTCAAGCTCTCGACGAGTTTTCTGAATGTATTCATCGTAAGCCTAGAAAAAGAAAAGAGAATAATAACACTCATAACAAAATAAAAGAGACTATATTCACCAAAAATCTTGAAAAAAAGGGGGACAGTTCAGATCTTAAATGGATTTTTAAAGGCAAATCTTAACTCCAAACTCGAATTTTTTTTCTTTTTTCAGTATAAAAAGTAAAGCTGGCACTAATAAAGAGATTCATAGTTTAAAATATGGAAAATTGGCGACTTTTCTCTACAGGTAGAGCCATGGCAGAAATGAAAATTTCGCTAGAGATGAAATAATTCCACTAGTGATCAAACTTTATAACTAGGGATCTCTGATAGTTTTGGAATGACTCCACAGAGTTCAGCACATTATTTGGACTGCATTTTGAAATAAGGAACTACTAATTTTGAATCGATTAAGAAAAAACATAAAAGCTATTGGTTTTGCTATACAGAAAGGCAACTTTCAGGGTGAGCAAGAAATAGTAGTTCTCTATTTTAAAATCCGATCCATTTTATATTCCTACCTACTTCTTATTTGAGCAAAGTTTTTAGTTGACCATGGATTGACACACGAGCAGGAAGGTAAAGCAATGGAGATGTTGCATGTGTGAGAGATTTGCAATTTGACTGTTGATTCTTGTGTAAAAATGTACGAGAAACTCGATGGTGCCACTGGTTTTCTCTGAAATCAACTGTCAAGCTCTAAAAAAGCTCTCAAGTTGAGGCCAAAGTGGAGGGGATATCCCTTGCTATCCTGAGAGTCCACCTCTGCATCAAGACAAACTCTCCATGCAAAGATAGGGAGCTAATACATTAGCAGGGTTGCCATGTTTTCAGTTTAAGAGTCCCCAAATAAAGTGGCAGCCTTGTTGAGGTATTTGCTCCCTATCTTTGCATGGAGAGTTTGTCTTGATGTAGAGGTGGACTCTCAGGATAGCGAGGGATATCCCCTCCATTTTGGCCTCAACTTGAGAGCTTTTTTTGAACTTGACAGTTGATTTCAGAGAAAACCAGTAGCACCATCGTGTTTCTTGCAAACTTTAACGTAAGAATCAACAGTCAAATTGCAAATTCCTCACGCATGCAATGTCTCCATTTTGTTATATTGAGCACAAAGGGTTTGTCAGGGTCTCACTTAAGAAAACTCCGCAACCTTTTCAATGTTTGTATGCATCCCTGTCTAACACCCACTAAGCATCCTGAATATTGTAGACTAGTCTTTATGTATTTAGGTCTCTATTGTGTGGTGATGTGCCGTTGATACCTGTATTTGCTTGATCAAAGCTTGCTCCTTCATTTTCAGTCGTTCCCTCTGAGCTCGCTTGTGCTCTCTTTGAAGGCGTTCTGCTTCTAATTTTCTTTGCTTCAATTGCTCGTGCAGTGCTGATACTCTGACTTCTGTTTCACTTTGCTCAGAAAGCGTTTCTGTGAAATATAACATAATAAAATGAAAAACTGATACAAACGATAAACATAAAAATTGAGTTGATGATACAGAGGTTTCCGAGACAGTTTCAGATACATGTCATTATAACGTTTTCAAAGGGGGAATAAGAGTCGAACATTGTTTCTGGAAATATGTTATTGCGAAGTATGATATAACCAGAAATGGCTGGTCAGGACTTGAAAATTTATTAGGCTTGGATTGCTGACGGCAGTCTATGTAACCGTTTAATGAGTACTCGACTTGGAACTCACTGTCTCCCACAAAAAGGAACGCATCTTGATTGCCTTGTTTCAGTATTTCTCATTCATTGTTCATTTGTTAAGAGGAGAGCCTCCGAGAACCACCACACGAATTTTCCTAAAATCCCAGGTAATTTTTTTTACACCTCTGTGTGAAAAGACTCTAAAATTTTTAGACTAATTCAGGTGACAGTTCGCCCATGAAGAAATAAATTGTTTGTGGAAATATTAAAACAGTGCAGGCAAGATACATTCCTTCAAGAGACAACAAATCAGAGGCAGATCAAGCAATTTGGCAACACCAGATTTTCTCCATTTAAAGCTATGCTAAAAGATCGATTCTTGTCGGAGCACCTGGCCGCTCCAAGAATCGATACATTTAATTAGGTTTAAATGGAGCAAATTCAATGTTGCCAATTTGCTGGATCCGCCAATGCAACAAATAGAAGAAGTTTCAAATTCAGTTTAAATTTTAATTCTTTCCATGTTTGATTTGAATCTCAGGATCATTTCTGTATAACTGTTACAAGAGAGTCAAAACTTAATTTTTAGAATGTAAGCTGAAAAAAAGAATTGATTTGCATGGTGCAAGTACTTCTCTTGTCCATTCTTTCAGTCTTAAATTTTGTGTGTGCGAATAATACTTTCCATGAGTAACTGCAGTCATAAAAGTAGTGAACTCCTTAAAATGAGTCTTTACACCACTTTTATTTTTGTATACAACCTTGAAAAGTATTATCAACCCAAAAAATTCAAGACTAGAAAATGGACAGAAGCAATATTTGCACGACATAATTCAATTAAAAACTCTACCATAAGAATTGACAGCTTCGCCCAAAAAATAAGACTGTATTTATGAATCACAACCCAGCTCACCGTTTTGAGAAAATATCATCGAATCATCAGATCCACTTGAGTAACGCAGTCTCCTACTATTCTGTAGCCGCGGAGAGAGTGGTGTTTTAATATGAATGGATGTCTGCTTAGTGTGAGCGGAAATGTTTTTCATTGCATTGGTTGTGTCTGTATTGCACAAAGATTGATGCCCTCTAGGTGTTTCTGAAGACTCGGGAGATTCCACACTTTCACTTCCATAATGGTCGGACGAGCGAACACCACTTGTCTCTAGATTCCCTTTTGACCTGAATCAGAAAGGAAGCATTTTAATGGCATGAAACATTCTTGAATGGTTACATAGATTATAAGACGAAACAGGACAGTTGCATGATGTTTAAATTGGCTTGTATAATAAATGTTTCTCATGTAAAATTCATCAAGAAAGATGAATCTAAGCTCAGAAAAGTTCCTAAAACGAGAAAATTCAGGTAAAATTGGGATGGTAAGATGGAGCGTTCCTCATTAGCTCACTACTTATGATGTCACGTAAAGCGCCAACCTATGGTTTTAACCATCATGGATAAAATGTGAAAAAATCAGCTAAACAGCTGCTGTACTTTAGTATTTAATAGAATACTGCATGAGGTAAATCATATTCATAATCCTACTGTGAAATATATCGATGTTCAAAAGCCAATGAGATTAAAGTGAAGGAAAAAGGCTGATACTGTTAAAGCACAGAATCACTACTATAGCATAGAAGGATAACATGATATCTAAAAATGCGGATTGGTTTCAAATGTATGAAGCTGCAAAGAGACAGCTGAGTGGTTAACTAGCTGGTCGTGGGAAACATAAGTGGTCTATTAAATTTTTTTTTTTTAAAATACATAATTTTTAGGGAAAAAAGCTTTCCTCAGACTTTAATTCTTAAATGAATGTGCTTTTCATAATTTTCTTGACAGTGTCAGTCGTACAAATTGGACTTTAGTTGGACTATTAAAGAATCAAATTTATATTTAGAGAAAATGGTCTGATAATTTTTTTTTAATTATAATTTTTAGGAAAAAAGCTTTTCACAGACATAATTATTTTTAAAAATATAGTTTTCACTACTTTTAAGAGGGCATGCAAGTCAATCACAATGATTTGTTTTGCCACTCACACACTCATTGCCCGTGCAGTCAGAGTGTTCATCAAGAAAAATAAGCAGCGCAGACAGTTGAAAAGACTGAAAGAGCACTGCATGGTGCAAAACAATAGCGTAAAAAGATCTCGGATAATTTTGAGAGGAGCAATTCATACTTTAAGATCAAACAACAGAGAATCCAATGAAATAATGCATTTACACTTAATGAGACAAGAAAATAGAGATAAATTTTAAAATCTATACCCGAGGAGTATGTTGTGGAGGTCTCCACACTGGTTGCTTTGTGCGTCATCCTGACTTTTTTTTGACTGACAGACGTCCGTGTCTATGATTGTTGGTGGATTAATGCCGTTGGTTGGTTCTGGGGTCATTCGAAACGGTGATGTACTTCGATCTAAGAAAGAAAAAATATAAATAAATGATCAATTCGAAAAAACAGGGGAAACTATGGTAAAGATATGAAGAGATAAACTTCCTTTTGTTATGAAATAAACTGAGTGCAGCCATCTGAGTTTAGTCAACTGAAAATATCAAAATTAATCATTTTATTCAAGTAAACTATTAAACCCAGATCTATATTGCAAATCGGTACGGCTGAACTTCAAAAATTTCTGTCAAAAATTTTAGCTTGCTCTTAAGTACGGCAGCTCTGAATAAAACCTAGAAATAAAGGTTGAATAGAAAGTAGAAATAAATTAAATATGTTGATGGACCATAATTCAAAATTTAAAAATGTTGCCAGAGGTTAGAGATTTGTCGGGGGCATTGGAGACTTTGAAAAAAATAAAATAAAACTGGTCAAAGCTTCAGAGCATTAAGGCAAATTGGACGTATTTCTGTCGAAAGGAACTATGTGCATTAAGACATGAGCCCTGAGACCTATAAGAATATAAGTATAACAGGGCTCACGCCGAAATGCACATAGTTCCGCTTGACAGAAATACGTCCAATTGTTCTTTCTACTCTTCAATGAGGGTAAGCAATTTTTACCGGCTCAAAGGCCACATAACGAGAAAACAATTACCTCTGAGAGGGCGGCTGCTACCGGCTTGCTTTTCCAAATCCTTGAATTTTTTCTTCCACTGAAGCAGTTCATCCACATTTTTTGAGTGCTCTATGAGTTGTTTTTCTCGTTCTGATATTTTACTGAAACAATGAGAACACTAGATTTACTACCAGAAAAGAATCTTCGATAAGAAAGCAACTGTGATGCATCTTCACAACCGAACAAACAAAAACTAATAATGATGGATAATGAAAAGGGTTCCAAAACATCAAGGTCACAGGATTTGAGGGGATCAAAGTATCTAACTGCAGGAAGAGAGAGAAATGTTTAAGCTTTCAGGTCAAACTTGCGTCAAAATTTCCAGATTTTCTTCCTCCATACATTTGAATAAAGTGAAGGAAAATTTTCTCCTGGTCTTTTCCCACAGAATCAGTTACAACTGAGTTTTTCAAAAATATTCACCGACTTCAAAAAGTTGTGTACTGCACTGTTTGTCTTGGACAAATAATATTACTTAAAAACATAAACGCACAGCATTAATAACTATAAAAGGGACAAAACCAATGAAAGAGAAAATAACTCACCACTTTTCTTGTTCGAGGGCTCTTAAACCTTCCAATAATGTTTGCCCTAGGTTCTTGTCACAAACTATGTCTGCAGAGTTGGATTTGTAGATGGGTTGCTCTACTGGTTTTGTCAAGAAATATTTCGACGAGTTCACATTGTTACTTGACACAGAGTTTGTTTTCTTCTTCTTCAAAACATCCTTTGCTGAAATCTGTGATTTGACCAGCTGATACTGCTGCAGAAGGATTTGCCTGCGTTCCTCTGATGCAGAGGAAATTGTCTTCTGCAGCCTACAAGGACGAGGAAAGAGAAAGTGATTAAATGAGACTGGTAGACAAAGAAATATCAAAGTCCACAAAAGTGTTGCCAGTTTTACTTTTGGAAAACTATTATTCAGCTGATTTTTTAATTCTGCATGCTAGAAAGTTTGCAGATTATCTTGTTACACAAGAATTACTAACGAACATTATTAGAAATTAGAACAAATTTTCAAGAGATTAGGTTTATTAGTTCCTACTTTAAAAAAGTCAATGCGATGAAAAATTTGCAGCCTTGCAAGTTAAAAAACGTAATTTTCGATTTAAGCATTTGATATTATTAGCAAGTATGCAGAATATGGTAATCAGATGCCTGTTCCTAATGTTTTGGTATTTCTTAGCTTTTGATTTTCATGATATGCACCGACTTACCTTTAAAAGTTTTCCTTAAAGTTAAGATTATGATTCTTATTTGAAATATCTTTTTCCGGAGAATTCACAGATTTTCTTTCCCTTTGGCACGATTTAGTGATAGCAAGATTGGTAATTTTTGGTACCTCTAACGAAATGATGATATAATTTTAATTTATATATTTACATATTTACTTTTTTTTAAATCAAAATTTTTCTATTATCATTATATTACAGCTCTGAACTTATTAAAACTGAACATATTTACGCAAAAAAGAACTATGTGAAAATGAATAAAATCAAAAGGAGCTTTGAGCCAAGTAAATCCTAAATACGCTCGATTTCATAAATTTGCACATAGTTCTGTTTATCATAATTACATTTAGTTAAAAATAATCTCAGATTGAAAAAAAAAAAAAACCAACCTGGCGATCTCCTCTTTCTCCTGTTGTAGCTTCAATAACAATCCTCTTTGTTTCTTCTTCAAATTTTTTATTAGATGATCCTGCCCGCTATCTTTCAGTTGTTTCTTTTGCACTTCAAACCAGACAATTCCTACTCTTATACTGTTTAAAAGAGCCTTTTCTCTCAGTTTCAAGCTTTCCTTTTGGTGGTTGGCCCAGAATTCCTCATCTTTTAACAACTGCTCCAGCATCTGCATTGATTGTTTGTTAATCGCTTGGTCGGGACTGAACTTAAAATTGAAGCTTGGCCGATTCAACTTCGTTGTAGGCAACAACAGCAGCTCTGACATAATCGTCGATGTATCCGTGATTTCTGTCAAAGATGGTGTAGTTGAAGCAGATCTCGACTTCTTGCGATGTTTAGAATGAGAGCTACTCCGCGAGTCCTTTTTAGCAGTCAATTCGCCTGACACTTCTTTTGCAAGCGTTAGGTCTCTGTAGTGTTCTGCATCAACTAGTTGCTGAAGAGACTCATTGTATAGATCGATTTGATTTAATTCGGCTTCAGCCTGCAAGCGTAAGACGCTAGGGTTGAAAATTTTTCTTATATCCTTGTCTGCTTGAGGAGACTCGTTCTCTTTGTTTTCGATAGCGACCGTGGACTCCGATAAATCGCTCATCGATGACAAAGAACTCTTGTCGGCTGCTGTTACTTGTCTTAGACGGATCGGCATTTTGACGTGGCAGGCAGGAAGCGTATCTTTGCTCTGAGTCGAGACCTCAGAATTCGTTTTTGAGTGAAACATTGACAGATCCGAGGATGATGCAAGACCAGATTTCAGATGGAGCTTTGGGACAGTAAGTGGTTTGTCCATGTTACTCACAGGCTGGGTACTTGAGCTTCTGGTTGATGAGTTCCCGCTATGTTTCAGCTCATCGGCAGATGGAAAGTGAGCAATACTCAGTGGTAAAAAAACACAATCTGGTTTTTGACTAGAATTGGAGGGTTCTTTAATTGCTGGGCCCAAACCTTTCGAGGATTTATGTCTTTTATCTTTTGCTCTTAGAGTACGTGGTCTCTTGATGGAGAAGTTTCCAGTGGGTTCTTGTGATTGAATACCACCTGAAACAAGACAAAACTTTGATTAAAAAAGTTAGAGAAATGGAAGTAAATTCAAGCTTAGTCTGAATTTTTGAGAGCATCAAAGCAACAGATGAATTATAACTAGGATTACCTTCACTTTTGTGATAATTAATTCTTAAGCTGCATTAAAATACAATTTTTTCTCATATGAAAAGTGTATTGATGGCGAAAATAGAAAAACACTTGTCTCAATTTGCAATGTTGTACATTGTCAGGCATGTTTCACGTTTTTGAAAGGCAACAGATGATCTTTAATAATTATTAGGGATAACTAGCTTTCAACTATGTAGTCTGATGGGGTACAAGATTTAACACAGGCAGTAATTTTTAGGATTCAGAGGAATTATAAGGAGTTGAGTAAAAATTATCATGTTAGCAAATAACCAAATGATAACAAACCTTCAGTTTCCAGGTGACCATTTTTCAACGGGAGAGGTTCCGTTTGTCTTTTCTTTTCTGAATTGTCTAATTTGGTGGGTATTTTGAGCTGTAAGTCAGATTGGTCTAGAGGCTCGAACGTAATTTTAGTGTGAGTTGATTCTGGTATTTTAGTATCATTATCTGAGCTGAGTGACTTTTCCAAATTTTCTTTGAATTTTTTATTAAATGCATCAAACATTTTTTCCATCATTAACTGTTTGCTATCACTACTGAGAAGTCCGTCCTTCTGATTGCTCAAATTTAATTTACTTCTAAGAGTAGTTATAAAATTCATAGGATTTGGTTTCAAAGCAAGCGATTTTAGCCACTGAGCTGACAACTCCTCCGAGTCTGTATCCTTTACAGAGGCACTTTTACTTTCCTGTGAACAGAAGAATACAATTTTTTGTTAATAAGATGTTGAGAGGAAGGTACATATGTTTAGCTCATTTAATTTTAAATTTTACGGGAGACATGCTGTGGTTTATCTATGAATACTGCTCCAATTTTGTTTAAGCTTACAACAAAAACCACTAATGTTATATCGTCAGTGAAAGGTAAGACAATACATTTTTGTAAAAGCGATCACACTTTATTGACGAAAAATGTTAAAAGAAGGTAATTTTATTTTCCCGACTTTGGATGTTTGAATCCTACACAATCATAACAAGCAAACAATTTTTTTTTTCACTTCCGACCAGTTGCAAATGAGAGAGGAATACCTTAATTTTTAAATTATTTATTCATTGCAGCACAAGTTAAAAAGAAAAGTATATACTTACAAACATAAAACCACTACTAGCAGAACGATCCGACTCTTCATTCGATGCACCTTGTTGATCCTCGTCACTTTTAGGAACCTGATGTTTTAAACGCTTAGGGTGCCTTTGATACACGGATTGCAATTTTTCTTCTCTCTTACTATCTACTGCGACTTGATTTGGATTTGAGCTACTAGCGTTGCCTTTACTCACTGAAAAGAAAATGCCAATATTAGATTAGGAAAGGAAGCAAAAAAATGACACAGATGCAAATTGTTCTTTGGCGTTCATTAAAACCAGCGACCAGGAAATTAAGTCTTCACCGGGACACGCAATTTAAAATAAAAAGGCCACAATAATTTTGGTATAAAAATCAGAATGCAATCATCTCGGAATTGGCGCACTTACAGTCATTTTTTATTACTAGAGGTTAAAGGTTGAACTTTCATATTACTGGAAATTAATTTACAAATAAGAAAAATCTGCCATAACTGTTCCAAGCCATAGACAACCGTTCGGTTGTTTGCTTGTGGACAGTTTCCACCCGTGAAATATGCTCAACTGCACTTCTGAGGTGTCTAAAATTTACAGGGTGGAGGCTGACGGAGGGAGGGGGGCTTCTTCATTGGTTCAGATTTTTTATGACCAAGATGAAGAAAATTCCCTCAATTTTTTTTTTAATATTTATTTTTAAATTTTTATTATCATTTATTGAAAATGAACAAATGCATAAAATCAGAATATATCAAAATAAATAAAAAAAGGAGCGGTGCATAAAAAAAGCTGGTTCTAATTTTGAAAATAACAATGAGCTACTCAGTGTTGTCCAATAATTGGACCGCGTTAAACAGAAAGGAACCAAGCCACATCAGCTATTGCTAAATTTGATTGGGCAATTTAATTCTTAACAAGCAAGCGGTTTTGCGGATTTTTGTGCAAATTTCAGTGGATTTTCTCCATAGTACGAGGCAAATTCGCTTAAATTTTCAAAGGAATCCGCACAAACATTCTCTCGTAAAAATTAAATTGTCCAGTTAACTTTGGCAATGGCTGATGTGGCTTGGTTCCTTTCTGTTAAACACGGTCTAATTGATGTAGACATTTTTAAAAATCGTTTTTCTTTGTTTTTTTAGAAAAAAACCAAAAAGAGAATGATTTTGACCAATTTTTCGTACCGCACTTTTTTCCTTACTTTCTCAAGACTCATAAAATCTTTCAAAACTTAGTTGTTTTACCATGACAGACTAGAAAAGAAGAACCAGCAAAATAGAGACATTTTTCAAAAGCAGTAAAATACCTGTCTGGGTCCTTTCTGCGGGGGTCAAGTGAGTTGACGGCATTGAGACAGGAACCTGATGCATATTCTTGGAGCCAGGCTTCAAATTTGTGTGCGACAAAAGTGTCAAAGTATCCTTCAGTTCGGTCACAGCAGAAACCATTTCATGTGGAATACTTTGGCATGACTTCGAAATTTCCATTTTCTTATTGCTATGGCTTGCATAACGGAAACCATCGACAGATTTAGAGTTGATATTATTTGTCTCAAGTAGTGTTTTGGAAGCATTTTCTTTTAAAAATTTAATGCTTGAAGACAAACGATTGACTTCCTCTGATAAACGGCGGATGAATTCTTTCTTATCGTCTCCTTCACCGATAGATTGAAGATGGATTTGAGATTGAGACACATTTGTATTTGCTAGGTTGTGTGGCAGATTGGATGATCCTCTAACCACTTCATTGGAACGTGAGTGTGGAATGATTTTCCCTCCGCTAGAATGACTAAGATGGTGTTTTATTGGGACACCTTCATTGCTTTCCCTTGTTAAATGGAGGGCTTTTAAGCTCTCTTCTATGTGTAATTCATTTTTCTTACTTGGATAATTTCCATAATGCATACTTTGAGTAAAACCGAAATCATGCTTTGAGTGACCGTTCATGTTCCTCATACCAGCGTATGTGTTTAGGGAAAATGGTGGTGCATCTAAATAGTCACTATCATCCAAGTCTCGCCAATTTCTTTCTCTTTCCTAAAAAGAAAAAAAAAAATAAAATAAGGAAAAACAGTAAAAAGAAAATAAGAGAGGGCCAATTCATGCAAGTTAGGCCTTAACTTGGGGGCTGTTCATAAAATCCGTAGTTAGAAGGGCCTTGAGCCTGCATTAAAGGACTTTCCATAACACTAGCATGGGGTCAAAGCTATGAATTTTTCAAAATCTAAGAAGAAAAATCACAATGGCCATTTTTCATTCAAAGTCAACACAAAACACTATATTTGAGAGAGAGAGAGAGGGGGGGGGTGTAGAAAGTTGCATAATTTTTTAGGCAATTTTAGACCTGTTGCGGGGTGTATGTGTTAAAAATACTTCACAAAAAGTTGAGGGAGGAGTAAAATCGAATTTTCAATGTAGCAATCTACAATGAAAAGCTCCTCGAAGGCTAATGAGTATGACTAAAATTGACGAGACCCACTCTCAGAACAGAAAGTGAATAAGTTTTCAATATGGCGTCACAGTCATACCATTGGACGCTGTCAAACCTACGCGTTTTGACGACTTTCTAAAATTCCATTTGTCCATACCTGTAGTAGAGTGTACCTTGGTAAGTACATTGAAGTACGAGAATTTTTCAACTAATTCCCTGAAAACAAATTTCTTTAGTACATACCTCAGTTTTGGTCTGACTTTTCTTCTTGATGCTTGCTTTGAGAACTTTGAGTGTGGTATCTCGAAGTTCCATGAGTTTTTGGCGCCGTGATTCCAGCTCCATCTTTTGTTGCTCCAATTCTTGTTTTTCTTTCTCTTGACGTTCTAATTTCTTTTTCCTTATGTATTCTCTTGTCTCTTTCTTGTCATATTTTTTTACAAGTGGCTTTGTTGGTGGCAACGGATCTGAAAAAAATCAAACGTTTTCAAAAAATAAAATTTATGATGGCAACAAAAAAATTTTTTTAAAGGGTTTTGATTATAATTCATTGGTTGAGAGAGCGAGGGTCACTTCGACTAAATTTTGAAACAAGGAGCCTTTGTTTTCAGGCTCACTCATACAAGCACCTATGTTTGTACCTAGAGAAACTAATGGCACATGTGTTGCCAGAATTAGGCACAGGATTAATGCAAGAGAAGATTACAAAAAATATATGAAGGCAAGCCAATAAATACTGTAAACGATGAGTAGTGTTACTCACTGTATCTACCGACAAAGATGACTTCCTCCATAATTATTAATATCGTTTATCAGAGCTAATCGCACAACTGGATTATTGAAATTCTTTATGGGCTTACTAATTTCAGCTGAAGGAAGAATGATTACATATGAATCCACTAGAATATCAGATATCTTCACTTTAGTACTGAAAGTAAACACAAAAATCCAGATGGTGGATCTCCAGTTGCACGGTAAAAGTGCGCAAACTTGTTTGGAATGGACTCTAACCCATGAGATTTAATTGAGACTCTCCTACCTGTTCGATGCAACTACTGACAAAAGGCATGGTTAATCATGAAGATTGTTGAATTTAACATCTATCAGTAAAAAGAATTACAAACATTCACAAGAAGAAATAGGCTACGATAAGTGGAGTGACCGGGTAACCTTGTTGGCAAGACGCCACTTGCCGGCTGAAAATTTGAACAGTCATAGGGCTCATGATCTCAAAAATAGACTTTTAGTACTAATTTAAGGACTGAGCAAATCACTAATTCCAAAGTTGTTCAATCTAAGGGCCATAATTGAAACGGCAAAATAAATTGTGTAGTGCTTACCATTGGAGGAAACTTGTTTAGGCGGAGAGTATAGTTTTTCGTTAGGTTGAATTTTTCGATCTTTGGCATCCAACTTGCTTGATACAGACAGATGTCTGACACTGCTGGTTGGTTTTGTGTCTGCATCGTGTGATGGAACATCAGGCTTGACTCCAGTGGATACTGCCTTTAATGAATCTTCGCGAAGATTATTCAAGTTACTTGTTGCTTGGTGCAACAGCATTTGCCGGTCCACAGGATCACTGGTCTTGTTCTCCAGCCTAGGAGTCTCACGTTTATCTGAGGCATGAGATCCAGCATCATGTCCATTGATATTTTGAAGAGATGTAGTCGAGTTTGTATCAATTATAGATTTGTGTGTATCTCTCGCCTGACGCTGCGACTTGGCAGTTTTGTTCTGTCTCTTGTCATCTTCATCGCAGACCAGCAAAGCTTTACAAACAACTCTGTGCGGTGCAGAGCGTTTGTGCATTGTAAAATGATAACCAGACAAAAACTAAAACAGGAGAAATTCCGGGGGCACTTAACATGAAAATGACACCGTAAAGATCACAGAGTGCAATGTCGGAAAGGAGTATGAGCTTTTGGACGGTTCCGTTGGGAGGGATACAAACGTCAGGATTGCGGTCTGCTGATAAAGGCACTTAAGAATTACTTACAGAGTTTAATTCAGGATAAAGCTGGCATTAAACTTCGAACAAAAGGAAATTTTTCACAGTACGGATTCACTTAACCTTAAAACACACCAAAGAGTAGAGGATAAAGAAGTAAAACCTCGATACAAAAATAAAACGGTTGATTTCTAGGCGTAGTTGAGAGTGTGGTTAAAATGTTGAGTAATCGGATGAGCAAAGAGAATTTAAAATTTTCCAAAAACTTCAGGAATTCCGCGGCACAGCCGCGCATTTGTTTTGTTGTCACGAAGCATGTTTGGATTTCGCAGAACGATCGATCGATAGGAAACTTTCGATATCTCGAATTGATATTCGACTGAATTCGATTAACCGCCAAATCATAACGCCATTCGTTGGCGGTCTTTTCAAATTTGCGCTCTTTTTTCACGAGAGCGAAAAAAGCTGGAATTTAGAATTAAAGAATTTAGACTAGAATTTATTTTTACACCATTCATAAATGAATGGTGTAAAAATAAATTCTCACATCAAAGGTTAAATACTGAAGAAGAACACTGAGCGGCGAGCGGTGTGTTAATGTTAAATCGCTCAATGCCTTGCGGCTAGGCCACATACTGCCGCACTGGAAAAAAAAAAAAAAAAAAAAAAAAAAAAAAAAAAAAAAAAAAACCTAATTGGATCAAGAGTCCAGACTCTTAAAAACATCGACAAGAAAAAATACTCTTGATTCAATCGGATTTTTGCTTAAATCAAGAACCAAGCCTCATAATTTGAGCGGATTTCCTTTTGATTTAAGCTTAAATCTGATTGAATCAAGAGTCCTTATTCTTGTCAATGTTTTCAAGAGTCTGGACTCTAGATCCAATGTGTTTTTTTTTCCCGGTGCGTGCCAAGGAAAAACGCCGTATCAACCTTTAGGCGTTGCCAAATTTCCTTTGAAAAAACACGAATTTCATGATAAATTCATGAATATTTTCCCTCCTATTTTTCAGATAATTTTGCTCTCCATTCCACCGAAAAGTCCTGAAAATTACAAGGGAAAATGTTCAGAAAAAAGTCGTAAATTTAAATGGTTTCTCATGGAAGAGATGAATTAAGAACGGAAATTTTGAAACACCGCGATGGAGATACGTGGTTTCGCACTTCAGTCGGTGCGATGCGGACATCCGAAAAATTTTAAAAAGTCGCATCAAGTCTCCGTCACTGCCGACCAACGCGTTTGTCGATCGAATCAATTGTAGGTAGTATGAGCAGGGAGTCAAAACGCCTTCAATTTTTTGAAGGCAATACGACCGTCGAGGTTGTACAGCTGTATCAAGGCGCCGTAGCCATCGCGTCCCATTGTTCATCGTTACAGTTGAATATTAGTTGAGAGAGGCCAGTCATAATGCCTTCAATTTTATTCATATATATTTTTGGGAGACGACGATTCTCCATTTGCGACGTTGCAGACTTCCTTAGATATTTTATTTTTCTTTCGAGAAGCTGGTCAACATGTAACATAAATTCTCCATGATTTTTCGTATTCGATAGAAGATTTGGTTCAAAATTTAAAGTCGTAAATTTGGATTTTTTCTCATGGAATTGATGAATTAACAACGGAGAATTTGAGACACCGCTATGGAGATACGTGGTTTCCCACTTCAGTCGGTGCGATACGGACATCCGAAAAAGTTTAAAAAGTTGCATCAAGTCCCCGTCACCGCCGACCAAGGGGTTTATCGATCGAATCAACTGCAGGTAGTATGAGCAGGGAGTCAAAACGCCTTCAATTTTTTGAGCGCAATACGGACATCCGTCGAGGTTGTGCAGTTGTATCAAGGCGCCGTAGCCATCGCGTCCCATTGTTCATCGTTACAGATGAATATTAGTTGAGAGAGGCCAGTCATAATGTCTTCAATTTTATTCATACATATTTTTGGGCGAAATGGGAGACGACGTTTCTCCATTTGCGACGTTGCAGACTTCCTTAGACATTTTATTTATCTTGCGAGAAGCTGGTCAACCTAAATCTGAAATTCTCCATGATTTTTCGTATTCGATAGAAGAAGATTTGGTTCAAAATTTAAAGTCGTAAATTTGGATTGTTTCTCATGGAAAGGATGAATTGAGAACGGAAATTTAGAAACACCGCGATGGAGATACGTGGTTTCGTACTTCAGTCGGTGCGATACGGACATCCATCAAGTTTAAAAAGTTGCATCAAGTCCCCGTCACCACCGATCAACGCGTTTGTCGATCGAATCAACTACAGGGAGTAAGAGCAGGGAGTCAAAACGCCTTCAATTTTTTGAGGGCAATACGACCATCCGTCGAGGTTGTACAGTTGTATCAAGGCGCCGTAGCAAACGCGTCCCATTGCTTAACGTTACAGACGAATATAAGTTGAGAGAGGCCAGTCGTAATGCCTTCAATTATAATCGTACACTTTTTGGGGCAAAATGAGAGACGACGTTACTCCATTTGTGACGTTGCAGACTTCCTTAGATATTTTATTTTTCTTTCGAGAAGCTGGTCAACATGTAACATAAATTCTCCATGATTTTTCGTATTCGATAGCAGAAGATTTGGTTCAAAAGAGCGACGCCAAAAACGACCGTTTTTTGGCACCATTTGGGCCAGCGGGGATTTCTCTGAAACCGGGCCCAAACGATACCGTATGATACCCTAAAACTCTGGTTAAAATTTTAGCTTGAGTTTACGCACGGTTTTTGAGAAATGAGGGGGCAAAGTTGCCAAATCGCCATCATTCTGGACATCATTCTATAGCAAAAAGACGGGAAAAATGGACGAAAAAGTTACACCTTTGATGGGTTTCGCCTGTGAATGTTCTTACTCGGCCCCCGTGCATATAGCTGTGTACAGTTTCAAAAATTTTGGTCGCACAGTGGCCATAAATGAGGAGAAATCGTCGACAAATCATTATTCTTTGTCAAATTAAAAATGGAAATAAAATTGTCGGTCTGCTGTAGTTTTCATGGCTAACAATGTTCTTATGGGTCCTCAATGCATGAAATTGTGTCCAGCTTCACAAATTTACATTACATCACATCACAACTTTGCCCCCTCATTTCTCAAAAACCGTGCGTATACTCAAGCTAAAATTTTAACCAGAGTTTTAGGGTATCGTAAGGTATCGTTTGGGCCCGGTTTCAGAAAAATCCCCGCTGGCCCAAATTGTGCCATTCTTGGCATCGCTCTTTCCTCAGAAATTAGCATTTTATCGAAGGAAATAGGCAACTCTTGAATGTTCATATGGCGTTTTTCCCTGAGCCCGCGTCCCACGATCAAATTAACCCATCAAATACTCATCAAATGCAAGATGGTGACTGCTTTTCGCGCAAGTCCGCTATCAAAAGTTAGCGGGCCGTCAAATGTTGATTAACCCGCCATCTTGCATTTGATAAGTGTTTGATGAGTTCATTTGATCGTGGGACACGGGCTTATGCACGACAGCATACCTCAGTTCGGGTTGAGCCCGACAGGTTGCAGCGAGAGCGTTTGAAGGCGCCACGATCGCCTTGGCCGCCGCGCGCCGCGCCGCGCCGCGCCGGGTGCATTGATTCGTATTGGATTCGTATCATTTTCGCACGTGCTATTATTATTTTTGTTGTTGATGGTGTTGTAGTTGTCTTTGTTAGTTGTGGGGATGGGGGTAGGGGCCATAGGCGACTTTTGCACCCTCGGGCACCCCTCCGGCTTCGACAAGCTGGTGATCACTTGTGGGCTCAGCTTCCCAGGTTGTTGGCCACTCTGTTTCAATCTGCAACAAAGGGAAAAATCCGATTAGATTTCTGGATTTTTTACAATGTCCTATTTCTGTGATTTCTAGGGATAAACTCACGAATCTCAGGTGTAAAATTCTCTAATTATTACCTACCTACGGGTGGAAATTTCCCCGCTTTTCGGAAAAAAAACAAAAACCCTTAGTGTCCTTTCTTTTTCGTCCAGATCTTTTCCAAAAAAACTAATAATGTTACGTTTTTTTTTTAATTAATCCTTTAGAGTAGCCAATTTTATTTGATTTTCTCAGGTTGAAAGCCCTGGCTCCCTCTCGTTCTCCTCCTTCGTTTTGGAAAATTATACACCAGAATTCAGGATGAATATTCATTTTTCACCATTTGCCAAATTAGGTGAGTGTATAACAAGTGTTTTACCGCATTTCTTTTGTGTAACTTTACTTTTCCTGCAAGTAAGACGGTGCGAGTCCTCAAGTGAAAAAACACGCTCGCTCAGTCGTTTTTTTAACAAAGGCAAATTTCGAGCGAAGATTCTAGGATCTCGGGAATCGTCAAAATTCTGGGATTCCCTAACAATTTAAGGAAATGTGCAGTTCGCACGTAAAATTGGATGATGAATTTGAAATCGCCTCAGACTTAGCTTTTGAGGGACAAGAAATAGAGGGAACACTTCCCTGGTAAAAATTGGCAGTAGAATCTGTGTTCCAAAATACCATAGACCTACAGCCGGCTGTAAGATTTCAAATAGCTTCTACAGCCGGCTACACAATTTCTCATAGCCTTTTATAGCCGATGGCGACTAAGCAACAGCCTGGCGATAAAGTGTATGCTAAACGTTACTAATTACGGATGCTAGGACTTTGTGAGTATTTGGACTACCGCTCTATTTTTGGGCCGCAATATCTTGATTTAATTTGCGAGGAAAGCTCCGCTCTTTTGAAGGATGCCTGACATTCCTAATATGTTGGAGCGCCTTCAATTTCGTATAATACTGTGCAATACCTCTGGTGTGAAATAGTTGCTTCAAGCGCCGCGGTACGCTGCGGCGCGGCGGGCGGGCAGCCAGCGCTGAACGCGCATTGGCGCCTGCAAACCTAACAGGGATACTTCACGCATTGCGCAATGTGTGAAGTATCCCTGTTAGGTTTGTAGGCGCCGGTGCGCCGCCGCTCCGCTTTGTGTTAGGCTCTAATATTTAATCTTGCGGATTCAGCGTTTTTCAACTCATGACTTTGAAATGTTTGTACACTCTGTATGGATTATTCTCATTTTAATTGATGAAAAAAAATATGTAGTAAAGGAAAATATAATGTGCGTTTTGTAAATATTAAGGTGATTCCGTACAAACTTAAGGATTTACAAAGCACAAGAACGTCTACTCAATTTATTATAGCCTTTTATAGCCAATGGCGAAAAAGCAACAGCTAGGCGATAAAGTGTAAAGCCCGGCGATAGGAACTATAGCCCGGCTGTATAATTTTTTATCGCTTCATGTAGCCCGGCCGTATGATTTTTGCCACTTTCTACAGCCAGCTATATGATTTTCTATTGCCCTCTTCAGTCGGCTATAAGAACTCCTATGGTATTTTAAAACGCAGCTCCTATCGCCAATTTCTATCAGGGTTCCATGGGAGGTTTTCCCCGAATTTTTAGCTTTTCGATACCGTGAATGTACCCCCGAAAATAACTGTAGTTAAAATATCAAATCGTTAAGCTAATACGAAATGACAAAAATTCGATTAAAATAACAGAAAAGTTAAAGAACGCTACGTTTTCTTTACAAACATAGATCGTAGCGCCTCCAGCGCCTTGATACAACTATTCGTACTCTTTAGAGGTGCATGGTTGCATGTACATAATACTGAAGGCGCTCTGGCTGTTTTTGCCCGCACACCAGCCTTCTGCTTTTATAAACTAGCATTGAATTGTTGAATTGATGGACAAGAGATGAAAAACTGAGCGAGGAGGGTGAAGAGGCATCTTTAGAGCGGGTTGGAGATATCTAAGTCCCATAAACTTCCCGCCTTGGACCACCTTTCAAACCTCTTTAATGATTGGATGATTATTTTAAAAATCTTGAATAAAGAGAGAAAGAGAAAGTTCTGAAGTGTTACATCACAAAAAAGTTAGTTAGGAGGAATACAATAAAAATGGTTTGATGAGCTAATCGTTTCCACGTGAAATGATGAGATATTATGTATGCAACAAAATCCTCTTAATTAAGGCTTGTCAGACGTTCGGTTTAAACAAATTACAACTCAGGAAGTTTAAAAAAGCATACATCAATAAAATTTGAAAAAAAGACACTTTTGACTAACAGGCCCTCTAAGATAGATGTATATCTAGGTGATTCGTGAGCGAAAGTCGTCGATTCAAACATGTTGTGGAATGCCCTTTAACTTCAGACTTCAACGTTTCCCACAACAGCGTATCTGCACTACGCTTGCTAACCACGCCTCTGTCAATATCCGATCAACGGTTATAAAACGTTGGTTTTCCGTTAATCTTTGACGAAGCTCTGAGCTCTCCCCAAATCCAACTAATTATGACTTATGAAAATTATGACTTTTTTTATATAATAGTTACATCAAAATGTTCACTTTTAACACTTTCGTATGCATGCATTATACATACATATAAAAAAATTAACTTTCGTACACAATCTTTATCTTTTCCTTCTATGGTTCTGCTACTAGGGCCGTATCAACCAAACTTTTGTGTTGACATTTCTCTCTGTGCAGAAGTTTCATTCCTGCGATTCGAACTCGGGACAAATCCCACGAAACGGCCCGTGCACAGAGACGAGGCCATATTCGCAGCCACAATCGATTCTCCCAGACTTGCACTACTCGCAGCCCTCCCTCCCACAGGAAATGAGCGACTCTCGATCTATAGATGCGATACTATCGATATATCGAAACCCGAGCGGGTGATAGGCGCCGAGCGGGCCTGCGCACCCTGGACAGGCGCCTAATCGATTATTCAAATGGACATCCGCATTGGCATTGCCCCCGCGCCTGCCGTTTGAGGTTAGTCACTTGTTTATACACTCCGTCCGGTGGAGGTCCGTGCTCCCACCCTCGCGATGCAGTAATGCATTCGAATTTCAGCGGGGCTACGCTCTGCCTCGGGGTTAGGTAACAGGATTCGACACCCATGGATTAATAATTGATTAATAGTTTTGTATCTAATGGAAGTATGTCTTGTTTCGTTTGTGAGCTTGTGTACATCAGGAAAGGGATATAGAGCTAGGGAAATAATAATAGGATATTATCTAGTTCAAATAATTTTTTAATGCGCGGTTTAAGTTATTTAGTTTGTGCGGAGGAAAATGCACTTTCTAACTGCAGTCTCGAAGAAACTCAACGTGATATCTGGGTTCGTTGGTGAAATTCGAATTCGGTGTGGACTGCACTCTTATTTGATGTCCGGGCCGTTCAGTGTAATTCGGATCGTGTGATTGCGTTTCCATTGTACGAGTGCCGATCTCGACCGACTTCGTGTCAAACTCTCGAGAGTTTGATCAGATTTATGACAGATTTGAAAAACTATTCTCGGTTTTGTCGTCGCGACTGACGAGGCAAAATTACGATGAAAAAATTGATCAATTTTCGACATATCTCGAGTGAAGTTTTCGCGATTTTTCGATTCAGTTGGTGAAATCTCTAGAGTCGTCACACCTTTGCTATAGCTGCAATAATACCCGACCCAGGAATGATGTGCACCTGATTCAAATTCCTCGTCGTTAAATTCAGTGCTGTCCGGGTCTGCAACCACAGATACCTAACTTGGGCTATATCAACTGATCTCGGAGATTCTGTGATAGCCTTGCTCCTTGCTTACTTTAAACGCCTTTTTTACTTTTAATTCACTTGCTTACTTTAATACTTTACTTTAATGCAAGTCTCTAAATGTGATTCGAACCTCGCGACCTTAATCGGATACTCGCATACCATAAATATCTTTACGTGCATGACCTGTTTCCACCTCCTCAAATGACGTTGGCAACACTGTGACAGACATTTTTCCAGAAGCATACCCACGTAGAATCTATTCTGTAAGAGAAAATGATTCCAAAATACAAAGGTCTATGTCAGTATTTGTTTCAAACACTAAAAATAATTTAAAAAATAAGAGTTCACTATCAATATTAAATTATTAACATTCGTTTAAAGCCCTCATTTCCGTGAAAAATAGATCCTATAAATCATTTCGTAGCACCTGCACCAAGGAGCCGATCCCTCTCGTAACGCACTCTACACATGCCGATTTTTTGAGCCATGATAAAAAAAGGAAAATACAATGATTCAAAACACTCGTTAAACTGAACCGCAGAACAACTGCGTGTGCGGGGCCTTTTTGTGGAATCTGTGATATGAAAGAACTTCTTCGTTGGTTCTGAAAGAATCTATGCATTCGTGATACAATCGTTTCCTTTGCCCTGTGATATTTTGTGATAAAGTTACTTCGAATTGTTATCACTTTGTTGTTCGTTAAAATTCTACCAGTAAAGTGTGTTATATTTTGTCTGTCTCTTCTTCGAGCCCTCGCTACTAAACACTAGTGAGCGAATCAAGGACTTGTGAAAAATAGTGTTCATTCGACAATCATTACATCGAAAAAGCACATTGCGTCGACTTCTACTCACTTTGGATGTGATTGGAAATTATATCCTGCTTTGCAACATACCTTTTTGAAATTTAATTACTTTTCGACGTGCACTCTAACTTGAGGCAAGAGTTCACTGACATGACACGATTATTTAATCACTTGCGATTTATGCACATACGATTCAGACCGACCTCAACTCCGAGTCGAGTCATGCAAATACCTAGGTACATCAGATCATACCCTGAGAGGCTGAGACCATTATTCCATCAAGAAATCTCCGAAATACAACTGTGAATCCGTCAATATATTTTAAATCCAACTTTTACTTTTTCAACATACCTCAAATTAGCGTGTAATGCCGTAAAAATCATCACCAGGCTGTGATATTTTCAAGATCGTGAAGGATCATGTTTCAAAAATTCATTTGAATTTAAGTGTCAAGGTGTTGCCGCACAAGATTTTGAAGGAGATTTTTGCGAACAGGTCAGACAAAAAAGCTCGTCGTTCAGTCGACGAGCGCTGAAAATATTCAAACGATCAAGCACACCTCACCGCTGTTCTGAGTTTGCAGAATCATAAATTTGCAGGCTTGCACACTCTTAAAGGTTTGAAATGGCTAAATTTGACAGCTCTGTTCATTCAGATGGGGTCGAAAAATTTAACACCACCACGAACAAACTATAGACGTTCAGACGAATCTTCGTCGGTAAGCTATCGGTGCAGCTCTTACAATAAATCAATGCACCCCCATAAAGCCGCTTTTATTGGATCGATCGGAATCGATCCTCCCACAAACCATCGGACAGATTACACCGTCTGATCTCCCTCTCCACTCGCTCCCGCCAACCTCTTACTGGACGTCCACTCCGCCTTCTTCCAGGAGGAACCCAATCAATTTGCGATTTAATTTCAATATCTCCGATGCATCGCGCTACCTAACCGCACCGCGATGGCCCAAATCAAGCTGTACCAAATCCGTCTCTCCCGGCTCAAGTGCTTCGCCGTCATGCTCGGCGTCATCACGCTCCTCGTCCTCCTCCAGCTCTCGGCGCTCTGCAAGCTCGTCTGGTTCCGCGGGACGCTCTTCTGCTGGCTCCGCGGCGTCGACCCGCCGCCGCGTCGCGACGCCGGGCTCCGCCCACCCCGCCCCGCCAAGTTCCGCCCTGGCGCCTTCCTCCGGAACCGGACGGCCGACGACCACCCCCACTGCCGCTTCCGCTACGACCTCTCGTCTTCTACCACCCCCGAGCTGAACGTCTCGCTGAGCCCGGAGCTCGGGGACCGCTACCGCGTCGTCTACAACGTCATCGAGAGCGACGCCGCGTGGGGTGACGGCGACCGCGTCACGCTCTGCTCGCACGTGACGCCCGAGTTCGCGGCGCATGTGGCCGAGCTCGTCACGCGCTGGGAGGGCCCGCTCAGCATCGCCGCCTTCGTGCCGGACCGTGACGCCGCGGACCTCGTGTGCGCCTTCCGGACGCTGTGCCGCTGTCTCGAGGATATGTCGAGGGTGAGTCTTCATCTCGTCTTCCCCAAGGACGCCCCGCCCAAGTTCGCGCCCTGCGGCCGTCGCGACGGGTGCCTGCTCCGACGCCAAGGGCTCACTTTCAGGGCACGCAACAAGATGACGTACCCCGTCAACGTGGCCAGGAACGCGGCCCGGTTCGGGGCCTTCACTCGATTCATACTGGTAAGTTTTTTTCTGTTGTTTAATGGCTTTATGACTAAGCACCTGAAGCCAACTTTAGACTAGTGTGTTTCTATCGGATGGAGGTTATATGAGATTAGGAACCGACTTTAAAGGTGTGATAAGCAAAAAAATAGAGACATGGGAAAAAAATGGTGGGGTTGATAAAAAGTAGAGTTGAAGAGGAAGAGGGTGAGAACCCTTCACCATGTTCACGCTCTGATACCCGGCAGAGCGACTTTTTATGACCAGAGACTGGGCAATGGAAAACATACAAAGTGAACATATGGTAGGATACTGGTAAGTTCGAAAGTTCAAATGGACGTATTTCTGTCAAAGGGAACTGAGCGCCATAGGGGGAGGAAGGTAGAGGGTTGCTTATAGATTGGCGGCGGAACCGGGCGTCGGGCTCATTCCGTCCTATACTCGCAATGATTTTCCATGGCGCTTAGTTCCGTTTGACAGAACGCGCTGTCCGGCATTCTAAATTCCTCAAAAGGAACTCAAATTGGCGCTTAGTTCCGTTTGACAGAAATACGTCCAATTGAGAGAGAGGAGATGGCGCATCAGTGCAGTTTTTGAAAAAAATTGAGGTATATCGATGATTTCAAGTGAAACTAGTGTTGAAGCATATTTTGTGAAAAATTCACTCCCAAATTCTACTTTTTAAGTACTGAAAAGTCAGTATGAACTTCCTCTTTGCCGTGAGGCTCCATGTAATTCCGAAACTTCAAACACGTGTTTCTCGAAATAGCGACAACTGCACTTACGCACTGGAAAAAAAAAAACACATTGTATCTAGAGTCCAGACTCTTGAAAACATTGACAAGAAAAAATACTCTTGATTCAATCGGATTTTTGCTTGAATCAAAAGGAAATCCGCTTGAATTAAGAGGCTTGGTTCTTGATTTAAGCTAAATTCTGATTGAATCAAGAGTACTTTTTCTTGTCGACGTTTTTAAAAGTCTGGACTCTAGATCCAATGTGTTTTTTTGTTTTTGTTTTTTTTCAAGTGCGCTGTCACCGTTTCTTTGCTCGGCAGGTGAGCGACGTGGAGCTGTATCCAAGCGGAGGCCTGGAGTCCGGCTTCGTGCGCTGGATCACGAAGCTGGGGAGTTGGGAGCTGGGTCGCGTGGCTTTCGTCGTGCCGGTCTTCGAGGTGGATGAGCGGTCCCCCGTGCCCGGCACCAAGAGCCGGCTCCTCGCCTTGCACCAGGAGGAGCGGGCCGTCTACTTCCACAAGTGGATCTGCGCCCATTGCCAGAAGTTCCCCGGCATCGAGAAGTGGCTCAAACGACCTGACGCCGGCTACGGGGTCGTCCAGGTAACGTCTCGCCAAGAACCATCCACAGAGCTAATTATTGAAATGGAGATGTTGCATGTGTGAGGAATTTGCGATTTGACTGTTGATTCTTGTGTAAAAGTTCGCGAGAAACACGATGGTGCCACTGGTTTTCTCTGAAATGAACTCCCAAGCTCAGAAAAAGCTCTCGGGTTGAGGCCAAAATGGAGGGGATATCCCACGCTATCCTGAGAGTCCACCTCTACATCAAGACAAACTCTCCATGCAAAGATAGGGAGCAAATACATTGACAGGGCTGCCACTTTATTTGGGGACTCCAAAACTGAAAAAACGGCAACCCTGCTAAAATGTATTTGTTCCCTATCTTTGCATGGAGAGTTTGTCTCAGAGACAAGAGACCCTCCACTAGTATCTTGGCCATTGTGGAAGCTTTTACTTTCGGGACTTCAGAATTCTACTGTTGACTTACCTACATGGTTGATGTTTAACAACGTGTTGGCAGTTTCGTTTTGCAAACAAGTCGAAAATGGCCGAAGTTTGCGAAACTTGTTTGGCTCATGACGTCACCCGAAGCTCATCATTGACCATGCAGGTAGGTCAGCAGCCGAAATTGAGGTGATGACTGTTGCTCCCTAATAACTGTTCATAAGGAACTGTTGAATCCCCGAAAGTAAAATCTTCCACCTGTCGCTAGGAGGCCAGTGGAGGGTCTCTTGTCTCTGGTTTGTCTTGATGTAGAAGGTGGACTCTCAGGATAGCGTGGGATATCCCCTCCATTTTGGCCTACACTTGAGAGGTTTTTTTGAGCTTGGGAGATGATTTCAGAGAAAATACCGGTGGCACCATCGTATGTTTCTCGCAAACTTTTGCATCAGAATCAACAGTCAAATGGTAAATTCTTCACACATGCAACATCTCCATTGATAGGCAAAGCGGTAGAAACAGTGGGCTGATTGTCGAAATTGATCGACAAAACTGAAGAAAAAGAACGGGAAAGGGATATGGAGGGACCCTATTTGTGGAAGCGGGCGATTGCAATGGACAAAGAAGATAGATAGTTAATAGACTAACTAACGGCAACCCACGGGAGACCCTATAGTTAGTCCATCATTTTACCCCTAAGTCTATAGGAACCACCCACCTAAATCAGTAGGATAGCTCCAGGCTCCTGTGTCTTCTTTGCCTATCGCTTTGTCTTTCAATTTTAATAATCAGTCCGCAGAAAAGCAAATGATATATGGAGCTTTCCTATCGGCTGAAGTGGGTGGTTACAATGGATACGAAGGAGGAAAGTATTACACTACCTAACGGCAACTCATAAGAGACCCTGTAGTCCCTGGTAAAAATTGGCGGTAAGAGCTGCGTTTCAAAGTACCATAGGAATTCTTATAGCTGGCTAAAGAAGGCTACAGAAAATCATATAGCTGGCTGTAGAATGCGGAGAAAATCATACGGCCGGGCTATACGAAGGGGAAAAAAATTATGCAGCTGGGCTATATTTCCTATCGCCGGGCTTTACACTTTATCGCCTGGCTATTGCTTTTTCGCCATCGATTATAAAAGGCGATAAGAAATTGTGTAGAAATTTGTGTGCTTTGGAAATCATTAAGTTTGATACGGAGCCACCATAATATTTACGAAACACACATTATATTTTCCTTTAATACATATTTTTTTCCATCAATTAAAAGGAGAATAATCCATACAGGATGTGCAAAAATTTCAAAATCATGAGTTGAATAACGCTGACTCCGCCAGATTAAATATTAGAGCCTAACACAAAGCGGAGCGGCGCGGCGACGCACTGGCGCCTACAAACCTAACAGGGATACTTGAAGCATTGCGCAACGCGTGAAGTATCCCTGTTAGGTTTGTAGGCGCCAATGTGCGTTCCGCGCTATAGCTGCCCGCCTGCCGCGCAGCAGCATGCCACGGCGCTTGAAGCAACTATTTCACATCAGAGGTATTGCACAGTATCATACGAAACTGAAGGCGCTCTAATATATTAGTAATGGCAGGCATCCATCAAAAGTACGGAGCTTTCCTCGCAACATAAATCAAGATACTACGGCCCAAAAAGAGAGCAGTGGTCCAAAAACTCACTAAGTCCTAGCATCCGTAATTAGTGACGTTTAGCATACATTTTATCGCCTGGCTGTGAGTTGCTTAATCGCCATCGGCTATAAAAGGCTATAAGAAATTCTGTAGCCGGTTATAGAAGCTATTGGAAATCTTACAGCCGGCTGTAGGTCTATGGTATTTTGGAACACAGATTCTACTGCCAATTTTTACCAGGGAGTTATACTCCCTCATCCCCCCTCAGTTTAAACCACCTGTTTCAATCACTATAATCACTCGATTTTCCATTTGTGCGTCACCTTGGTCTGTCACTTTGTCTATCAATTTTAATAATCAGCCCGCAGAGACAACGTGTCTTAGAAACTCAGCTCTTACAGTCTGAGCCATCTAATTGCGAGTGAAACAAAAGATCAATTTTGAAGTCACCTCTAATTTTTGCGGAATGATGATTCATGAGCAACTTTCTGGGCAAAAAGTACGCCAAATGATGACCGAATAGGTGAATGGCGAGGTGAGCTCTTCGCTACGTTACTTTTTTCATATTTTTATCAGGTTACGATTGCTAAACTAATAAATCGGACGTATTTATGCTAGAGGGAACTATGTAGCACGGAGGCCCTATGCACACAGTTTCATATGGCATGTATTGCGTAGCTGCTTAAATCTGTGGCTATCACGAGTAGCAGGAACGGATCCAGCAATTTGGCAACACCGGATTTCCTCCATTTTAAATAATTGATTCTTGTCGGAGCACCTGGCCCCTCAAAGAATCGATACATTTCCATTGGTTTAAATGCAGGAAAAACGATGTTGCCAATTTGCTGGATCCGCCAATGATCTTTAGGCGAATCTGAACATTGTCTTCAGAGAGTAACTTTTACACTGTAGGGAAAATAGAAGTGCGGGGCCTTTAAAATCTACTGTATAACAGATTTGAGTGATAAATGACACATGGATGAAATGAATTTTGCAATTTATGAACCACAATATCTGGATCAGTTCAGAAACGACGTGTGTACCATTCGTTCCCCGACGCAGGTGAGTGGCTCTTACGGATGGGCTAGATTTTTTAGCGCCATATTGCAAAATGTGGTTCAAAAGGTTAAGCCGATTCTGTTTTTTGTTCATGTAAATTGGGTAGAAATCATTTTTCCACCTCAGCCGAGCTCGAAATTCAAATGTGTCGTAAGCTTCACGCATTCGGCAGTGCTGAGGAAAAACGCTGTATGAGCCTTCAGGTGTTGCCAAATTTCCTTCACTTCGACAAATCACTAATTTTTAGGCAAAAGGAATATTTTCCCTCCAATGTCTCAAACAATTTTGTTTGCACTTTGATCTAAAGTGTCTGAAGTGTCAGGGGAAAATATTCATAGCTTTTCTCAAAAATATACATCGGAGGAACCTTTACGACTCTTGTATGTTCATACGGCGCACAGTGGGTCAAGTCAATCAGAGGGGTCGAACCTGAAACTTTTGACTACAACTGCAAATTTTGATGTTTACTTCGTCACATTTTAGACTAAAAGGGGTGCTTCCTGAAGAAAATTTCAAGAGGAAACCGACGGAACCACTTTTATAACCTCAAAGTTTTGTATGAATGGAGTTATAAGCGTTTAAAATCTCCAAATCTTGTCCAACCTCTCCTAATCACTCGATCCATTGTGCGGCGTTCTTCCTCAGGCCTTGTCACCGCGGGACGTTTTCATGGGATTTGTCCCAAGTTCGAATCGCAGGAATGAAACTTCTGGGATTTTTCCCAGTTACCGTCTCCACAGGACGGGGCTCATACAGTCCTGCGACTAGTTTGCGCGGGAAGATAAATTAGTTAAAGTCGAGTATTTAACCGGGATTAAAATAATAATTGCACTCAATTGACGATTAGACTGTGAGATGGCGTAGCTCAGGGGGGTAGAGCGTCGCAAGTGCTAGTGCAGACGCAAGGCGTCGCAAGAGCAGATGCAGACACGCGTCGCGACTACTGTGCAGACGATGGCGTCGCTAGAGCAATGCAGACGCAGGGCGTCGCAAGTGCAGAGCTGACACTCGTCGCAACGGCAGTGCAGACACAACGGGATAGACGCGAAGGCCAAATAAAAGAAGAACCAAAATGGTTGATGAGATATGATGTCTATTACTGACCGCTACAAAGGGCACACAATTCGTACAGGTTTTGACTCTGGGTTGATGGGATGAGGAGCGGACAAGTGCCGCTCGATCGCCAGTCTCTCCAAGAATCAGGTGAGACCCTGGAGCCACAGGGATGAGAAGCGGCCCACGGCCAGCTCGATCGCCTGTCCTCCAGAGAATAATCCCAGGGCCCAATGGCCCAGCTCCGAGGAGCTCCCTAGGTCTCCGGCTCTGGCTACCCCCTCCACTTGACTCGGAACCGGTCAAGCCTCGCCCTGCGCATGCGCAGAAGGGATACCACCCCTCTGCCCTCTCGCTGGGGGGTGCTCCACCGCTGCCCAGTCCCGTGACGTATGGGTTTTTTTCAGCGCCCTCGACTTGGGTGCCAGGTCCCTGGGCCACTCTCACAAGACACATTATTTTAAATAAACAAACATCAACAATGTAGTAATGAATAAAATATCGCACAGTTCGTTTTCACTTCTTCTTCTTCTCTCAGTGGGTTCTAGGGGCCCTAGTAAAAATAAAATGCACTTGGTGCGTTCGGAGTGCACTCGGAGTGCACTCCGAACGCACCAAGTGTGTAGTGTGAGAGTGGGTACGCTTCGAGTGCACTCGGGGTGCACTCGAGGTGCGTCCGTGGTGCCTCTGGAGTGTGTCCGAATCCACCGACGGGTTGGTACAATACTTGGTTCTGGGGAAAATATTGATTAACTCAATATTTTTCCCAACTTCGTGAGTGGGATTTTTCCCTGGGACAAATCTCGTGAAACGGCTCGAGGAGACAAGGCCTTAGCACGGCAGTGTTATATTCCACCTTGAAACACATCTTCCGACCCTGTCACTTCATTTCTCTACACTTCAAATGAATACCTTTCAATACAAGCATAGTCTCTATTTTTACATAATGATATATATATTTATTGCTGAATGATTCCAGGCGCTTCTGATCAGTAAGCGTGAGTATCCGTTTCATCGATGGGAGCCAATTTTCATCGGGACCCACGCAGATCCTCTGTACAGCGAAAGCCTAACTTGGGAAGGCAGACAAGATAAAATGACTCAGGTGAGCAGTTCCCAATAAGTAAGCACATCCTTTTGAAGTTCATTATTTTTGGGCAACAAATAGCTAAACAATGAAAATATTCGTTGAGTAATGCGCTTTGCACTGAAAAAAAAAAATTTCTTGAGATATTATTTTGACTTAAAGCGCAGCTCCTTTTCGACATTTTTTTTTTTTTTTTTTCTTTTCTTTTTTTTTAACTTGAAGTCAGTTTTTTGGACATTCGAGTTGGATCCGGCTTGAGTACCTGTATGTAGGAAGAACACGGATATGTCAAAATATGAAGCTCTTTGGGCCCAAAAGAATAGCCAACTTTTGAGGACGGAAAATGTCACTGCCAATCCTCGGATTCCAATGTCAAACCAAAATGGCCAAGAATATTCATGCATGAGCGTTTTTCCGCAAAAGAAAGTGATTGTAAGTAAAAACTAAGTAAAATACGTGCTTCACCGACGACGGATCCTAATAATTGTAATAATAAATCACTCTGGGTAATTTGAATTCATAGATTAGCTGCCCTTTAGGGCCCCTAGGAGCTCCATCACCTAATCTCTAAATGGACCGTGTTTAACAGAAAGGAACTAAGCCACATCAGCTATTGCCTTTAATGGGGCAGTTTAATTCACTGTCATAATCACCACGTTGAACTTGTTTTGTGTGAAATTTTATTGAGGAAGTAAAATAAGCTGAAGTGCTTTAGTTGGGCTGTGTTTAAGAGAAACTAACCGAGTGCGCACAAAAAAAAAATTCTCGGCGTTTTTACCAAGGTCCGTTGGTACCTTTACCATCTCACTTTCTTACCAATTATTGATAGTTTTATCAAGACAGACTGGTAAGCTTACCTAAAAATCGGTATTTTTATTGTTCTTTTCAGGTAAGAATACCACTTTTATTGGTAATCAATTCCCGGTAACTTTGCCATTTTATCTCGGTAATTCTACCACAGTCTATAAAAAATATTGGCGTTTTAATTTACCAAGGTCCAGTAGAATTACCGAGAAAGTTCAATAATTTTACCAAGATTTCTCGGTAAAATTACCAATTCCATAAATGGTAATTTTACCAAGAAAAAACTGGGATCAAATAGAACCCTGAATTCTTGGTAATTTTACCCTTTTTTTAGTAAATACACCAAGATTTTTTTTTTCAGTGCGCATCAAGTTCAAGCCGAGAAAAAGAGGCTTTCTCGCCACCAGCGGGCTGATTATTGAAATGTATAGACGAAGCTATGGCCAAAGACGACAGACTGAAAATAAAGCGATCACTATTGGTGGGAGCGGTTGGTTGGAATGGACAAAAGAGTTAGATAATGGACTAACGGCAACCCACGAGAGACCCCATAGTTAGTCCATCATTTTCTCCCTTAGTCAATGAGGACCACCCACTTCAACCAATAGGACCGCTCCATACTCCGTATGTCTTTTTCGCTTAACGCTTTGTTTATAAATTTCAACGAGACAGGAAATAATTTAGAGCTTGTTTAATTTAAAAATAATACCGACTAGCATTTTCTTAAATTGTGACTTTTGTGCGTTTCTATTCAACTCGTTCACATACGCACTGGAAAAAAAAACACATTTGATCTAGAGTCCAGACTCTTAAAAACATCGACGAGAACTGATCGACTGATCAAGAACCAAGCCTCTTAATTTAAGCGGATATCGTTTTGATTCAAGCAAAAATCCGATTGAATCAAGAGTATTTTTTCTTATCAATGTTTTCAAGAGTCTGGACTCTAGATCCAATGTGTTTTTTTTCCAGTGCGTACGTATTTCTGCCAAATAGAACTATGTGCATTATGACGTGAGCCCTGTTATGCGTGTAATCTCATAAGCCTCAGGGCTCGTGTCTCAATGCACATAGTTCCGTTTGGCAGAAATAAGTCCATACGTACTATCCAGTTGTCCAATGTCAGTGAAACCCCACACTGTCCCTAAGATTCTCATTCTTTGCTGGTAGATGCAACGTACTTGTATACTTGTTTCAGATGCATTTGATGTGTCTTATGAGCTATCGGTTTGTCATTCTGGATGGTGCCTTCCTCACACATTCGCCCGGTATCAAGCGGAAGTTTGAGTCTGGCATCGAACGAAGGCTGAAACTTCAGTACGAGCATCAAAATTACCTGCAGTACAACAGGATCGTGAAAGATGCCTCAAAAGAATACGGCGTGAATGAAAAATGCCGAATTCACTGAGCGCTCCTCTTTCATTTCGACACATCATCGAGACATCGCACGAGAAAATGTAATCGCTTTTCCCAAGGAGCATTTTTCGTCGGAAAGATCGCGATATTTTGAAATTGAGTTGCAATTGTTTCACGATTTTTTGGCGGTAAAATCACTAGGTATCAAACCGAGTTTGAATGTTGGAGCCAAACGCAACAGTGCGGCCAGCGCGAAACGCGTAGCGCCTACAAGACTGCACGGATACATAACGCATTGCGCGTACGAACTGTGGTATTCGTGCAATGCGTGAAGTATCCTCCGTGGTGTACGCGCAATGCAAGAAGTATCCATGCAGTCTTGTAGGCGCTAACACACGTTCCGCGCTGGCTGCACAGGAGCGTTCGGATCTAACATTCAAACTCGCGGAGTCAGAGTTTTTCAACTCATGATTTTGAAATGTTTATGCACTTGGTATGGATTATTGTCATTTGGAATGATAATGTAAGTAAAATGCAACTAAATTCCTCTCTTTCTTCACGTGTTTATTAACGCACACGAGAAAAGTTCCACCTAGCTACATGAGAGGATTTCCAGGGCTAGAGATAAAAGAATAAAGAAAGGAGACGCGGAAGGGAGGAAAGACCCAGGTAGCATTTTTCAATGGAAAAATCGCGATAATTATACATTAAGTTGCGATTTTTTAAAACTTTTTTGGCGATAAAGTTGCTAGAATTATCAACGTCAGAGTGATCATCCGCGATCTTGTCGCAATTTTTTCGCTTTTAAAATTGCGGTCGATATAGTCGAAATTTTATCTCAATTTATTAAGATTTTTTGTTCGATTGGTAATACTGCGATGAATCGCCGTCAATAAAATCGTGATTTTATTGCAAATTTATTCAGTAAAATCGCAGTTTTTTATCCGATAATATTGCAATAAGTCGACATCGATAAAATTGCGATACATTCGTCCATCGAATCGCAACTCGCGCATCGTGATCACTGCTACCTGGGCCCTGGGGTACGTAGATGGAGCAAAAGGGCCGTAACAAACATTTTGAAAAATTGAGTTTTTTTTACATTTTCAATTAGCCTAGAAAAGGCTTCATATGTGTGCAAATATAGGCCAAATTAATTGTTTAATGATATCTAGCCGCAGACCAAAGGATGCATAGTTTCAAAATCGCGAATTGTATCACGTCTGAAGTGATAGGGCCTAAATTTTGATGATAGGAAAGATTAATTAAGCCATTATTCGCTCAGTCGTCGCACAGTGGATCGAGTAAATGGGAGGGGCCGGACAAATTGTGGAAACTTTAAACGCTTATAACTCCTTTTTTACGAAACTTTGAGGTTCTGGCAGTGGTGACATTGGTTTCCTCGTGAAATTTTCTCCGAGAGGCACCCCTTGAAATTAAAAAAGTGAATTAAACATCAAAATTCGCAGTTTTAGTCAAAAATTTCATGCGCAACCTCTCTGATTGGCTCGATCCACTGTGCGTCAGTGCTGCACGGATGGCTTACCTAATCCTTCCCCGTTAATGTACCTTCGGTACCTAGCTTTTAAGTTCCGTGATAAATTCTCGATCCAACGAACAAGTAAGTGCCATGAATGGTGATCTATTATCAATATCTGTACGACTTCAAACTAAGAAAGTAAAGACTGGAAAACACCAATGAATGTAGGTCGCACAATGGCATAATACCGCTACGACCTTCCAACTCTGGGAGATAAAGCAAACAATAGAATTGACATTTGTTTTTTGACAATGAAAGCAAGCGTTGGAGCGTATTTATTTCAATACCCTCGACCGCAAACAGCATCATACATTTAATTACGTCCGTAGTGCAACTTTAGGTTTTTTTTCTTAAAATTTCCTGTTTGGTACCTTAAGAAGCATATAACTTCTAAAAATATTCATATACAAACTGAATATTTATAATTTTTAGGGTTGAAGAGAAAAATTAATTGTTCATGAAACCCTAGGTTTGATAGTATTGTAAATAAACTTTTTATAAACACCAAATAGCTGAATCACGAAACCCTCCAATTTTTACTGTTACCTATCGTGCGATATTTTAATTTTTTATTGGCAGGAAAACTATCGGTTTAGTCATTATTAAATTGTTTCAATTGCAACGTATACAATAAAATTAGTTATTGTTAGAACTGATATAGTTTCTTCTTGTTCTTATTTTTTTTATTTTTTTTTTTATTTTATTTTATTTTTTTTTTAAATCCCTTCTCCTCATATTCTTTGAATACTCTCAGATATATCGAACCCTTCTAGAAAACTGAGCCAGAAATCGTATTTTTGTTCTCAGAAAGGTCACTAATTTAATCGAAACCTCCTAAAAGCATTGTATCGTTACAAATGGAATTAAGAAATTTTCACGGTTGATGTATATACAACAATTAGCCTGCGCTGGATTTATATTACTCGTTTGCCTCGTCTCATCCATAAGCGGATCCAAGGAGGGGGAGGTGTTAGGGAGCCTCCCCCCCCCCCCCCCCCCCGAAAAAAAGGAGGGAAAGAAGGAAGGAACGTGCGGAATGTTCGGAATGTCTGGATCCGCCTATGGTCTCATCTCCGAGTAACTCAAATTTTACCTCTGAAGTAAATGGGATGTAATGCGCAAAGCGCCCCCCCCTGCTCTGTTTGCTGTATTTACTGTAATGTTAATAAAAATAAATAATAAAAAACGAGAAGAAAAATCCAACATGAATATGTTGGAAAGGAGTGCCGAATAATTGAAATATTGGATACATACCTACTATTTTCACGTCTTTGCTATTTGTATCAATTGGTACTTTTTACTAAATTTGGGAGAATATATTGATGCATGAACGTTGAATGTAAATTCATTTTAAAAATTCCGTAGAATTATCTTGATTATAATCTGATATGCGGAATTTACGCACAACCGCGATTTGGACAGCTGCCGTGCATCGAAATCGCGTTAAGTTAATCTCTTTGGATTTCGAACTGTACCTAACTTCTCTCTTATTCGGCCGATTTTTATAAATGAGGTCTCTTTTTATTTTTATTTTGACGGAGAGTGAGGAAACACTCGCGAAATAGACGGAAAACAATTTTTGTGAAAATTTGGTGGATCCTGGCGTCACGGTGAGTAGTTGACGGCGCTACACATCGCCGGCGACACGGCGTCTTTTATTGCCTTGCTCGAAACCGGACACCCAAAGCGAAATCGGGAGATAACTGCAGTGGTTTAAGTGGATTTCTGCAGGATTACATGGTATAATGAGTCACGAGGCTCATTACAGATTGCACTTACAGCGCAAGACGCTCATTGGCTAGAAATTTTTGGCGGGAAAGAAGCTACTAGAGTTGAGTCCTCCGACCGGAGACAAGCTTATATGAGCTTCCAGTCGAATGAAATAATACGGGTTTGACAGGAAAATATTTTCAAGGGTTTCCAATTAGCAGTTCATTCGGTTTTTTGGTAAAAGACCATCGGGGCTTGACAGTATAACGGTTCAAAGACAAAAAAACTGGTCCGAGGAAAAATATATTTGGACGGCCCGTTGCGTTGAAAAGCACTGGTTGATCGGTGTGCTGCACTATGGTACATCCGAGTGATTGCAAAAAGCGAGCCCTACTAGCACGCTAAAAAACCCAAATAGCGCAGATTCATTAGCGGATCCAGCAAATTGGCAACATTGCCTTTTCTCCATTTAAACCTATGGAAATGTATCGATTCTCGGTGGGGCCAGGTGTTCCTACAAAAATCGATTACCTATTAAGCATAGGTTTAAATAGAGGAAATCCGGTGTTGCCAAATTGCTGGATCCGCTTCTGAATTTCAATAGATGAGCCCTGCTAAAAATGATGAGTAGGCTACTCAGAATTTGCCGACTCACATGGGTAGAATTTCCTACTTATATGAGTAGAAATCCTACTCATATCACCAGAATATTCTACTCATAAGAGTAGAAAATTTCAACTCGTATGAACTCAATTTTTTTCATTTTTCAGAAGAGGTGTTTTTGACCAGGAGACACCGACAAAATATATAAATTTGAAAAATAAGAACATTTTGTTCTTAAAATTTTTTGATGCGGTGACTAGTTTCTGAGATATCGGACACGGTAGATTCAACGCTGAATTCATGTGTGTTGAAATCTCTACTGCTGTGATAGCGAAGAGAGCAGTAAGTGCAAAAATGAAGTTCTGAGAAAACGGGCTCAGAAGCTTCTGACCGGAACATTTTATTGAAAGAAGCCTCCATTCTTTGTCAAATTGCCACTAATCGTCCAGAAGACTCCTAGAAATCGTATGGATGATTAAAAACCGACTGATTTTATTTCCATTACGCAAAAAGGGTATTTTTCATTTTCATGCTAGGTTATTGTTAGGCAAGACAGCCGCAAGTGCTATCTTCAGCATGCTTTCGTGGTTGCGTTTTGGACGCACAACAAACACAGTTTCAGGTTAGAAATTGGCAGAAGAGGGCGGCACTTTACTGTAAATCACTGTTTTCATTGGCTCTCATGCACCTGCCGCTGTCTTGAAAAAACTATGTCATTTTTTGAGCACTTACAGCTTTCTTATACGTCTCGTTTTCATTGAAGTAGGATGAATTTTGCTGTTTAAGCTGTCTCAGTAATTTCATCTAGAAGAGTTTAGACAAATTTTGAAGAAAACTCGATTTCGAAAATGTTGCACTTACGGCTCTCTTCGCTATCACGGCAGTCTAGTCATATGAGTTGGAATCTCTAGTCATATGAGTCGGCGAAAAGTGAATAGAGAAATTCTTCTCATGGGTGTTCAATTCTATACACATAAGTTGAAATTCTATTCATCTGAGTTGAAATTCTACTCATATGAATTGAAATTCTATATTCATATGACTTTATTTTCTACTCATTTGTACTCACCATTATTGGCAGGGAGGACGTTTTTGAAGGTGATGGTAGTAACGGCCATCTCGCGAGGACAGAGAGGATCTACCAACATGCAAATGGACGTATTTCTATCAAACAGACCTATGTGCAGGTGAGAAATATGGGGTGCGCTCTAGAAAGCTGCATAAAGGAACAATGTAAAAGAGGGCGTGATTCCTTTTGAAGAATTGGAAAAGCGGGATATTACATTCTATCAAACAGACCTATGTCCCAACTGGACGTATTTCTATCAAACGGAAGTAAGCGCCAATTTGAGTTTCTTTTGAGGAATTTAGAATGCCGGATAGCGCGTTCTGTCAAACGGACCTAAGCGCCATGGAAAAGCATTGCGAGTATAGGACGGAATAAGCCGAATACGTCCAACTGAATGCGGGATTCATGAGCCGCGGGCATGGGATGAGAGCGTTATGGACAGGGCTCATGAGTTAAAGCGCCCCGACGACGATCCCCCGTTGCGCCTTCGCTTTTTCATTGACGCTGACGTCACTGGCGCTTTATTCTTCCCATTCACTCTTATGGTCAGAGAACTAACGAGCACACCTCACCTGGCATATTTCTCACCTCCACATAGGTCTGTTTGGTAGAAATACGTCCAAATGTATCAGGTAGCAATATTTCCAAACTAGGGGGCCGTGCCCCCTGACCGCTACGCGGCTCAACCCCCGGGAGGGCGCCTTGCGCCCTCAGGCCCGCTTCGAGGGCCCTATACGCATATGTATAGGCGAAGATGTTCTTCCATTTTAATACACCATTTGGTGTTCGAGCTGCATCGATTTCAAAATTTTTGACGTAACACTCAGATTTGTAAATGATGAGGAATAGCTGGTTGTACATAATTTTACAGTCCACTTACTGGAGAAATTTCCATTTATTATGTTACTTTTAAATACTTAATTAAAAAAGAAAATCGGATTTCGACCGTTAAGAGTTAATAATATTTGATCCGTCCCGTCCCGACGCGACGCATCGCCTGCCTTCTCGCTTTGTATCTGCTGTTTATCTGCCGTAAATATTAATAGAAATCCAGCAATCAAGTAAATTGACCAATGCTATACAAATCGAAGCCGGAAGAATGCAGGAAAAATTGAGTTAAACCTTATACCTTGGACCTTGAACCTTGAACCCTGAGCGATGCACAGTTCCTCAACTCTTCGAATGAGGAGCCCTTCACGAGATTTTCCATTGTTTTATTGTTCATTCGAGTCACTCAGGTAGAATCCCACACCTCGACGTTTCTAGCGGAAACGACATATCTCTCACGCTATTAACATTGGACTTGTGTGACACGAGCTTTAAAAGCTCTACAACATAAAAAGTTCGGGGTTTTATAATTAATTGCGCATCTATATCTACTACAGATGACATACATATGAAGATCATCTTTATCGGTCCGGCAGTTCGTCAGAAATAGTGCTTCCAAGATTTTGCTTGTAGCTGTACAATATAGACTAGAAATTATTTTCTTGACTTTTCAAGCGGATTCACGTAAATTGAATTTACGGGAGGGGCGGGGCCAGCGGCGTGGCGTGCTTTGCGATATATCGATTGGCATGCCGTTTAAACCTATGGAAAAGGATCGATAAATAGGGTGTTCGCAGCGAACACCTTAATAATCGATTCTTTACCGTAGGTGTAAATGACATAACAATCGATATATCGCAAAGCACGCCACGCCACTGGGCGGGGCGGAGAAATGAAAAGAGGTAGATGGATGTAATTTCTAAGATTACAATATTTTATGTTAAATAGGTTACACTACATAAGTACTACCATTATTCCGACACACTGCATTCTCCACATATATTATTTTCCATATCCTCCAATTCCTCCAATTCCTCCATTTCCTCCATTTCCTGTATATCCTCCATTGCCTCCAACTCCTGGAGATACATACGTCGTTTTCGTGTCTCCGTTGTTCCTATTGCTTATGTAAGGTGCTGCTCCGCCTTGCGAAATTGCTCCGCTGCCACTAGTGATTACATTCATACTACTTGAGTTATCCCGAGAACTCGTATTCGTGTTGTCATTATTAGAATAGCTCGTATTACTGGACTCGGAACTGTTCATTGCATTATACCCAGTGCCGTTGGGAGTATTAACATTAGTTGAGCGGGTGCCCGAGGGATTTTGAGCCGTGGTTGTCGTGTCCGTCGGAAACGCCCCGACCGTCACGAGTGCTGCCACAACCAGCGTCAGAACAGACCAACCCGACACATACATCGTCAGTAGCGAGATATCCAGCAAAACCAATGTTTGTTTCTCTGGAACATGAATAAGCAAAAAACGTACTTCGACGGTGTAGGTAAGTCTGGAATCACATAACTCGGTTAGAGACGTCGCAGGCTTCCTGTCATACATTATTTTTCAAACGGGAAACTACCATTGGCGGATCCAGCGATTTAGCAACACCGGATTGCTTCCATTTAAACCTATGCTAAATAATCGATTCTTGTCAGAGCACGTGGCCCCTTCAAAAATCGATACATTTCCATAGATTTAAATGGAGAAAAGACAATGTTGCCTATTTGCTGGATCCGCCAATGGAAACTACTCAACGGCAATTCTTTAAAATCGCCGTGATTTTTCTTCATCTCTATGCGAAGAAAATTCTGCAAAAACCTCGAGGAATGATGTCGATTTGTTCTCTTTTAAAATTATAACATGGAGGCGGGGATTTTCAGACACCGCAAACGAATTATGTGATTGCCGACTTGCACCGTCGACTTGCATATTACCCAAGTAGCATTTTACAACGGAAAAATCGCGATATTTTGAAATTGAGTTGCGATTTTTTGGCTATAAAACCCATAGGATCATCAACATTTGAGCGCGATTATCCTCATCTTTTCGCAATTTTGTCTCTAAAAATCGCGTTCGGTGAAATCAAAATCTTATCTCCATTTTTGACCGATAACATTGCTATAAAACGCCGTCGCTAAAACCGCGGTTTTATTGCAAAATAATGTATGCGATGAAATCACGATTGATCGCATTTTTTTATCCGATAATATTGCAATAATTCGACGTCGATGAAATCGTGATACATTCTCCGATCAAACCGCAACTTATTACGATCACTGTTACTTGTTATGCTTTTACGAGGGTCATTCCTTAAAGTAAGGTTTCATCATCACTGTTAAGCTCTCTGATTCCCTATACAAGATGATCCAAAAGTCCCTTCCACCCCCTCTAACTTTTTACCTAATTGAGGTAAAGATTTGAAACTTGGGGGATATTCCTAGGTCAAAGGGGGCTACTTTTTGGCCCCCCGAAAATTTCAGGGGGCTCCCCTTGGGGGGGGGGTAACGGCCCCCAACTTTTAATTTTCAAATGGGAAGACCCCCTTTGTGATAGCTCGTTCGAAAGAGCATAAAAAAAGAAAACTTTTCGCGCAAACCCGAAGTCAATATCTCAAACCGTTTCAACATGGCGGCCGGCTAAAGTTCAAAATGACCGAAAATTCACACCGGTTATTTGTCGATGGGTTTGCGCGAAAATCGGTTTGTAGGGGTATTTTGACACGAGAAAAACGAATTTGACGTTACAGGGGGGGGAGGGCTGTCAAAAAACCGCAAATTTAGCGTTACTAATTTAGGGAAGGCTCATATGTGGCAAATAATATATTGTATCGAAGTAATATATATAGGTACAATAATCGGAAATGCTTTTGTAAACCCACGGATTACAAAAACGTTGAGTGAGGTATATGTATTTTTCTGAAAATTAAAGAAGTTCAAGAAGGAGGAGATTAAAGTAATCGGCCGATGAAAAAAGTGAAAAAAAGGAGCGTGCACACTTCACTGTAAATGTGATATTTAAGGCGTAGCATTGTAGAAGGTGAATTTTGCAAACTCTGCGAATGAAATAGACAACTTTGAGAAAGAATTTGAATCGAGGAGTGTCTTTTATGAAAGCTCGGTATAAGAAAACGACACAAGTATGAGGTAAATTTTGGAGACGTAGGGTATTTCCTCCGCTCGACTATGTTGAATGCATTGACAATGGTGTTAAGAGCTAATCTTTCTTTAAAAGTGTAGGGCACTTTTCCGCCATCTCGGAAATGGGTTTTTCGCTGTATAATCGCTTCAACATTCCATCCTACTATTCTACAACACAACTCTAGTGGCGAGTTGAATATGAATCGCGCTCGCTATGAGTTGACCACTGAAAAGAAAAAAGTAGGAGAAAAGAAATGTTTCCGAACATCTCAGTTTTCTTCATAAGCCAATTGATAGTAACAGAATTCCCATAGTGTTTACTTACCAGCAAGAGACACCAAAACCACTAATCTGCTTCTTAAATGTCCCTTCTTTATATAGGGGGCGTTTATCATCGGCTTTGTTAAAGGTAATGAAACAATGGTTACTTAAGTGTGTCCGAGAAGAGATAGATCCGTGCAACCATGAACTACATTCCTTTTAGTATTATCTTGTGGCATTGTTTCTCTTTCTGACCCTGGAGACATGCATTCTTCGGAACTGCCCGCCCCTCCTCCTTCTCCATTCTTCAAGATTTGCAGAGATAGGTACTTAAAATTCGAAGGAAAAAGTAAATGCACAATTTTAGCACTTGAGGCAATCGAAAGCTAGTGCTCCCGTTTCCCGGAACTAGTTCCGAATTTCGGAGATTTTGAGATTCTCCTGAATTTTTCCCGGAGCTTTTGAAATTCCCGAAAGGTTCCGGATCTTTTGAATTTTTTGAAACTTTTGAAAAAATCTAAAAAGAATCCCGGAACTTTTGACGGTCATTGAATGGGAGAAATTGAAACAAAAAAGTTCCGAATTCCGGAACTTACGACGGTCACTGTCAAACGCTCTTGAAAACATTACGAAAAGCTGCAACTATCGGGTTGTTCAATTTGAAAAGCAATGTCCCCTTGAATGGACCAGTTGTGCAAAGGACCGTTCAAGTATTACGTGACGCACATCTTCTGATTTTTTAACCCTCCTCCCCTTGTAACGCACCCGTAACGAAGCCCTACATTCCCCCTTTCGCAATACGTTAGACTGACCTGAATGGCCTGACCCCCCCTTCCCTCCCTCCGTTTAAAAAAAAAATCAAGCAATAAACGCTCTAAAAACGGCTTGAAAAAAACCCGGTTTTTTGGAGTTATTTCGCTGAAAGACGAAGGGAAGTTATCAACAGAGAAGGTACGTGAGAGTGTGAGTAGGTATCACACGCGGTGCGTCGGTTGGGTCACGCTCCGAATACACGGGAAAAAAATTGCTGATTCAACAATTCCGTTGCTAAAAACAGTGAGTGCAATGTTTCAATGCAGATTTTACAACAAAAAAATGCTACTTTAACCACATTGTAAACTAATTTACCCGCGGGGGTGGTTAAAGCAGCATTTTTTTGTTGTAAAATCTGCGTTGAAACATTGCACTCACTGTTTTTAGCAATTGAATTGTTGGATCAGCAATTTTTTTCCGTGTAGACTCGATCGAGAAGGGCGGGATTTTCAATTTTTTTCACGTTTTTTTTGCGAAGTTTTTTCCCCCCAGTTCGCGGATTTGTTATGTAACGCTGAGCTTGACTCCCCTCCCCCCTAAGTGCATTATGTAACACTTGGACGGCCCCCGTGTTACTAAATTGCGTTTTGATAATTTGAAATTCGCCCAAACGCCCACTTGTCTACATGCGTTAGAAACGGAAATATATCGCCCTTCGCCGGGAAGCTTGGTTTATGACATCATGTGCCGTGATAGTACGCACCATGTTTTTATCCACCTTGGATCCATCAATTAAAAAATACGTTAGCACTGGTTTATAAACCTGAATCACGGATGAAACCAGGGTGGAAGAAACCACGGTATGCAGTGGTGTAGCGTGGCGTGCTTCGCGATGATACGGCGATTCATCTGCTAAGTATCTAAACCTATGAAAAAGGATCGATAAATGCGGTGTTCGCAATGAACACCTTAAAAATCGATTCTTTACCACAGCTCCAAACGGGGAAATATTGATAATCGATCATTCACGCCTCGCTACTGACGGCAGGCATCACCGTGATGGAAGGCGACAAACTAGATGTTTTTTGAAGAGCAATATCTTTGTTTATTTTGGCCGTGGGAACTTGGTTTTTGGACGGATCTTATCATTTTTCGATGATCAATTTCAATCTGAAATCATCAAAACACGACTCTCTGACTAGTGCAACTGACCCATTAATTCTAGCAGTATCGGCCATGAATCCTCATGCATCACTAGGTAAATCTTAAAGACCCACAATTACCCACTTAAAGACAATCAAACTCCCAAACCACGTATCTCGGTTTAATTGCGACTTCCTGCAGTCTTCCTGTCATACTTTAATTTTTTATTGAATAACTATTCAACGTCAATTCTTCACGACTTTCTCGATTTCCCTCTCCGTACGAAGAAAAGTCTATGAAAACTTCAAGAAATGATGTTGAGTTGTTCTCCTTCAAAAAAGTAAAAAAGGAGCGAAAATTTTGAAACATCGCAAACGAGATACGTGATTTGAGCGTCTCACCGTCGAAGCCCGTTCTTGTAATGCTGTCGTGCTAAGGAAGAACGCCGTATGAATATTCGAGAGTTGCCAAATTTCCTTCGATAAAATGTTCTTTTCCGAGGAAACTTAGCACCCTTGAAATTTTCAGAACTTTTCGGAAGAATTGCGAGCAAAATTGTCTGAAAAATTGGCAGACAAATATTCATAAGTTGACCGAGAAATTCGTGTTTTATCAAGGGAAATTTGGCAACGCCTGACGGTTCATACGGCGTTCTTTGTTTAGCACGGCAGAATGGACCACTAGACAGGGAATCAATTTTAACATTTCGATGGATCGACGGCGAAAGTCCGCAACCAAGTTCTCGGAACCCCCAATTTTTTAGGAAAGCGAAAAAATTGTCCACATTCCTCATCTTTGAAGGAGGAGGGAAAATAATTCTAATGGGATGAAGACTGTTTACTTTCGATCCACGAATGAATGAAGCAATGGACATGGCTGAACTTCTTTGCATGGAGGGATATGCTGAAAATAACAAAATCAAGACACATTTGATGCGATTGCGTTTATATCGAGTCACTTTCTTTTCAATAACGGGATTTGTTATCGGTGATTTGGCCATTATAGCCCCAAAATTCCTTTAAATCGATTGTTTTTCAGGAGCTCTACAGATTTTTTTCTTTTTTGGCTTAAATCACTCAATAGACACTGCTCTTCAAGAATCTGAAAAGTTTTTGCTTATGGTAT